GCAATTCGGATTAAAAAAGAGAGGTTGTGTTGGTAATGAAGAGAGGGAAAGTTGTGAAGCAAAATGGTATTGCACTTCCGAATGGGCAAATGATGAAAGAAATCGACGATAGTGGATACAAATACCTGGCTATTGTAGAAATGGATAAGATCAAAGAAACAGACATGAAGGACAAGTTTGCAAGCACGAATACAAGAGAAGGTTAAAGTTGGTTTTGAAATCGAAATTGAATGGTAAGAATATAATCTTGGCAATTAACACATGGGCTGTATCTTGTCATTGATTCGAGGTGTTAGGCTTGCTGAAGTGATGGACACTGAAGATGTTGTGAATAAGGATGAGTTCAAAAGAAGATGGAAGAATGAAAAAGAACAAAGATGGAAAGTAAAAAGAAAGTACGGGCAGTTTGTTAGAGAGATGCCGGAATCAACAGATGAAAAGAAGACATAGAAATGGCTGAGAAAAGCTAATCTTAAGATACAAACAGAATCACTTTTGTGTGCAGCGCAAGAACAGGCTCTCCGAGCAAACTATATTAAACACCATATTGACAAATCAGCAGAGTCACCACATTGTAGGATGTGTGAAGAGAAGGGCGAAACTGTACATCACATTGTCAGTGAGTGCAAGAAGATGGCACAGAAAGAATATAAACGAAGGCACGAAAATGTTGCCAGGATTGTGCATTGGCATTTATGCAAGAAAAACAATCTAGAAAGGACGGAAAAATGGTATGAACATACCGCTGAGGGTGTAGTTGAAAATGACGAGGTAAAGCTACTATGGGACGTGAATATTCAGTGTGATCATTTAATTGAAGCAAGAATACCAGGCATAGTTGTTGTAAGCAAAGGCGAAAGAAAATGCAGCATCGTTGACATTGCGGTGCCAGGTGATAGTAGAACTAGTGACAGAGAAAAAAAGAAAGTGGAGAAATATCAAGATTTAAAAAGGGATATCAAAAGGATTTGGAACATGAGAAGTGTAATAGTTGTACCTGTGATTGTTGGAACACTCGGCACTATAATGAAGAAACTGGATGATTGGTTGCAAAAACTGGGTATCACAGTGAATGCAGCACTCTTACAAAAGACGACATTATTAGGAACAACAAGGATATTGAGAAAAGTACTTGAGTACTAAGCCGGATAAATATTATTACACTGTGCCGGATAAATTCTATCCGCATCAAAATTATTTCAGATAGGCGTCGCGTTTACACTAGACCCACGTTATCCGCACGAATTTGAGAGCGGCTATCCGAACAAAATTAGTTCACCTAGGAAAGTGGATTAAAATAGTTTAGAAAGCTATGTGGTAAAGTGTAAACGCTTTTATCTGGATAAATTTTATTCACATCGTATCTTGCTCGAAAGCGATTGGCTATTTCATCCAATTTAGTTTTCACTGTCTCCCAATCAAGGCCTTTCGCCATCTTGGCTGCCTTGTTGTCGATAAATACTCGTGTTAAAAGTGCAGTATCTTGCCAGTCCACGTAAAATTGGCATCCTTGTCAGCTTTCCCTACTTTCGTTGCTAGTTCAGTGTCATTTTGTTTCAAGAACAAACTATTCAGACAAGTTAGGCCTAATTTGTATTGACAATATTTTTGGATCTGGTCTAAAAGAGAAGCAGATGATTCTGAAAAGAGAATGAAGTCTTTTTACGTTGGCGGGAATTTTTTTATTATTTTGTTGCCCAGAGAGGAATTTATTTTGGGCGTTTTGTGCAGTTGCTAGGCACAGTGTAAACGGGAGGGCAAAGTGGACAAATTTTGTGCGGCACAGTGTAAACGCAAATCAATCCGAACAGGTTTTATGCGGATAAATTTTATCTGACACAGTGTAAACGGGGTCTAAAGTACAATGACCCCAAGGGACCCTTGGTCAAAGGTTTTGACCCGTTTCCTTGGGATGTAAAAAGTTGGCTATTAGAACTGCCAGTGCTTAAAGCAGAAGTATACGATAATAATGATAATAATAATAATTGGGTAAGAATTAAAACTGCAGCCGGCTGTGGAGTTTCGACGTGGGATAATGAGGTTACCCTTTGCCACAGTTACCTCCAGGTCACCCTTGAGCAAGGTGTAGTACCTGTTAGCTCTCCCCGAGACCATGAAGTACCGTGTTGGTGTCCGGCGGGGGCTAGTCTGTCTCATGGGTAGGAGGGACTCTTTAGCCTTGGTTGGCAACTCTCCTGGTGATGGTGTCACGATAACAATACTGGTGGTTGTGCAACCGAAAAATCACAAACCTCATAAATGAGAGAAAATGCAAAATGATAATTTATCGAATGACAGCGTGAATGAGATTTGGAGCTAATAGTGAAGGTCTCTTGCCCGGCAGGAGTCGCCCGGCCAGCAGCGGGGATCCGGTCGTCATCATGCTACTACTGGGATAAGAACTAGAAGGAAAAAGTGGAAAAAGGAAGTAAACAAGGTTGTGATAGAATGTTGGATTAGAAGTTACTCTACAACAAAGGATTCCGAAAAAGAATGAAACAAATATGGGATGAAAAAGGATTATTCTAGGCTAATGAAGAACCGTTATTTCTTGTGGCAAATAAAAGATGTAAAGAACAGATCTCCAAAAAGCAACTTGTGAAGAAGAAAGGGGTAAAGGTTGTTATGGAAGAGCTTAAGCAAAGAATAACAGCGAAAGCAGCAAAGATAGACAGATATAAAAAGCGGATAAACCAATTTAGAATGAACAGGATGTTTTCATCAAACCAAAAGCGAGTTTTCATAGAACTGAATAGTGAAGTAATTGAAGAGAACATAGTACCAAATGCGGACGAAAGTAGAAAGTTCTGGAGTGAAATATGGGACAACCCAATGAAACATAACAATAACGCAAAATGGCTACGAGAGATATGTTACCATTAGAACAGAAGGGCTGTCGTAAAGAGACACACGGAACGAAAGGTGAACTACTGATTGACAGAATGGTATTTAAGAGCTGTAAAAGAAGACATACCAACTTAGCTATGGCGTACGTGGACTATACAAAAAGGCATATGACACGATACCACACTAGTGGATACTAAAGGGTCTGCAATTGGTTGGGGCAGCTGATAATATCACGAACGTCCTTGAAAAGAGTATGACGAAATGGAAGGTACAGTTGAACGCAGGAGATGAAGTATTAGGGGATGTCAACATCAAACGTGGAATATTCCAAGGAGATAGCCTTTCGCCACTCCTATTTTATATCTGTCTCATATCAATGTCACTCATTTTGAGAAAGATGAAAGCTGGATATAGTTTGGGAAATAACCAGCCAAAATTAAATCACCTCCTATATATGGATGACTTAAAGTTATTTCGACAGAGTGAAAGAGACATAGAATCACTTGTAAATACAGTTCATAGGTTTAGTCATGACATTGGCATGCAATTCGGTATAGAAAAATGTGGTGTGATTATCATGAAGCGTGGAAAGATGGTCACCTGTGATGGAATTGAGCTACCAGATGGAGAGAAGATAAAAGGCGTCGACGAAGAAGGTTACAAGTACTTGGGTATAGTAGAACTAGATGGGATAAAGGAGAAGGAAATGAAAGAGAGATTCGCGAAGGAATACAAGCGAAGAATTAAACTTTTATTGGAGAAGCGAAGATTTATTGGAATCAAACTTGAACAGCAGGAATGCCATTTCAGCAATGAATATTTGGGCAGTTGCTGTGATGAGATATGGGGCTGTGATAATGAAATGGACAAAAGAGGAACTGGAGAAACTAGACAGACAGACACCGAAAATTATGACAATGAATGGAGCGTTACATCCAAAAATTGACGTCGATAGACTGTATGTTGCAAGACAGAGGGGTGGAAGGGGATTGCAAAGTGAATTAGAAACCATCCGGTTAGAGGAAAATAGCCTTAGAAGGTACGTTAAAAAGGGCAAGAACAGTTACTGAGAGCAGAACATAAACAACAGGAAATTTCCTGTTGTTTATGTTCTGCTTTCAGTAACTGTATGAACAATGACATCATTAAGCCATCATAGTATAGAGATCAGAGAAGAAGAGAAAGAGAAGTCATATGGCACGAAAAAGTAATGCATGGTCAGTTTTTCAGAGATACAGATGGGATAGTAGACAGGAAGAAGTCATAGTTGTGGCTAAAAAACGGATAAAAAACGGAAACTTGAAGAAAGGGACAGAAGCACTAATTATGGCGGCATAAGAGAAAGCAATACGTACGAATTACGTCAAACATCATATTGACAAATCAAGAGACTCGCCAACTTGCAGAATGTGTGGTGAGAAGAGGGAAACACTGTGAACCACATTACATATGAATGTAGCAAATAAGCCCAAAAGGAATATAAGCGACGCCACGACAACATAGCACGGATAGTTCACTGGGAGATTAGCAATAAGTATACAGTGGTACAATCATAAGCCAGAAGGCGTTACTGAAAATGAAAGCACTGTGGGACTTCAACATAAACACCGATTACGAAAATGAGCATAGACGACCAGACATTGTTGTCGAGCTAAGATCAGAAAAAGAGTGCTTGATCATTGACATAGCCGTGCCAGGAGATACAAGGATAAAACAGAAAGAACAAGATAAATCGGAAAGTATCAAGATCTAAAAAGATAAATTGCAAGGTTATGGTGCCTTCGAAAGGTAAGTGTCATTCCAGTTGTAGTTGGTGCATTGGGATGTGTCACAAATGAAGCAGAGCAGTACATAAAGAAAATAGGAATCAAGATCAGGACTGAAGTGATATAGAAAACGGCGTTGTTAGGAACTGCAAGAACATCGAGAAAGGTTCTCGAAACCTGAGGCCGGTTGTTCTAGCTTGCTTTAGGGAAGGACTTATCAGGAACATTTTCCTGTGATGGAAAGAACATAATAATAACAACTACCTTTTCACTTTCTCAAAACAAAGTACTGTTTTACAAGTCCTTAAAAGTACTGACTATAGCTTGGCCAATGCCGGCGATTCATCTATTCCCTTGAGCAATGGATGAAGGTATTAAGAAGGCAAGTTATATACAGAAATTTCTGATTCACCATATAATCCTCATTTGAATGCAATCAAAATAGTTTGACATGAACAAATATTTTGCTGTAAAATACAGGTATGGATTTGCTAAATTTCCCGATGAAAATAAGATTTGGGCACCTATGGTATGCAACCGAAAACAATTCAAGCAAAATCTATCTAATGATTCTAATTTACAACAATGTAAACAAATTCTATTATCTGAAAACATACCTCCAAATTCAAAACCTCCAAATTCAAAAATCAAAAAGCTTCGAGTTATTTGACAATTATGATTTAACTACCAAAGACAAGGTCAGAAAGTTTCCGGGTAGAATGAAATAGAAATTTCACTGTCTATTGAATTCTTTAGCGAATTTAAAACCTGATTAAATATAATTCAGTACATTGTCATCTGTCGTGCATACCAGGTCGATCATGCTGATACTACAGAAGATTTATTGCGAACGATTTTTGGCGGTACAGAACTTGAAAATGCCTTTGGAAAAGGCAAACATTTCACAATACACTTTTAAAAGCTTTTTCGTCGTAAATGACCTTGTTAAGCTACTGTCTTTATGCGTTTTATACTCTGAAGAGTGTCAGACGAAAAATCTTTCAGTAGTATGTTGTGAAATGTTGCTTTTTTCAAAGCCATTTTCAAGATTTATTGCATTCGTTTTTAAATGTGAATTCTGGCTACAAGCTTGCTTATGTTGTTCATACTGTTGGAATGCATAGATGTGAAATTTAAGATATGATCTTAAGGCTTCAGTAAATGCTGAGAGTTTTATAAGAATGATTCGGCAACAACTTATTCCCCATCATAAAAATAAGACTTTTATAGGTTGAAACCAACTTCGATGAAGCTACCATTTCGTCTTCAACTCCATCCAATTTGTTAAACATTGATGAGATATTTTTAACTACATTTTGATTTACAAAAAATATCGTGTTGTATTTAACAAATTTGTATGTTTAAAGCCAAAAAATGCATGCACTTAAATTGTTAAATATCCCAACTGAAAAGATGATGTTTCACCAACATGTCTTGAACATCTTCTTTCATGTCCACGGAGGTCTGCATAAGGGACATGATCCAGATTAAAATGATTACAAACAACGGAAATTGCAAAATGAAAGTGATGGGCCAATTGTCTGCAAAATGACAATTTAGTGTGTTATTTGATTGGTCTAAACCAATCACAAGCATAGCCAGGTTGGTCGAACCAATCACAAGCATAATCAGGTAATCACAAGTATTGCCAGATTGATCGAGCCAATCACAAGTGTTACCAGGTAATTTTAACCATGTTGATCGAGCCAATCAAAAGCATTACCAGGCTATTCTAGCCAATCATCAGCATGACCATGTTGCTCGGACCAATCATAAGTATGACCAGGTTGATCGGACCCATCACAAGAATTACAAAGTTAATCCAACCCATCAAAAGCATTGCTGTATGCCTGATATTAAAGGTCCACTCAAAAGCCCTTCGACTATAATTTTACCTTTTATGGTCTGTGAATATTGAAAAATCATCTGTTAAACAAAAAAATTCATCAAACAAAGTATTAACCGGAATACTTACGTCTACTTCAGTTGAAATTTCCCAGTCAACCGAAAGCCGCAAGGAAAATTGGGCTAAGCACCTAGAAATTATGAATACCATCAGATATAGCCCAGAAGTAGTGGAATCTCAGTGAAAATTTTCTATGTAACTAAGAAAATGGCCTAAACAGCATATTTCATGGATCAAAAAATCCAAAATCAAATTTTCAAATTCGATAAATATCAATAACAAAAAGTATAATCTTTATAATACTCTCATGAAACGACATGTCTATTGCCTTCGTCGATTTTATGTTTCTAAGATTACAGGGCAAAAAATTTCCAAACCAGTAGTGATTATGTTGTTTCGAGGTATTCTGACCGTACTGAAACAAGAATTTGTATATTTTCTGCTGGAGATATACAAATAACAAAATTAACTCCTGAGCATCCATTACCTTAGTTCGCATTTTATTTGAATCCAGGCGGGACTTCTTAAAAATGAATGAGGGTGGTACCTGAAAAACGAAAAATTCATTATAGCTGAGTAGCAATCATTGTTTGTAATAAAGAGGCTATGAAACAAAAAGTACAAGGAATAATTCTGGGAAATGCGAACTCTGCTGTCTAAAATATCACCATTACACTACCCTAACAATGTTAAAGTGGGGGATTGTTGAATTCGACATCTTAAATTTATGAAAATTTTGTAGCCACAAGCAATTCATATGGCCAACAAAAGCTGCAAACTGCAAAAGCGTAGAATTGCGTTTTTGCCTTAAAAAGAAATAATAATGATAATACCATTTTGCGAGGACTTCTTCTGAAGAACAAAGCACCTCAAACCAAAGATGCAGCACCTGCTCACTGAAAAGGAAATTATTGTGTGAGGATGTGGTTAGTTCTACCTTATTCAAGAATGATTTTACATTGCAGCTAACTAGCAAACTATACAATAGATGATGCAAGCATTTAAACTTAGCTGAAAAGCAGCATGTAACAATAGACAAGATCTTGTAGAGGAAATAAAGACCGTGGCATTATACTTACTTCAGTCCATAGCAAACAAAGGAGCGAAACTGAAAATAAGCATAAAACAGTATTTAAGTCTGAATCAATCAACAATCAATCTTGCTTTGCTATTTCACTTATTCAACATTAGATATAAGAATGTATAGTAAAAAGTCAATAATTTGAAATATCAGACACTTAGAACTTGGGGAATCAGCTGGGGAATCAGGCTTATTTCCATAACTGAATTTGAGAAAATAAACTGGGAGAAATGTGAGTTAGTGTCACGACTATGGCGTGACTTGAGCCCGTGACTACCTGTGACCACTGCGCATTGCGATGGGTGCCGCGATGGCCCCCATGTGCACTTGGTAAAACGGGGGCAGTGTTGGTAGGTGGCCGGGCTTTGAGCTTAAATTTGAAAACGAGACAGTGTAGCTCAGTCGGTAGGGCAACGGGTTCGGGTCTTGCCCTGGCTGTGCCACTCGCTCTGTCTCTCAGCATAATTAGAGATATGCTGTTTAAGAATATGCTGTTTAAGAATGCCAACCTATGTATACCTACTTTTACGTCCATTGATACCTTGGCTGCATCGTGACTTGAATTAATTGCTTGAACGGCCTGAGATGTATTAAAAAAGCGAAATAAGTGAAAACGTGAACAAGCTTTTCACTGGCTCAATGACATAGCAAGTATCAACTGCGTACAGTCTTATGAGATCTTGAACAAGAACAGCTACAGCAAACTTTAAAAGAGTTTTTAAATATGCATTGTTGAGGGGAAAGTCTAGCAGACAAAGGTGAAAAAGGATCCTTTATTTAAACTGCCAACTTCATTCAATCCATTATATTTGGGAAAGCTTCCCCTCAGGTGTTAAAAAGGCAGATAGATTGATATGACAACGGAATTTGAAAATGCGTTTAAGCTTATCTAGATATTTAAAAACGGCAATATTTAAAATTTCATAGCAAACAGATATGGCAAATACCCTGTATAACAGCTCCTCCGGTGACAAAACTTTGCCATCCTCATCAAGCCTGTTGATAGAATGAAAGTCATAACAGGAAAAAATTCACGGGATAGAAGCTTGGTATTTCTACAAAATGCCACCGAGATGTTTTTCTCTATTCAAATGTAGTGGAGGCCTATAGCTGATTATTAAAACAGAACAGCTACATATTTCTTTACAAAAATTAATTTCTCTTCGACGTGTATTTTTCACCAAAGGTTCGATCTTTTCCTTATCTTTAATCCAATTTCCATCAATGATAATGGAGGTCAACAAAATACTTAATGAAAAAAAATGTGATGAGAATATTTGACGGCTTGAGGTTTCCTTTATAGCAACTGAAATTACGTGAAGAGTTCAGATATATCTTCCTCTGAACAGAAAATGTATTTCAGATGATACGTTACCTGTATGTCTTGCATAACACTAATCGAGAATACACTGAGCTAAAATCTCTTTGCACCTCTATGTTGCTAGCCTGTAGAAAAGAACCAAAATTGTTGAACCAAAATTTTAAGTTTTTCCAGCTTAGGGCAAAGAGCCATATTTCAAAAAGTGCTTGATAGCTTAAATCTAAAGAATATTCCTTTTACGAGAAAGGGCATTCCTGTCGTGGGTCAAAATCGATGGAGGTTCAGAAAGGGCCTAGGCATCCCGTGCGGTAGTGTAGAGGAAGGAAAAGGCAATCATAAAGCCTAGTTTTGTTTGGAAAATACAATATTCCCAGTTGATGGCTGGGTGATTTATTTGTGGAAAATATCAGGTAATTTAAATCTTAAAAAAAATTCCTTGTTTAATTATCGAAAACTTCATAAGAAATAAATCAGGGGGTGGGCATTTTTGGCGGTAGGGCCGAGGTAGAAAATAGGTAATGTTTCACAGCAGATATTTTACCAACCGTTTGTGTTCCTGCTTAGGGCTCCTAGATTCGTACCAAAAAATAACTTTAAAAGTAAGTTTAAAAAATCTTCTTCGTAGAAAAACGTAAATTTTTTTCCCGGGCAAAAATATAGGGGTAGGTTTTTCTCCACAGCAACTGTGTTTTGGTTTGAAATATTGAAAAATCAAGCTCGAAATCGAGGCAGGTGATTGGCTAATGACATTTTGTAAACAAACTCGCTGATTGGTCTAGAACAAAATGTGCTCTCGTTTTTTGTAGTTGATGTATTTGAAATACGCTGCGCGAGTTTGACCAATTACGAGTAGTAAAAAGAAAAACCTGGTTGGCCAGCAGAAACGTATTTCTATATACTGTTCAAAAACCCTGCAATAACATGCCTTCCTTTCAACAAATTCAAAATAGTTCTTCTCACCTCTTCGATAAACATCCAAGGGTGGTAATTTCCTCCAACCATATTGTATTTTCGGAATCCATTCTTAAATATCGCTCGGAGAGCTGTGCACAAGCTGTCATAAAAGTTTATATGAATGCATAAGAAAGCCTAGATTCATGAACAGTATTTTTCATTCAATAAAGCCAACTAAAAAAACAGATTGGAGAAATAAAGTGCCCAATTAAATTTACTCTGTAAGAAGATAAATTCACGAAGTGTCTTCTTATTTCGATTCCAGAAATTTTGAATGCTTTCTCGCTTGAGCATTGTTGTCTGTAGGTTTACAAAACAGCCATGTTCTTCTGATTTAAAACAATGGAAACAACACAACCCAAGAGAGACGGGCACATGATCGTCCACTGCTTTTAATTCCTTTCAAAGGGAAATACCCCTAACTGTGTACCTCGATTCAAGTAGGGACTTTTAAAACAACGTATTTTCTCTATATATCCAACTTTCTTTTCAATAAACCTAATTCAAATGAGAGCGTACTCTTAAAGAACTGGATGCTGGTTTACAACAGGGACACAAAGATCGACTAAGCGATACAATAAGATCTCATTACATTGTCATGCAAAATTTAAAACAAAAGACTTACTGTCCACGGACAAGATCTGTGACAGCTTCCGTGACAGTATCATCACCAGCCATGGAGTACTAAAACAAAGATAATTATTTGAAAACACTTTGTTTAAGACATTATTTCATGCCTTTACAGAATTCGGTTAAAAAATTCCAAAGACAAACATGTTACATAGACTTGACAATCAAAAAAACAAAATGTTCACTAGAACCAACTGGATCTTCACATCTCTTAGAATAACAGAGAGAAAAAAGTATCAAGAAATCATAAAAAGTTGAATCATTAACGCTTTTATTAAAGGTGAACTGACACGCAAAATTAACTTGACCTCAAATGAAAGCATATCGAGCATAAATACCTGATACATTATTATTTTTTAATATTCAACACAGTTTTCGAGTTACTGAGAGCCAAAGTTAGCCACCGAATATTTTTTGAGCACGGACGAGTTCGCCCGAGCCTTCCGCATAATCGTGACGTCACAAACACCACGTTCACATCACTTGAGCAACACGACAGTCTGGAAGACCGTACTTTTATGACTTTGCGGATGAGCATCGATACATTATTTGAGTAGGTTTTGGCTCCATTTCTGAAACCTGATTTTGTCTTCTTTACAAACCATTCATAATAAGATTTGCAAAAATAACGTTCATGATTTATATGATGTAGAAATAATCTATCGAAGTAATAATATTTTGAATATATTCGAAAAAGAAGCTAGATTCATTATAAAATGAAAAAATTTCATTAGCCTCGAATTTTCACCTATCTTGGATCAAAGGCTACGTAGACCTCCTCGAAAGTAATTGAGCACGATGAACTAAACGGTCCAGTCCGCGCGTGATTTCCATTCAAGGAATAAAAACATGGTGTTTGTGACGTCACACGCACTGGGTCACATGAAATACCGATAATGGTCGAACACTCGACGATAATTTCATGACATTTAGAGAGGAATTGCGTCAAAACCGACAATAATAATTAACCGAAATCTTGAAAATAATATTCCATGCATCACTTTCTGCATCATATCAAAAAATAGTTTTGCGTGTCAGTTTACCTTTAATGATTGCTAATAACAAACGTAAGAAATAATTGGAAACCTCTTTGCTTCTTTCGTCTAATGGTCGCACAAACTTTGCAGGAAACCACCCTGAGAGAAAGTAAAGATTGTCATAAAACTTTGCTTGACCATATATATATTAAACACATGAAATATATACAATATCTTCTACGTTCAGAGACCTAAGATTAACCACGCAAACCCAACTTGCTGATAGAAAACTAATCACAACAGAGAGAGCATTATCTTTGTCGATTAAAAGCAACTACAAATTATAACTGGCTCTCGCAGTTCTGAATAAAAGTCATTTAATGACTCACTACAAACCTCTCAAACCATTTAACTCGCCAATCCAGCAATGATCATCCTTCTGAGAAATAATCTGAAAAACGCAGAGAAAATCGTCACAGAGCTTACTGATATTGCAGACTAGAACACAAAATTGTTACTGTAAACAGTGAAACATTCTTAACATTCCTGCTACCAAAACATCCCGATAGAAAATGACGGCTCAGACATAGTTTAAAAGCCATAAGCTTTTCGCAGCTAGCCTTCTGAAATCATATTCTAAAATAGTTCATCTGACTTATCGACGTTAACACAACATTAAACATCAAATTTTAGCATTTCAAAAATTAATATTAACATGTCATATTGTAACAGGCAAGGAGGAGATGCTTTCTGCCCGGAAAATTCTTAGGATTTTCTAAAATTTGGTGTTATTAGATCAAAGTTCTTACTGTAATAATATCATGTTTTCGAAATCCAAGTTCGTCATCTTCATGTCGTTCAAAATCAACAATTGCCTTTGCACGACGAAGTTTACTCCTGGCAACAAAATAAAACGTGTCTAGTGAATTTTCTGTGATTAGCGTGAGCAAATGATTACACAAATAAGGGTAGAAAGTTTTGCTCTAACAAAAGCTCATTACCGAAATTAAAACTAAACTTAAACAAAAGACTAAATTGAAGCGCAACAGAAAGCACAATGGAAATGGAAGGAATGGCTATATTTGAAGAAATGTTGTAAAATAGAGATGAAGTAATATCCTTTTGGCTTTAGATATCACGACTGCTATACTGCAGTTACTAATGACATGATATTTCAGCAAATGTTGAAGCTTCGTTGAGAGAAAATATATTTCGAGCAAGAAATATATCAAGGACACTAGGCATCGTTACATTCAAGAAATGCATTTAAGTGTTTTAAGGGAAACGCTTCGTCCCCACTGTACCCAATTCCAATTATTACTTTACCTGGCAACCTTAATATAATTTTCATAATCTTTGGCGTGGCTGTCCAGTGAATAGTCAATTCCCAAGCTCTATTATGAAAAAATGCAAGTCACAAATCATTGATAAAAAGATTGCAATATTTTACCAAGAAATGTGATGATTCATGGCCGAAAACCAAAAAAGCTTTTGTGTTCGTGCATTTGCAACGAAGATAAAGTTTAAGCTTCAATGAATAGTTTATTCTGTAAGATGCTAATCATGTTAGGAGGAATATAAGAGCCAACTGCAGGAGCAGCTTTATTCAGTTATGGGACCAAAGAAGTATGACAAAGCGCAAAAAACCTGCCTTCAAGGCATAGTTGTTACGAGTACGGCGATGGTTTGCAAATCTATCCTTTTAGATGGGTCTCAAGTACCACAATACGTCAGAAAGTAGCGGGAAATTGGGAGCCATTTTTTATGTATCCAAACTAGATCTATATCTTATTCGACCATTAAACTTTGGTGCAGATCGAGTCAATATGAAAGAAGGTGTGCCAAATCAGTTTTTTTTACACGATTCAGTTTCTTTGAAGCATTAACCTTGACGTAATTAGCAAACAATTATGTTTCCACATTATTGTGTCATCCTAAAATTCTAGTTTTATCCCTTTTTGATGAGACAATTATAAAGGACAACATTGCCGACAGCACTACACTGCAAGGAAGACAGGTAACCAATTGGAAAATACCAGATCATGTTTGACGCATAGGCTTTCGTAAATACCCCAAATTTCAGAAGTATAAGAGGAAAATGACTGTATTTGCCTCTAAAAATTACGTACTAATTTTGTCGTACTAATTTTGTCGAATTTGGATTAAAGCTGGTGATGTCTTATTTTTCGACGTGCAGACTATTCTGCTTGTTTGTTTATTCATTCAAATATACATTAATTAAGAGAGACAATTATCTTCCGAACAAAGATGAGATATAAAATCTTGTTATGTCTGCGGTTTTGCAGTTTTGAAAATCATGCCATAATTTTATCACTGTCTGACACTGACACAGAAGTATGCTGAACATAAGTGAAACAATGGAAATAACAGTGTTAGCTTTCTCACCTTCTTCGTTTGATTGCTCTTAAAATGTTTCGCTATAAGCATGATTGATTCTCGTAAGTCCGATATCATTTCTAAACAGCAAAAGATATAAGTAACTTATATTTAATCATTTAAGTTTAAGTTTAAACTCTAGCTACTCCATTCCGGAGCCCAAGTTTTCCTTACATGAAATCTATAAACAATACCAAGTTTCGAGGAACATCCGACAGGTTTTCACTGAGCTTTCTTTTTGAAAAAACGCAACAGCTTAACAATACCAAATTCCTGATATATTTTCACATATTTTAGCACGGAATAGAAAACTTATGCATTGTGCCATATTCTTTTTTGAATAAACAATATGTACAAAATACTGCAGAAGGTGAGGCTGAGTTGAAAAAAATTCTGATGGACATGAACAAAGCAGAAAATGTAAACATAGACAAATCAACAGAGAATACAACTTATTTTGCTGAAATAATATCACGCAGGAACTTGCCTGTTTTCTTTATGTTCTTGGCTTTCGCAGCAACACTCGAGTCTACACCTTTGATGAGAAAAAATAAACAACGATTGTTCTTATAAAGCAAAACAAAAGAGACAACACATCACAAGAGAGGCAGACACAACATTGTCCTCGGTGCTTTGAATGCACTCTGCTCTTATTTTTTTAAAGGAAAGACCCCTAAATGTCTACACTGTATTCTCAGTTTTAAAGTTTTTTATACGTTAAATAACAAATAAAATAATTAATCAAATGGGTTAAATCTCGCGTGGCTATCTTGGCTGGTCTTTACGTGAATGAAGGTCCCTAACAATAAGCCTCTGAACTTTTCCATAATGAGTCATATTAGAATTTTGCAACTAGGTTTCTTGAGCAGATTTTGGAGCAAATAGACTTGAAAGTAAAAATTTTATAACATGTACCAAGATGAGAGCCACAAAATTGGGTTGCAATCATCACAGGACCATATCGATAGAGAAGACTGAGCCAAGAAGTTGCTCCAGATATCCCAAACTTGTGCAGTGTCTAACAATGAAAACAATCCTCTTTATGCATCACTTATATGCATCAAAAACACATTGTGAAGACAGGCATGGTTTAATTTGATTCTCTCACTGACATTTCACCTTTACTTTACCTTAATTTTTCCGCAATTCCTTATCCTATCCTAACCCAGGAAACTTTCCAGAGTGAAAAAAGCTAAAGGCAAATTAAAGAACTGTCTGCATAAAGTTGTCAATACCTTTTTCAAATACAATGTGATGGGGGTTCTATAAAAATTCTTCTGAACACTGGAGGCAATAACCATTCTATTTCAAAAAATCTTCTTTATACTAATCTTTTTATTGGAAAATATAACTTTTTATAAATCTCATGAAAAGTGTGTATTTCAAAATGATACCTTCACTGAGTTTGCAGCATCCAGAAAGGATTCTTTTGACTTGCCAAGCTCTGTAACGAGAAATGCCAGATGCTTTTTTCGATGAGCGTCCAGTATAACATCTGTTAACGATGCTGATGTCTTTACGGCAGCCTGAATAAATAGGAAAAAAGCAAATGTATTCCTGACTGTCTAACCATGTCAAACGGAGCCATAACTTACAATATTACGACGAAGTTGTCAGCGATGCATTTTGTACCAAAGCAGACAATTTCATTGACGCTCAGTAAGCCATTGACTTGGACAGCATCAGTAAACCATGTAAAAGAAAGAGGCCTCTTTGGACAGCATTACCTGAATAAGCTCTTTGGGCTCGATCATTTCACCTGGAAGATCCGAGAGGGCATTGAAAATCTGCGCAGAATTTTCAAGTGTAAGCAGCGTCGGCTCCTACATGAAAAAAGTGAGATCAAATGAAAACCCAAGACACAAACCAACAATAGAGGACAACTTCAAACAGAAATAAATCGCAGTAACAACTAACGTTGCTAAAACGTAGAAATGTCCGCTATTTTTGCACTGTTGAATTCTTTCCCCACTAAATTAGCAATAGGGAATTTCATTTATCTCTTCCAGTATATCTGCAATGCCTTCAAGCTATTACCTTGGCGTTAACGGTTTCCAGATATCGTTTGCTGAATAGAAATAATGGTTCATTTACGCTTCATTCATAAGCATTAATTCACTATAAATAACTGTACGCCCCATTACAAGTATACAGAATAAAATCAGTCAATCTGGAATTTACGATAAAGTCGTTCGAGCATCAGAAAAAGAGCAGAATCACTCAGCCAAAATCAAGCAAAAGATTTAGAGGTACCGTCGAAGGCCTAGTCCTAATTTCAGGAGGAAAAGAGGGACTGATGCAAGTGACTTGAGTCGAATTTCAAGGCAAATGTAGAATGTTTGCAGAGCAAAAGGGAAGCATCCTCTACCAAAAATAGGTTTTTCCCAGGACGGGGTGCTTAAACAGACATAATAGATCAGTGATTGTTTCAGCAGCTGAATGGAAAATAAAACACAATTATCGCAATAGAATATGAAATTATATTCAAAAACAAGAGAGATGCGAACGCTTTCTCGGAAAGCAATAAGAAACCAAAGTTTGGTTGGACCTTGACTAAACTAACGAAAACAGTCAACAACAGCTAGAAGACCAAACTTGATACTGGAGGGTAAGAAAAATAGAACTTTGTTTAGATCTGACATTGCGTGCCCAAAGGAAGTGAAAACCAATGCAAAATGAACGGAGATAAAAACTTAAATTCTTCAATTAGCATAAAAGAGAGAAGACAGACACAAACAAGAAACAAAAGAGAGAAGACAGACATACTAGGCGGATATAAACCCAGTGATGATTGGATGTTCGGGTGGAAGAATCTTAGAACATTTGGAGAAATCAAAGAATGATTTGGATGTGAAGATATGACCCGAAGGGTACTTGGAATGATCCATAACACAGTGTTGATGAAGAAAGAGAAAATCATCAGAAAGATATATTATGTGTATGTGATATTACAAAATACAAATAGAAATAATAACTCTTTAAAATTTCATAGAATAGCAGCTTCAGTGGCTGGTGGACTTTTGTATTAATTTTTCTGGTCATAATGATTTCAACTGCAAAATATTCGAAGTAATAAAGCATTATATAAACCAAATGGCCTTCGATATATATTGGCTTAAAAAGGCCAATTATGCACTTGCAAGAGCAAAATGTAACAAAACATTATCAAAATAAATGCCAATCTTTAAGCATACGTTCTTCAGTTTTTAGGTTTGCAGCTTCAAAGTTCTCTTTACAAACTCGAACCCAGCTCACAGCTAGAACTAATATACATTTCAAAATTAGCTTAAGAATATGGAAATTACCCGAAATATCTTTCACTTACCTTTATTTTCAACATACCAAGAGTGACTCGAAAAATTGTAATGGAACCATCGTAAAAGAAAATGTCCCAAACACGGAGCAACACCTAGAAACGATTTGGGTGAATGCAGCCGTTAAAAATGTACAAAAGACACACAAAATATATGGCAAGCATTAACAGTTCAACAAGTTATCAAACAATTCCACGCAGTATAAAGTCACTTTTGTTCCCATAAAATCATACACAAAGAATGCTGCATGGATAACTGGCTTAGCAATAAAAGACAGCAAAAACAGAACGAGGCGGTACGAAACAGAGCAAATAAAACATAGCGATAACACACCCGAAGTGGTAAGACACTGGACATCATTGTTAGAAACCAATGCAATGTGATGAGAGATAGCTCTAAAATAAAATGGGTTTTCTCTGAATCAGGTTGTTGAATGTTGGCACAGTTTGGCTTTCTTAACAGTATTAATATCTTCTTAAACCAAACGTAAACCAACATTGTTTATGAAATAATTTTCTAGCTTTTCACAAAGCAACAACTCTCAGTAATTCTTGGGAGACAAGTTAAAGGCGTGATGCTACGTAAAATGTAGCAAAACATAGCATAGTGCAAAAAAGTATCCAGCTACTCCGTAAAGCTTTAGTAAGAAAGAACTGCATGCGCTACACGTTCGAATTTGGTTGCCTTTTCTATTATGAATTGCACAATCTTGAAGCCAATATCACAAAAAGCAAACACAGAAAGAAAGTGCAAAGTTACCGATGTCGTGCTCCCTGAGAAGACCATCCAAATTTGGCAAGTAGCTAACGATGAGCTGACGCAAAACTCTTTGGTCTGCCTGATAAAAAGATAAGAGGCTGGTACCGACACATTCAATAATATTATTGAATACAAAAATTATGAAAGAAAAAAGGGAGGCCAACAGTTGGTCGTAGGATGACCTACTTTCGATAATGTCCTCTGCAATGAGAATTTACTCATCTAGAACAGCTGTTGAATCTAACATGGCGCCTAAAGAAAGCCCGTGAAAGTTCATTTGAACTAATTTAGAGAAGCAGAAGTTTTTTATTTCGAGTGCAGTAATGCAAACTCTAGTTAGGCTATAACCAGAAAGGAAATACTGACAAAAAGAAAATAATGGTGGCAAGACTAGGAGAATTTATCCTGAAATATATTTTCTTTTTGAATGCAATTAAATTAAATACGCAATTAACTGCACATCTACCTGAACACCCAGAAGAGTTGTTGAGAAATACGAGCATGGAAGTAAATCTTCGATTATGGTTCTCATCATCCAAAAAACATCTTCTTCGTCAAGGAACAGCAACAAAGATCCAACAATCTAAAACGAAGTTAAAACTATTTGTTAGATCAGTGCAAAAAGTTCATAATTATGTTAAAAAGATTTAGAATCTACTGTCATTATAATAAGAGCATTGAACCCAGATTTTATTCAACAGAAAACCGAGCAGCAAGCACAAAGGCTTTTGTAGCAGAAAAATACAAATTATAACGATATTTCTTCTTGTTATGATTTGTTAGTCTTGTTGAAAATAAACCTCACCATTCCAAGACCCTGACAATAACCAATATCAGGATAGAGGCCTGCAATCGCAATCAGAATTCGCTTCAGCTTTGGAATACCAATGGCATCAGCGGTTTGAAAACAAGCATTCGAAGGCATTGTCCTGCACAAGTCCTAAAACAGCATACCAATGCAATGTGGTAAGCAAAGTTTCTCTCGCATAATGCACATCAAAAGTGGGAACAGAATATGTACACAATTATGAAGTAAGCAATATGCACAACTATTTTGTAACCAAATGCACCAGTAGGCTAGAGAGTTAATTCAATTGAGAAGCAAAAAAAGGTTAGGGTTGATACCGCATTCCTCTGTGATACATTGTTAACGATTTATATATGTTTAACAAGCAATACCGGACTACCTTTTCAATTTGGTGAACACAAGATGAGTCATCATTGTCGCACTTCCTTAATATTTTCTACAAGAGAGCGAAGTTTCTTACAAAATATCTGAAATATCAAGAGATAATGTTACAGGTAAGACAAATAAATTGAATATTTGTGTGTTCTCGACTTATACATTCACACATATTTCCAGTAAAACATACACAAAGTTGATGCTTAGAGCTGAGAGAGGGCAAACAGCATCCAACCCGAGTGGCTTTGAAAAACTATGATCGTTTACATGAGACTCATCTGAATCAGTGAATGGGTTAATTTTGCCGTTAGTTCACAGTATCTCATACAATATCATGTTATAACGATAATATGGTTAGAAAATAAATTAAGTACTATTGAATGAATGAATTGAGTAATATTGAGTACTAGAATGAAATAAAATAGCTTGATTGATTAAAACACGACGTTTCGAGCATGTATTCGTTATCAAGTCACTTGGATGAAGTACCACACGCAACGTACATATTTAATTGGATATATCATGTTATCCTGGTAATTACTTGAAGTTTATTTTCAATTTCAGAGTGGAAACCGAAATTAAAAAAATCGAGTTAATAAAGTAATAGAGTAAATTCGAGCCAGCCTAAAAGCTGAAAGCAAAAAAAATCCATTTAACAAGCTTTTTATAAGCATCTTTTTGAACCTTAACAATTGTATATAACCGTCAGTATTGAAGTCATGAGGTGATGACATACATGCTTGTTTGAATCCTTTTGTAAACAGGCTGACTGGTTGATCGTATTAACATTTTGCTTAAGACTTGACAAGTTACAGAAAAACCTTTGCTTATTTCTCACCTTATAACTAATTTTGCTCTCCAACTTTTTTGCCAGTGCACCAGATATTCTTGGCCATACCTATTATTGGAAAAAGCTCTGATCTCTTCACAATAAACAAATTTAAATACTAAAATTAAAAAAAGAAATAGTAGAATGCACAATTTCCAAAACAAATAAGACATAAATATGGTCTATTTCCAATTCCCTTCATAATAGTACAGCGGTTTCGTTAAAATTTAAAGAACATCCGTCTAATATTGTGAAGAAAACCCATTATTCGATAAAAGTTAAACCAAGTGAGAAGTATGTCCTTTAAACAATGGATTTGCTCTGATAAAATCTAACAAGCTCAATTGTAGGCATTACCTTGCCAGAACTGGCAGTTTTCTATTAACTTATAATGGTCATGTTTATGATTTAATTTTGAAAAGAAGTTTGTTCCTTTAAAAAGTTTTCCAATTCAAAAAATTGTTGCCTCTTGTAGTTAGAGATTGCTAAATATAATTTTCCGCTTCTATTTTTTGTAAACTTATTGCATTCTTAACTTAAATTGTGTATGTAAAATTTTATGAAAATGAACTTGACCCTTTACCTTACCTAATATTGTTTTCGTTTTTTTCTCTCGAAATTTAAAAGAAAATCAAACTAAGTCATCAAATTTAAAAACTCACATGCATTCTCATACTGTGTGGTATTCCAGCATATACGAGTTCTCTCAGCTTGTCTGATTTTGGCAATAATCCAACCTGCACAAACAGAGCATTTCTCAAAAAAAGCCCATCTAGATAAACCAACTGGGCTGCGAAACGTATTAAAAAAAGTAGCATGAATAAGTCTTTTAAAAAACTGAAGGGAACATTGACCTTAAAGGCGATTTAAAAAATCATCAACATCATATATAAATCATAATAATGTTTGCGTCACTGCGTACGAATTCAAAAATGCTTCGTGACAGAGAGACTTTTGGGAAACCACTAAAAATAGTCTTGTTTTATAAAAACAGCGATTTGAAGCAACTCGAAAAATTTTACTGCACTATTTAATGGAAAGGTTCTTATTGGCCTTTGGCTTCAAAAGATACCAATCTGAACATGAGCTTTCGTGTTATGGAGTGTAAATCTGATTTGATCGATCAGCAACCGGAATTTGCCATGCAACGCAGTGAGGTAAAAAATGTGAGTTCTTGTGGCATGATTCGCCGCTTAACTGTCAAGCAGCTGGATAAGTTGCAATTTTCGTTCATCGAGGTTTTCAATCCAGCCAATCAATTTCTTTAGAATCATCGGCACAGTTCAATAAAAAAACTAACTAAATTCTACCTTATCCCAACTCAAATCCCCTGCTATATGGTTCTGCGTAAATTCTAAATGTGCAATCCATTTCAGCCTCTGAGTTGGGTCTTCTGTTGTCACAGATGTTTCTGCGTCAGAATCGTGTGTATCATCGGCCTGACCTGGTTTAAAATGAAAAAAGCCTTTCAAATATAAAATAACTTTCAAAACAATGCAAAAGGTACAACGAGAAGAGAAACGCAAGTTTCAATTTTATAGGAAGCTCACCGTTGCAGCAGCAAAAGGGCGACAGCAAAAGTGACAAAAGATTACCCCTAATGAAATCGAGAGCTAGCAGCTGACATCCACTTAAGATTTTTACCTGCTTCAATACAATTGCCAAACTCGTCGTAGTCGCATTCGGGGCGCGAGCCAGCATCCTCGGTCTATTTAAAATGAAATTTTCATGTTAGCACAAGCTAAGTTACGAAAATCTGACGATATTAGATTGATTTTAAGACACAATATCAAATTCATGACGGATATTTGTGAGTATGTACTACTGTATGGATTCTCCGGATTTCATAACAAAAAACGAGGTGCAACAAATTAATGAGTTAGCCACAATTTTGCTAAAACTAAATTACACAGCCTTTATCTTTGAACTGCTAACCTAATCTCTTATAACTGCCCTCCCAACGCTGTTCATAGAATGACTCTACAAAAAATACCTGTTGAATACGAGCGAGAATGTCCTGCGGCCACATAGTTGGCACTAATGCAGAAAATGGGCCGCATGTTCCGGGTATATAGGTGGCGCTTGCAGGCGTTCCGACCCCGGATTCACTGCCAATAATATCTGAAGAGGCGGTATGTCTCCACGAGGTATCGTTGTCACTTTCATCAGATGACTCACCAACTGTAGGAGCTGTAAATATTACACATTTCATTAGATTCATGTTTATTTAAAGACAGGACAACAAGCATTATTTCGACAAGAAATATCCAAAAAGGGATGGCTTCCTGCAGAGCACAGTGTCTGTTTTTGAGTTACGTAAGGTCGTGCGTAGCGTGGTATTTTGTGACTCTAACACAATTAATCAATTAAGAATTAGAATATTTGAAGAAACATTTTCCAGAAAATAGATTTTCTTTTTAATGGCAAGCACAACCTGTAATGGCACTCCTACCATCAAAGATCCAGCTAACTTCCTCTAGAAACCGACCAAGATTTTTTTATTTCTTGATTTTCTAAAACTTTTAGCAAACTTTTTAACTTGAAAACTGTTTAACAGGTATTTGTCTTTGCCAGTGCTTCATTGCTTAAATTTGAACTACAATGCAACAAAGAGGCGTGTGTCACTTTTAGACTGGTGGTTAATGAAGGTATAAGAACAGACAGTGCTTTTATATGCAAGACTGGAAGATAACTTTTTGCATGGAACAATGTTTTGAGACCAAATAAACAGGACTGGAATCTGTCCTCCAACCACTATGTAAATAGCATAGATATGAATAATGAATTACCCCAAACAAAACTAACAAATTCCTTGTAGGATAGCTAAAACACAGTTTTAAGTGTCATCTGTAAGACCCTGGTGTATCTGGTGGGATGCCAGCTTTTAGAACAGTGATACTTTACACCATTATAAAGAGGATTTTTAAGGAGATAGGTTGCTGGAAATGTTTTAGTTTCTATTAGTTAATCTGATTTGAGTAAATTGTGCATTATATTTAGTCCAATTTTCTGTGGCATAGGGGATAGGATGGGGCCAGGTTATAGTCCAAAAGCTTTTGCAATTGATAAAATGAAAATAGATTTCGTCATAGGTGAAAATTTGGTTTCTTCTTATGTGTAGATTTGGAGAAAACACAGTCATACAAAAGGTACCCTGAATTAACACAGTTTTCTCTTAGTCCAAGTCTAGCTTCCCTTTGAGTGATTGAGATTTTTCCAAAAAACTATAAGAAACCGCAAAAGATGGAAATTAAATTTATCAATTTCAATGACATCCACACAATTTATCAATTACAATGACATCCATTCTATTTTTAATAATTGATTAATTTTTTGCATGCATTAGCAATGATCCTTCATAAATATCATTTTTCATTTACAGAAGGCTAGAAAAGACCAATATAACCAATATAGAAAATCTAGGCCTGCTATTCACATTCTATTTTAATTACAATCAAATAAAAAAGAAACATAAAATAGACAATTTAACTATTTAAAGTCTTACAAAATAAAAACAAGTTATTAAGTTCTAACCTGTTGGAACCTGACGTTTTGAACATATGTTTTGGGAAGCCTACAGTTGCATTTTCTCTGATCCAACATTTAATCCTTTTTTAAATAAGGTTCATTGTAATTGATTGTTTTACTCTTTGCAGTAAAATCTGCCATAATTTATTACCAAGGTATAATATTGTCTAAACTCCAAAGGACATGGTTGGCCCCTTTAGGAGCTTGGCATCATTGCAATGTCTTTGAATGTAGCTAATAATTTGTTCTCTGAAAAGATCATCAATTAATGGTAGATCTAGATCTGATTATTTTTATAGACCTCAATCATAAGCAGTTTTAAGTACAAATGTCATACTATAGAGTTCTAAAATGATGATGTCAGGAAAATCTATTTCTATAACTTTTAAATTTTGATCCCATATCCTAAAGGAACATGGTGAAATACCTCTGTATACCAATTGGCTGAGATAAGGCCAAACAAGAACACGACTTTATGAACAGAGCCAGAAAGACAGTGATCCATTAGCAAATTTAAAATCTTTCATTGGATATATCTCACCCAGTTTTTTATGCATTTACCTGATTTTGCACATTTAAAAGTATTATATGGAGTTCTTTTATTTTATGTGGTCAAAATTCAAAAATTCTGAAAATGGTTTTCTGTGTCGTCACACTTAAGAACTTTACTACTTTCAAAATAACTTTATTCAGTATATTGATTTTTAGAACTAATTATGGTTTGTTTTGGCACAAGTACAATGTTTTTTAATAGCAAAAATGGATAGTTGCGATTTGCCTGCCGATTTGTATGGGTAGGAGAAGTGTACAAAAAATTCACAGGAAAGAGAAGTCAAAGTTATTCATCTTGCAAATTTAAGGCTCTTTATCCATTGTATGGATAGTATTTAGTCTAAATGCTGAAAATATGAAATTCATCTCTACAAATGGGCTCCATGGAATTTATTGTATGGAGGACTATGCAAGGTTGAAGAATGTTTAAAAGCAAGAAACCAATAAAGAGACGCCCACGAAATAGTGCACGCAGTTTGCAGCAAAGGCTTTTGAAGAGACCTTGTATTTCTTGTTTTTTACTATTATCAGAAGTTAGAAGTTTAGATGGTGGAATATTCCCGAGTAATATGACAAGATAAACAAATACCATGCACAGAATCTACAACAGATTCTTAATAATGCATTGGCAGAATTAAGACAGAATTTCAGTCTGGAACTCTTGGCTTCAAACCAAGTTTATTGTCTTTCTACATGTCTTGGAAAAAATCAGTGCAACACCAACACTTCTTAAGCATTATTTCATTTCCAGATACACAAATAAGTTTTGAGAACACATATCAACCTTATACCAATAACAGAATACAATTTCATCAAATTGCAAACTTTCATAAACTGCCATTTAAAAATGGAGGATGATACTTTCTGTAATTTTTACAATTAATCTTGTTAGAAAATTTCAGTTATTTGTTGAGACAGAGTATAAAAATCAAATAACACTTACTGAATTGTAGATTTTCAAAAGAATTTCAAAATTCTATGACTGACATGAATAACAACTTAGGCTAACAATTTGATGCACAGAAATGAAAAAAATGTGTGAATTAAAGATAGTTGAATTGAAAGTTATGTGTAGAATTAAAACATACAGCATGAAGTAGCAAAGTCTGCCACTAAAATATCGCTAAAAATTAAATTGTTTGCGCCACCACTTTTTGGTGCGTTTAAAATTAGTAAAAAGGGGATGAAACACTTAAGTTTCAACCCAACATCGTTGAGGCATTGTTGATTACTAAACACAAATCTGGCAGTTAAATTCAAGTAACTCCTGTGTTTTCGTCAAACAAAACGAAGCGTCCTCAACATCACGAGAACTAACACGTCCTATGTTTTGAAAAACAAATGTATCAGATGCCACCATTGTCATAAAACAATAAACTTTATTTCAGAGAAACAAAGCGCGACAGACAAATACGAAAGTATGGCTTGGTTAGGCCCTTTTCAAAAGCCGTTGTTAAAACTTTGCAAAATAATCATGAACCTGTGAAGAGATGGACCCATATATAATCATTACAGGAGAATTTTTAAACATGAATAAAATCGAAGCTACTGCACCTGTCATCCCAGGGTCTAAATATCCATCTGGTCTACGATTAAAAATATGCGCAAGGCCACCCAACATCTCCTTATATCGTTCCACTCACAGTACGCATAAATCTACACCATTTACCATGACAGAAACACACTTCATAATCTTCCTTTCATATTTATAAAACGAAAAGGCTCTTCCAAGTTCCAATGTCACGTCACCAATACTTTGAAAACTTCTTCCTTTCATTAAGAGCAGTTTTGTTTGCAAGGATCATTGATCAAAATAGTAGTTGTTGTTGTTGAACCACAAAATGTTGAACCAAAGAAACCTCGTCACCCGGACAACTGGAAATGTGACTGACATAAATTTTTGATCTCCAAGATTAGAGTTCCAAAGAGATGACGTGTAAAATATTTCTCTAGAATATTTTTTTCTTTATCGCTAAACCTTAAAGAGCATTATGAAAGCCTAAGTGGACAAAATCAGGTAAATTTTGCGCAAATTTACTGGGATGTGGCCACATGAGCACAGGTTCTTTCTCAGTAGGTTCTAAATATGTCAACAAGGCCAAAGCAACGAATGTCTGTTAACAAAATTCAGTTCTTCTACTTGCTATAATCTCAGGCAATTTTCAATAGATTATATGTATTAAGAGGTACTTCTCAGTGCTTACTTCAGGTTGGGCAGTCGAAAGTCAAAATTTCTAAATGTAGATCTTTGGTGACTGTTCACTTCTGATTCTAATAAATAGCATTCTTTACAATTATTGATTTTCATCTGAGTAAGTCTGTGGTTCAAAGTCAAATGTTAATCCCAATTTGTCACACACTGAGTTATTTAGCCAAGTTAGGTTGGTATCTCATTACGAACATTCATTCTGTTCAAAACAGTTTACCAAACTGTGGTAGGATCGGAACTTGGTTTCGATCTGAAGCATCTTCCAAAACTAGTGGTAACTGTCCGTTCGAGGTGCTGGTAGGTTGGTTTGGTATCTGACCCGGTTGGCTTCTGACCCGGCTGGCTCCAGAACCGGCTGGCTCCTGAACCGGCTGGCTCCTGAACCGGCTGGCTCCGGGACCGGCTGGCTTCAGAACTGGTGGCTCCTGGAGCGGCTGGCTCCTGAAGCGGCTGGCTCCAGAACTGGCTGGCTCGTGAACCAGCTGACTCCTGAACCGATTTGCGCCTGAACCTGGTAGGCTCCTGTACCCGCTGGCTCCTGTATCTACTGGTGCCCGAACAGGCTGGCTCCTGTACCGGCTCACTCCAGACCCTGGTTTCTCCTGACATGGCTGGCAATTAATCATCAAAACAGAGTATTCAGCGAGCACCAAGAAATAAGAGCATCTTTATCTAACATCTCTCCCAATGCTCATTGCAAGTTATTACAGTTTGCATCAAAACTCCGAAATCCAAAGATTGTTAGTGGCAGTTTTATTATAAACACAGGCTTACAACACCATTCTTTTCTAAAAAGCAGGGCACCAAAAAGACGTGAAGTACATCAAAATTACGATAATAGAATGATGATAAGGAGACAGATAACAAGTGGACAGAGATACTCGCATTTGGAAACAGGAATTCCATTTTTTGATAAAACAAGAAGTAAAACAAACGCCAAAGCAAAATTGTTACATAAACAAGAAAACAAGTATACATGAAAGCAGCTATTGGGGTGAAATCTACCATGCTCAAATAACAGTCAAATAACAATAACAAATCTACAATCGCGTAATTTAAACAAAGTGCTGGCAATTAGTTCACGCCAATGTACGACGCAAGGCGAAAATGCTGAATATGTATAAGCAACTTGCAGCGACTAGGCTAATAATCGAAGAAACATATCTGAAAAAGAAAACGACTTTGACATTTAAAGAATGAAGCATTTTACACTCTAGTAGAAAAAACCAAAACCAATATTGTTACAACTACAGTACCAGCATATTTGGCGTTCATTTGTTCTTTGAACCAACTGTTGAAGCTTCTCATTAAACGTAAGTTATAGCTGCTATTTCAACTATAAAAGGCAATTGAAACTTTGAAATTAACTTTGAAAGTTCATTTCATCTTAAAAAAAGTGTTGCTTATGACTTTCAGAATTAGTGCCTCCTTTTTTTACTAATAACAGGTTCTTATGAAAAGATATCACACGATGTATTAGTTTCTGATTTGATCCGCTAAAAGAAACGGAGAAGCATCCTTTCAACAACAGTAGACAAATCCAATAATGGTTCAATAGTTTGACCAAAGGAACAGCATATGCTGCTATGATATCAAAGAAAAATTGAGCGCAATAAATGAAAGGAAATATTTCAAACAGCATGCTATTGCATGACAGAAATAAAGACATCCTCGGCGAATGAGACATACATTAGCAACTGGATGAACACCCCGAGCGCGAAGTAATGCTACATACTAGATGACCCCTGGCCTTGACAAGATGTTTACGTGTAGCTAACAGTATGCTCGGGTTCAATGTCCAGAGATCAAACCAATCTTCTTAAATACCAGTGAATTGACTTCGACAGCAAAATTAGCCAAGCAGCTACTCTTTTTGCTGTATGTGTCGCTTCAATTCAGTTTAACCAATTAAATTTCAAGCTGCAAAGCGACTTTGCATGATTTTGCAAATAAGAAAGGACCAGAGCACCAACTACAACCAAAGGCGACAGGGCTGTTTCTGCAAAAGCTGATCGCCAACACCTAAGGACTGGCTCGTCGTCTACTCATTCTGGTCCTGATTGCTGGCTTCCAACAACGACTCTTCAGGCAGTATTGGTCATGCATGGAATACAACGATTCCACAGTGATCTATCCAAAACCTCGGGCGAGGCGGCACACATTCCGTTCTACACCCACGGTGTCCATCCTTCGTAAAGCTGACAGAGATTGTCTACATCTACAGCTTCCTTTATGACAAAATCCACCTAAAGATTGAAAAACCAGAAATAGTAAAATCTCTTCCAGGTTTATTTTTAGACCAATTAGTTGCTTCCAATACAATTTTTAAAAACAGAAAGCGAGAATAATTTTCAAAGTGGCTTAAAGATTTTTAAAAACAATTACAATTTACCTGCTCAGGGATGGTCATTCGATGATTTAAATCCAAATCTTTGCCTTCCAATTTTGCCTTGATACGACGCCAAACGTTGACTGCATACATGTTCTTCTCTTGAGTAGCTGAGAAAAGACACCAAATAATTTACATCGCGAAAGCGAGCCAGAAAGGATAGCAGACGCTTTTTGTCAGTAATCTATTAGAGAAACTTTATAGCAGGTATTTGTTGGGAACTATGAAAGGAAACTCATTATTTTTTAGATATCCCTTGCAACCAAATATGCCACGTTAGTATCTGAAAAGTAACAATGTATTTTTCAAATCAACGAGAACATTGTCTTCAGCTCGCAAACTTAGGCTCAATCCCTGAAAATGGGAAGTAATTATTTTTGCAAAATTTTTGGATTATTTTTGCATTTTATATAAGCAAAAATGGTTAAAGAATTAAGTTTGATGATAAACAACGGACTCTTACCTTTACCCGATTTTGGATCCTTTGTCAAACCAATTGCTTGCTTTGGACTAGTAGTACCTACGGCAAAAATGTTAAATTGATATCTAAAGCAGTATGGTTGAATAGGAATGGAACGTAGCAAAAATAAGCAATGTTAAAAGCATTTTGATTTCTTATCGAATTCACCACAAAAACTCAATATTTGGGAAAGTTTTAACAACTTCAGGTTGATCGCCCAACCGGGCTTCAGGTAAAAACCAAGTATGATCCCAAGCATGCAGTGAGAAGTACAAAGAAAACCCACCACCACGGGCAACTATCTTATGTTGCATATTTGGCGAAAGCACAGAATTGGTACTGGCTCCGTCTGGTTCTTGGGCCTGAGGCTTTGGCGTCAAATTGGAAGTCGAATCTGGCACTTTAGGCGGGCTCTGGTTTCTTAGGGCTACAAAAGAATGGCATATTACACTAATGCAATCTCATCTCACAGCCCAAGATGATACAGCTGGTAAAGCTAGCTTTCAAATTACAATTTAGAAAATCGCATAACAATCTAGAATTTAAATCAGCCTTCTATGAAAGTGATATATAATTTCGAAAGCATCATGTAGTAATTTTGAATATCTTATTAAACTATTTAACAAATTATGTAGCAAAAAATGTCTGGCAATCTTAAAGGTGAATTGAAATGCAAAATTAACTTGACCTCAAATTGAAGCTTATTGAACATCAATCCTTGAGACATTATCAGTTGTTTAATACTCAACACAGTTTTAGAGTTATTGAGCGTCAAAGAAAGCCACCGAACATTTTCCGAGCACGGACGAGTATGCCCGAGCCTTCCGCATAATCGTGACGTCACAAACACCATGTTCAAATCACTTGAGCAGCACGACAGTCCGGAAGGCCGTAATTTTATGATTTTGAGGAAAAGCATCGATACAATAAATGAGTAGGTTTCGGCTTTATTTCCGGGCTATTAGATGTGAGATGCTTCATATCAATTTGACACTTCAAAACAAGAAATCATTCTCATTATTTCTTTAAAAATCTAGGGGCCTATATTTCTTGACTTGCTACGGGTTCCTTAAAAAGGGTGATATGCTACGGGTTCCTTAAAAAGGGTGACTTGCTACAGGTTTCGCTACAGACCTCGCTGAATCACCAATTTTCGCAAGGCTCCATACATTGCCTTGTCGTTATTTGCAGGAAAACGAATTCAACTCTCGCTGCGCCCCTGAAACTCGGTTGCACCAATTAATTTGCAAACCCAAAATAACGTTCATGGTTTATTTGGATGTAGACATCGTATAGCAAAGTAATAATATGTTAGATTCATTCGAAAAAAATATACTAGATTCGCGATGAAATGAAAAAATTCTAACATTCGCCGCATGATTTACTTCAGAATTGAGAATTTCTTTGAGCAGCTAAAAGTGTCTATTCCTTCCAAACTTGAATTCCCTCCCAACATTATGCAGTACCAGCCAGTACATAGCCTTTGTACATTCTATAAGCCTCGAATTTTCATATATCTGGGATCAAAAGCCACATACATCTTCAGGAAAAGAATCTGTTCTGTATAAACTGAACTGGTCCGTTCGTGTGTGACTCAAGGAATAAAACTTTGTTCTTGTGACGTCACGCGCGCTGAGTTACATGAAATGCCGACAATAGTCGAGCCTCGGCGATAATTTCTTGACATTTGAAGCAGAATTGCGACAAAACGGAAAGCAATACTTAGCCGAAAACTTGAAATTCAGATTCTACGCATCATTTTCTACATTATACCAAAAAACAGTTTTGCGGTTCAGTTTATCTTTAAAGTTGTCTGGTAATCAAAAAAACGTGTGGCAATCAAAAATTGTTTGGCAATCTAAAAGTGTCTGGCAATCAAAAAATTGTTTGGCAATTTAAAACTCCTCTGGAAATCTAAAAATCGTCTTGCAATCTAAAAATAGTCTAGCGATCTAAAAATAGTCTAGCGATCTAAAAATTGTCCGGCAATCTAAAAATCGTCTAGCAATCTAAAAATCATCTTGCGATCTAAAAATCGTCCGGCAATCTAAAAATCGGCTGGAAATCTAAGAAATTGCATGGGTTCAAGAAAATAATCGTTAAGTAACTAAATCGTGTAGCCATTCTTCGTACATAAAGTCGAGTACAATTTTAAATGAACTGTGCAGCAACCTAAAATATCAAGTATAATTTTTAAAAAAATCGCAAAGGAAACTTAAAAATCGTTCGTTTAAAAGACTGTTTTCAGTCTAGGACTTCATTTGCAATATTTTCAGTAGGCAAGCGTAACCGATTGAGAAACCTCTAAAACATTTACTTGTGCTCCTGATTGGTCTATTTGGTTCCACAACTGTATATATATATATATTTTTTACCTAGCTGAGAATATTCGATCTATGTTCGGACATTTTATACTCTGAAGAGTGCTAGATGTAAAGCTTAAGTAATTTCAACATGTTTGCTTTTTTAAAGCAATTTTCAATGCTAGTACCACGAAGAAAGTTGGTAATACGTTAGGTAGTTTTACCCAAAATCGTAGAACATTAAAGCATCACATGGCAATCCGGTTGGAAATTTTGTCATGGATTTGAGCACATTACGTGAGAGCAACGTTTCACGAAAATGGTATGCCGGGGTTTTGGTAAATTGTAAGGGAAACGGAGAACACTCACCAGAAGCAAACGTCTGTGGGCCTTCTTCGTCCTCATTGTCATCCACCAGCACATTCGAAGCAAATGCTAAAAGCTGATCATGAAGCCTAAAAATAATGAATTTTTATATACAGCTTCTTAGCGCTAAAAAATTATTTCTTTAACTCATTTGATACAAACGGCATGATCAGATTGATTTTTTAGTTAATGCTTGACAGTCAATGCAATGCTTTCTAAGTCAAGTCACGTAATGAGGAAGATAGAACTGTACATGTGAAATTAATTGTTTTACTTGATACAATGTGAAAAGCATGTTGCATTACCAAAGAAATTCTTTTTAAATTTTAAATAGCACCAATCTATAAAAATAAAATATTTTACTAAACAAGCATACAACTAGTACAGTGATTGGCGTAATCGGGGGGAGGCCAGCAGTTTGTACCCTTCTGTAAAATGACCATCAAATGCATGATAATTAGCACAGATATACTCTTTCCTGTTTATGACAAAGACATCTTTATTTCAGGCAAAGTGAATCACCTAATGAAAAGAAATTTAGAGAAGGTAAACATTTTCTTAATGTGGGATGCAAACATTTCTCAACTAAATGAGCGCTGCCAAGGCCCTTAAAATAAAGGATTCGAAGAGGTAGCGACATCGCTTGTCCAAAGCCTACTAGACCCACCAGTTTGTGATAACTATAAGCTCTCTTATTTTGTCAATCACATCACTAGATCCTTCGCAGCTGTACTGGTTTGTGTCCTTTGATTCACTTTCGGGCTTGGTCGCACTACAAACTACAAAAGAAGAAAATTCATCTACAGTGAGTAAGAAGCTGCATTTAAAAAAATTGATAATAAATTGAAAGATTTATCTCATTGAGAAAAAATTAAAGTTATAATGTCATAATCGGGAACCTAGTGCACAGTTCTTCAAAAACAAAGCTAACACAGTAGCATTCTTAGTTTACCATTCATTTTTTCTGGTGATGGAAATATCAACTGAACAATGTGTAAAATAAGATGTTGTATATAACTGACTGAATCGATTTAGTATTTTGTTCAAATCAATCTGTTACATATAATATATGATTAACAAGAAATCATGGTACATTTCAGGTTGACAGGACAAAAACATATCTAAATGAGTGCTATTCATCGCATTGTTTTACTGTGCAAGTTTCAGGATTTTTTACTATGCAAGGAAAATTCTGCCTAAATTCTGCCTAAATTCTGCCTTCAAATGATGCCATTGCCAACATCGAATCAATGAGATTCTTTTATCCAAGTTACACTATTCTTACGTTGAAGAACTTTTCGCAGAATACTCGAGGCATCTTCAGAAAACTTGTTGTGAGTTGCAATGAAATTTCGCACAACTATACACTCTGGTGCTTCTTCGTCCTGAAAAGAAAATAACATCTTTTAACCAGGTCGGGAATTGCAGTGTGTTGCTGAGGCAATAAAAGGACACTGATAATAACATGGATTCTTGGACTGAAAGATCCCAAAGTTCTTTAGTCCCTTGTGGCGAAAAAAGTTGCACTTTGGTTTTCATTGATACACACAATTATAGCCTGGCAAATGTCTACTATCCTTTTTTACTTACAAAACTATAAAATCACGCTCTGGTGCATAAGCAGAATGATTCTAAATTACAACTCCGAGTTTCACGCTAAATGCGAAGCATCGCCGAATGATTGCATTAAGCGTGAAAACATGTGGACAGCTCTTCCTATAGACAGGTAAGCACTAAATGACAGACCGGACGGGCTGCATGTATGACATGTACTTCAAAAACTCAGACGGGCTGCATGTATGACTTTAAAAGACAAAATACACGAGTAAATGATTGCATGCATCGGCAAAATTTACGTGTTAATGATTATACGGCGGCTGTATACCTTGGCCAATGCTTTCAGCAATGATTTCACATCACCAACTAATGAGCTATGACCAGTTAGCAAGTTCTTTACTGACTGAACATGGGACTTTACGGTCTCCTAATGAAATGCAATCAAAATATTCCATCATATCCTATACCACATACAGTTTGTTATACCAAAAGAAGTGATGCTATGTATAAATGGCTCCATTTGAATTTCATCGTAAAATAGCTTTCTCTTCACTTACAAGAACGAAAGACCTTAGAAACAAAGCAAAACAAAAATGGAAAACTCTCAATAAACATCAAGCCCATCAAATACACGGTTGCATTGATCCGTAGAATGTAATACAAAATTCTGTTTGACTAAACGCTAAATAAATAAGGTGAAACAGAAAAATCAGTTTCTTGCGACCCATACCTTATGGCTGTTGCTAGTTGATTTCAAGTTTCTTTCCTTAGCTCTTAAAGTCTTAAGCTTCTTATCAGCTGTATCAAGTCGATTCTTCATCCATTCCACATTTATCGGTTCCTTCGGTGGTATAGGGATCTAAACATCAATTAAGAAATGACATAAAAGATAAGCTCAAGTTGAAGTGATCTTTGGGTTGGCACAAGTTCAAGAAACCTCTAGCTACAGAATATATTTCACAGCCAAGGTTGGCTTGTCATATAAAGTTTTCTTTTTGACATACCTGAAGATTCATCATAAGCTGCTCGACGTCGCCAAGTTCCCCTGTGTTTGCTTCAAGAGCTTCACAACACTCCTTACATCTAGAATGGAAGACAAAATAATGAAAGCTAAAAAACAGCCTTAAGTTTTCACTAAAATGGCGTCTTTCGAAATAGCTGCGTGCAAGAATGTTTTCCTAAAAGTGTATATAAGTGGTAAAAATAAATTCACGCATATCTTTACGAGAATTTCTGTTCAGTAACAATCGCCTCGAAAAAACCAGGGGAACAGGAAAGTTTTGAAAAAGCTCCTTAACTGGTTTTCAAAGGAAATTTGTAAGAAAAAATGCGAGATTCAAAAGTATAATTTCAGTTACCATTAGATCAAGACAAATGAAGCATGGGACCGTTCGCGTGCAATTAGACTTTTCAACCAATATCTATAAGTTATGCTGAACTTAACTATCATAAGTACAGAATGCGAGTCAATGCATCAACAAATATGGAAGGGTGTACAAAGGATTCTAATTAAAGAACGCAAAAAAATCACACACTTCTGCACGAGGCTCACGACAGACGCGTCAAAGGCAGTAGCATCTTTGGTGAAAATGCGAAATGTTTCTAGTCTCAAAACTGCATTGGCCAGCTCAATCACCTCTGGACTCAGTTTCTTTTCGCTCTAAAACAAGAAACAGTCATTACTAGAGCTTCGACATGAAGCAAACTTCAAATTTGCATTCTATTAACTGCCTAAAAAGCAAGCCAAGGAACGAAAATGTAACACCCAATAAAAAATCAAGCATATTGCCTGCAAGTAAATGATGTCATACCGCAAGGAGAAGCTCTCGGACTCCTACTGTTTCCTCGAATTTATGTTGCACCAAGTTCAATGCTGGATTAGCTCCAGCTGCCCACTTCAGTCTCTGTTCGATCGATGATTGCAGTTGTGAGTAGCGTTCCAATATATTTGGGAAACTAGATTCAATTTGACTAATGGCCTGAAGACGCTGTGAATTGAACAAAAAAACACTATTTAACATTTCTCAAAATACATCAAACATTCAGTTAGCAACGATGGTATAAAATCAACCATCGATTTTCCGATTTTTTCATTCTAGGCAAAAAGATTACCGTTATAGGGGTACAACGCACAAGAAAGCAACGATCATTTAAGGTTCAAATGTTCACCTTCTTGATTTCGCTGAGAACTGAGCTTCTGCTTGGGCTTGCCATAGGAATGATGTGCTTCTTGCCAGGAGAGCAGAGAATTTGCTCATAAAGCCACTAAACAAAATTTAGAAAATGAATCATTATCTTTCATAACAGGGTTGATTTTTTTCCTGCAATTATAGGTATGAAATGTTGAAGAAATTTTTTCGGGATAAAAAAGTCAAGTGAGAGGAAAGGAAATGGCAATAAAGTCCATATGATAGTGCCATATTCATAAACACGATCTAGAGTCTCCTTAAAAATTGTCCCCTAATACTGCTTACGCTAGAACCAGGTCAATAAAAAAGGAAAATTAAGTGACAAACTAACCTGGAACCGTGCAAGCTGAAGCTGAGCACGTTGGACGATGTCTTTTTGCACGACTGCAGCTGACTCCAGGCGCCTTTAAAGGAAAAAAAGCTAAAAAAAATGCTTTTCTAGAGCAACGTAAAACTTAAATTAGTTTTGTCCATTTCTATATTTTATTTTTGACTGGAACAGCCATTACACATCACATCATCCCGTACTTGATTATGCCAAGCAAAGGGGCAAATGACCCATAGGAAAAGTTGTTGAGATTTAGGAATGACCCTTATGTTTTCTTTAGGTTCAAATATCTTTTATTTCCAGTTCTGGTGTTTATCTATTTCCGGTTCATATACTTTCTAATAACGGAAATTGTACATTTGATGAAACAAACTCTTGTCGCAACCTTGTTCCACAAATTTTTTTTCGTTGGACAAAGTTTACCTGGCAAGGTCATGCTTCCGCCAAGCTACATCATGAGCGTGAATCAATGACGTTGCTTTGTTCAAATGGTGGTGATTGAACGAAGAATTCTTTAAGCAGTGCTCGACAGCCTGTCAAAACAGAATAAGAATCAAATGAATGAGCCAAATATTCTTAATCAAGGCAAGAAAAATCAAACGTGCTTTGTCAAATCATTAAAAAATTGAAGTGGATACAATGTATATTTACTACTACTAGAAAGTCTGCGAACATTGAAAACATTGTTGCAATTTTGGGAACAAATAAACGTCATACCTTTTTACATAGGTCGTCGATGCTTGTATTGCACTTCTTGTCTTTTAGATCTTTTGAAACGTTTGGGTTGAGCAGGCTGACAAAATACATTATAAGTTGGGAGAGTGAGTAGGATGGCATGCCAACGATGAATTTCTGAACGCATTCTGCGACAAACTGTTTGACGTGGAAAGCAAGAAGTTCCTCGTTGAACACAGTTATGGATTCTGAATCAGTTTTCGATGGATCCCCAGTGTTGCCGTCTTTGTTATATTCAACTCCATTTGCTACATTTGACAAATTGGCTGTGATACCTCTAGTTGCAGCTGAAAAAATACTGTATACTTCAATATTGGCCAGTGTTTAAGCTGCAAGATGCAAATATCATAAATCGATGCAAAAAATAATACCAGATCACAAACATCATGTCCAAATGTCCGAATACATGTCATAAATTCGTATCATATGCCAATGCGAAACAAATAAATTCAGTTCGAAAAATTGGGCAACTCACCAGCTTGCTTTGTACAGGCTTTGAAAAAGTTATCAATCACTTGGATTCTTCTTGCAAACAGATAACCAAGGCAATGACCAAACGGTAAATTTGCCATGTTTTTGCTCGTCTAAAATAAATTTGTGGAAAACAATGTACTACCAACATCCCAAGATCAGAGTATCGTCTATCTAAAATACTGTATTATTTATGAGATGATTAGCTTTTTGACAGGCTAGATTCAAAATGAGTTGAGATAGTTCGAGAAGAAGAGCCTAAATTCAAAAAGTTTAAACGGGAAGATAAATCAATGATCACTTTCAGATAAAGGGAACAAGGCAATGCTTCCCTTATCTCGACTTAAAAAGCAATCTTCCTATTCGACAGTTCCTTGAAGCATAATCACACAAGATAAGGGAATATAGGTCGCCTAAACCTGATCCAGTACTTTTTGTTTTCACTGAATCGAATAAAATCAAGAATTAGCTTTTTAAGATTGATAGACGACTGCTAAAACGCAACCACTTTAGTGAAAATAATCCTACCTTGGGCAACTTCTGATCCTGGTGCAGGTCAAGGTTTTCAAAAGAGTCACTGGGCTGGAACTTCTTGAATGAATCATACAAGGAACCAAGCTCGGACTCTATTTTTGTGAATAAGCCACTGAATCCGGCAAGAAGCATTTGACCAGGTGACATTTTCGTATCGCCAACATTCTCTGTTTTTCCGTTCTCAGTTTCCACCAAGGGTTCTATGATTTTGCCGAGGTCATCTTTCATCGATTCTATAACACTGTACACTTCCTGATTATCATCAGTTGCCTACAAAAAAGTACAATGCAAACATAAATGATAGCAAAAACAATTTCCAAGAACAGTGTAAACCATACATCGTTTAAACTGAAAACCATTACACAGTTAAAAAATTCAATCAGATATTTTTGTCATCAAGTGACATAAAAAAGAGCTACTTGCAATGTCCGTTAGATTTCGGCTTGAGCTCGCTTCTAAGTGTACTAGTCTCGAATCGGTATTGGTGTTATTGCAAGAACCTCCGATCTGTTACGAGTGGGACCTACTTCATAAATGAATTCATCTCCACAGGCACCAAGAGCTAGCCAGTCTGAAAAAAGTTTCCTTCGGCGGATTCCGATGTAGACGTAATAAAAAAGATGGTATTTGTTCAGGACAGGCTACCAATGGAAGCGATGCAGTAAATACGTATTACGCTTCCTAAATCTCACATTGGAACAAACGTATACCTATTTAATTGACCTAAATTGTAAAATGAAAATTTCTACAACAGCCAAACTTCCTAGCAGAGCCAGGAATTTAACAAAAAAGCGGGCAGGGATCTTCTTAATACATTTATTTATATGGCGGAGCCAATATTGCCCAACTACTCACCGAGCCTTGCAGATTTTCCACGATATTTGACAATGACATTGACGCCTTGGGAAGACAATCAGAAAATTCCCCCGTGACTGCCACGTAAGACTCGTCCCCATTTTGAATGCTCCTCAGTGCTTCCGGCAAGATTATTGTTCGAAAATTAGACATCATTTCCTGTTTGATTGAGAGATACCGGCAATAAAACGGCAAAGATAACTGTCGATTTTGTTATACGTTCTATTGCATCAAGTGACATACATCAAGTGACATACATCAAGTGGCATGCATAAAGCGGCATTCAACGACAAAAAATTGTGAAAAACAAAAATCATCTCTTCATGATAACAGCTACAATTAATAATTTAATTAAGAGCAAACCTGAAAACTGCCATAGACTTTAACAGAAGCAAACAGAACTTGCATGCAGTTGTTTATTTGCTCAAGGGTTTCCTGTTTCTGGAAATTCTTTGGACGCTAGAATAAATGACCAATTTTACCAAAATAAACATATTACTTGAATATAATACAAGCGGGACAAAAGGATTAAGTTGTGCAAAATTATCCCACAAACTTTTAGATGGAACTGAATCGTGACAAGAATGTTACAAGTTATATCTTGAAACATCAACCACATAAAAGGTGCTTCCTCTTTCACAAGGTCGGTTAATTGAAGTCAAGATCACTAACCAGTGGGTTATTTTTCAAAACGGAAAGGAGCTGGACAATATTGCCACACATTGTACAGAGTTCATCTAAGAACCAATCGCCATCCCTTGATGTCAAATGCATTAGTTTATCACCGGCAACTGTTGACGAAAAGGTAGAAATATGTCAAGACATCGTTGCAAGAAAACTTAAGACATAAGGACCATATGCATCCGTCAATTGTGACACTACAAATGGCTGGGAATTCCTTTATAGAACGTTTGTGACATTTAAACGAGGAGTTGAACCTTTGTCATCGCCCTTCACCAAAGTTAGAGACAGTCCGGGTCATCTGAATACGTGAATGTAAGGCTCGAAGCCTCCCTCCCAGATTAAAAAGACTACCTATTCTACTTGTATCGCTGTGCGTATGGCACGGGTTTTCTTCGCTGACATGAAGTGCTTCAATCGTTCTATAGAAACCATCGGAAACAGCCAACAAACAAGCTTCACAGCTAAACAAATGGAGATGTGACAAATCTAACCTGTTGCAGCATTTTCCATTGCCATAAACCTTTCATTAAGAGTAGTCAAGGCTGTGATAGTGACGCAAGCCAAACTTGTTGCCCCAGCAACTCCGGCGTCTGTGAAAACATCATTAATTGTTTATTTCAACAGATAATGAAATTAACAAACAATGCCTGAGAAAATACCAAGCATAAATGTGAGAATGTTACCTCCGACAAATTTCCTCATTGCATTCCAAGTCTCCGTCACTGGACCCGATAAAGAAGATGTTTCCTTTGGTTCTTGGCCTCGCCTTTCACTAATCTAAAACAAAATTTTGAAGACTTACCAACAACAAAATTGTGTGAGTTACAAAACCAAATAAAGAGCATCATTTACCATCCGCTGAATGTATTTATGGTAAGTTAGCTTAACTGGATGTACACAAGCGCAGTGTGTTGATGAAAGCCTTAGTTGATTTTCCGATATTTGTTTTCTCCAATCATGAATGAAACTTGACTTATTAAGTAGCCACTGACCTTGACAAGTTTTGAATTCTGATCTACATAATACTGGTGCAGATTTGACTCCAGAGATGTGACTGCCTCCTCGCTCTCTTTATTGGATCGCAGCCGACGTTGGATTGACATATCATGTTCTTTCAAAACAGTGTTACAGCTAAAAGAAAAAAATTTTCTTTTAGCTTAAATTCCTCCTGGTCTTTAAACATCTTAAAATATTAGCTCTAAACCATAACTTCAATGATGAATATACAAGTAAACATAAAATAATTTGAAATTAAAATTGCATAAAAACTCTAGTCCTTGAAAAGATATTTGTTTTTCCGGGACTAAATGGCAAAACAATTTTCACGAAAAAATTAATAATTTTCAAAACTGTCCTCACGTTTCTGCCGTGGAATGTGATATTATTCGTTCCAGCCATGGAATCCACTTGGCACACCAAGTCTGTGAGGCATAGTCACTTGGAAACTAAGAATGCAAATCAAAATTTAAACATAATCTTAAATGCGTAAAAAATCATTTAAAACTGAAAACAACCGTGAATGTTTAGAGCACCAAATATTAAGTGATATAGCAATTAAATTACCAAGGAATTTTGACGAGAAAATGAAAATAATAAAGACTACACATACCTGTACAACAATTGTGGTGTATGTAAAGAGAGAATCCAAACACAATCGAAGAGATGAGCGCCTTTGGCTTAGGAACGCTGCCAGTTCAGTTTCCATCTGGTCACACTACCAAAATAAATAAATCCATTAGCTTAATAAGTGTTATGAGGCAAAAAGGACACCCCGAATGACAAAATTATTTGAAGCATCTCGGGCCTGAATCATATACCGTAACATGAAAATATATATTTATTTTTTGCCAATTTCACTCTTTTCTGCTAAGAAAATTACGATCTTATTCGTGATGAAGGTCCCAACATATTTCCAAAAAATATACAAAGAATAACCATAAACTAAACATGCCATTCTCGGTAATTGTTATGATTAATACATGATTAGTGATGATTAGACAATGTTGTATTCAAGCTAAAAATCGGGAAAAGACGGAATTTGAAACGTAGAAAGACTACCTGAGCAATGACATTTGCTTGTCCGGCACTTCGCAAGAAGCTAACGACAGGTTCGTAAAACGGTTTTCCTTCGAAACAAAGAGGAACGATGAAAGCAAAAGACAATTGCAAGACTTTGTTTAACATGCAAGCAGCACAGCAAAAATCGACATTATTATTAATAGCCTTGTTATTACAGAAGAAAAGTCAGAAATGAAAAGAAGTCAGGTATAAAAGACTGAAATAAAAAACCACTTGAATTACCAATGTCCACCGGCTTGCGAATTTCGCTATAAATATCGTGAATGGTGTTGTCTCTCACTTTGTCAAATCCAGCCTACAAAATAACATCTCAATATGGAAGTGGGCAACTCATCGGCATGTTTTAGCACCTTAATAGAAACTGTCAAATCCTCCGGAGCTGTGTGTTACAAGAAATGAACGCGCTCGTTATAAAATGTCAATTTATATGAACGCATAGGTACGTCTAAATACAAAACTATAGCAACTTTGGTTTTTTGCTTGAATCGTTTAACTGGTCTACAAAAAATCAGCTAGAAATGACAAACCTTGTCCTCTCCAATGAACTGCTTACACTCTTCTGTTTTATTTTGTATTTTGAGCTTGTTGTCCTTCAAATTATTGACAAGCTTTTCTTGTCTGTCATACCTATGAAGTCAATATTTAAGGAGCTATTTATTTACAGACACAATCTCATTGAAAGTATTCTATTAAATCACATTTACCGTGTTGACATATATCACATATACTGATATAAAAAATGAAACGATTTGTTTAAAAAGGGTTTTCAAGCAATAAACAAAGGTTAACAAAAAAGACCAAATAAACAAAGATACCGACCTTGCCTGTAGTGAATGCAGCGGGTGGTCTGCTCTCCCAATAGCGGCCATTAGTACGTTATATTGGTGCTGAATATCCAGTCGGTCCTTTTGAATATTTCGCTGTTGGTTTAATGTTCCACAGTAAACACTAAGGGCTCCTTCAAGCTTCTGCAATACTGCCAGCAAGTCGTCCCTAGCAACAGATAACCATGAAAATATTTTCAAGCCAATTTTGATTTTACTTGATATAATGAGAACATTTTAAGTGACACAATCAGAATTATGTTGTTGAAGTGTCGCGTTTCGTACCTGTTAGACGTCAAAGATACTCTCATTTCTGCCGTTCTGGTTGCCAATAACGTTTGAGTAATACTTCTTTCCATTTCTTTCTTGCTATATTTGCTAGCATCTACCCCAGCTGCTCGGCCTCCGAAAAAAGCACCAGCAAAGGCAGCATCGTTGGCAGTGGTCCAGTCCACCAATGGATCATAAACGAATGCCTCCAATAGGGTAAGAAGTGTTTCTCTTCCTTGGCGAAGAATTTGCATCACCCTCTCGCATGAAATTCGAAACAGTCCCTAAACGTGGAGTACAGAATTTAAGGAACCATTCAATAATTGCAAACAGATAAACACTGTTTTGCAAATCACAGACGATGTCCTTCAATTCAAGATAAAAATAGCATGCAAAATGCCATTATTTTTTTAACAATGTGCAAACTTTGATTAGAAAATGAAGCTTGAAATGTTTACTGGACAACAAATGTGGAAATGAAGGTTATTCTAAAAATCTGACCTCAACACCTGAAATGCCAAGTGCTGCCTCGATGTTTCTCGTCATTCTGAATGGGACCTTTTCAGACACTCTAAGCGCTTTCCCTTTTTCAAAACAAACGTTGTAATCGATATGAACAACCTAAAAATAAGAATAATTCAAAATAAGATAAAAGGCTGAGATCAATAAACATGCTTATGGTACAAAAAGATGAATCGATTTAAGCACATTGCAAAATGAAAACAAAGCCGTGCAGTAGCACTAGTCATTAAACTTTACAGCTAAACTTCGCTGTGCGAAAATGCATCACGTATGACATAAATTTTTGCGAAACGTGGGCTGTGTTCTGCTTTGTTGAATTGTAAACGCTGATAGCAACATTGGACTGCTCTTGAGATGCCTTCATACTCTCTCCTACGTCCTGTTCCAAAATGAAACGTAAATAGCCATACCTCGCCTGTTGAGAAATCCACAAGGATGTTGTCAAGATGCCTGTCCCCAAGACCAATCACGTACCCAATCATCGACATCACAGCCACGGAACGACAATACTTTTTCGTTGCTTTCCACCAATCAGCGGCTGTTGTCGAAGAGCACCAAAGCTCCCTGTCAAACAAAATTTAAAAAAAAATAGAAGGTACTTCCGAAACCTGCCAAGTTAGTTGACATAAAAATAAGCTGTCTTTCAATAGAAGATGGAACAGGTTAATCGCAGCAAAGGGGCTTATAATACAGTTCCCAAACCGCATCACAAGGTGAATCACATTCTAGAATTGATTTACGAATCCAGACAATAATAAATTGTATCATCAATAAAAAACTGAGGATAACAATCATTCTAAAACCAGAAAATTGGCGATGAAACGTACTTGGCCAACAAATCACACGGAGTTTCATCTGAAAGCTCATGATAAACTTTCTTTAAAATCGCCAACGGCCAGTCTTTCCTTGAATTCGCGGAATCATGTATACCCTTAAAAGCAAAAATAAGCAATTTTGTTTAGAACGTCTAAATATATGTGGTCACTTCTACATTGCTTATTTACTATCTTTAAATAACGGAAACACAAAATATTTTGGAAAAATTACATCCTACCAAGTAAAAAATTTATGACACTAACAAAAAGTTTCAATAAACATATGCCATAACATTTTGAAATACATTATCTTTAAAAATCTGATATCAGTTAATTCTACATTTTGGCCTTCATCCTAAATCCTCAATATCTCATTATTTGTTATCTGACTTTTGAATAAAGAATTCCTGCAAATCTGAATACCTTTTCTTTCAGCAATGGCGATATCTTGTTATAGAATAGCTCGCTTGGCCGTAAAGGGGCTGTAGGCACGATATGAGCAGTCTTTTCCGCCTAGAGGAAATTAAGTAGACTTTCATACATATTCAGAAAGGAGCAACAACTAGAAAACGAATATAAAGATCCATTCAAGTAGACGTTTTCTTGCAAAACGAACATAAATCTATTTTTGCTTAAGGTTAACTCGTTAGACAGAACAAAAAATTGCACTCAAAGGAAGGTATTTAAAAACATCGTTGAAAATGCGCCGTTTTTGAAAAGGCCTCATTCAAGAAACGATCATTTTGTAACGGAAATACCAAAAACAGCAAATACGGAAAACGCTTTCACAAAATCAATTGTCAACCATGGCAGAAAAGAAAGGATGGCAAATAGTATGCATTGTGAACTGGAGGCTAATGCGGAATGGCCGCTGGGTAGCCTCTCTCAGTAAATCTTTTTCGCTTTGTCGAAACAAGAAGAGTTTATTTATGTATGGTTAAAGAAATCGGATAGAGGAAAACGGTGCAAAAAGTTGCAGATAACTTAGGTAAGACACTTGTTTAGAAGTAAACGAAAACACACTAGGGGGAACGATTATTTAAAGCGCAATAAAAGCAAAATTAAAATATGTAAATAAAAACCAACCTGAGAGACCTTGGCTATATTCTGAGTGGCAGCATCTCTCTGTTGCCATCGTTTGTAAAGAGTGAATATCGGGGTAGAGCCGTCAACCCACTGAATAAGACCAGATCTGGAGCCCAATGGTGTCACGGAATACCTTCGTGCGACAAAACGTTTGATGGAAGACCTACAATATCCAATATAATGTATATTCAGTGACTATAGAGCAACAACTAAAGCAACAATTTCGCCTTGTTTACGCCGGGAACATGGAAGATTAAATTTTCAAATATCTTATTATAATTGATAAACTTTAACCCTTACATAAGTAACACCTTAACATAACATAGCTAAACGTCTCATAGGCAAGGAAAAGCGCAAAAGCAGTTAGAAAGGTCTTCAAATGAGGATGAAGAATAAGTTAGTGACGACATAATACAATATCTTAAAAGCAAAACATTTATCCATACTTCTCATCCTTTGCAAACATATGATTGCAAATCTCTAAGAACTGAGTAATCCTTTCGTCGAGGTGAAGATCCTCCAACCCTTTAAACAGATACGTATATCTGGAAGGAAAACCTTGTCTTAGCACGGAGCTCTAAACGAAATTACGATGCAACTATAAAGAGAGTTTAAGTATAGAAACAGAACTTTCATACAAAATAACTTTCAAAAATATAATGAATAGTCAAATACGCAGTCCTTCTGCGAACAATAATTGTGCAATCTAAAAAGATCTTGCAAAAAACAAAAAGGATTTGACACTGACCTATGCCCATCTGATCCAATCATGGCTAACTTCTTCGGTTTTGTCTTTGTTGGCAAGATCACCACTTCGTCGGCAAACGACTCAAGAATCAAAACCTATTAATATTTGCAAGACAGTTATAAATTGTTCGCCTACCTACAGAGCAAATTCATTCAAATGATTATAATAAGTTAACTGACAAGAGACCGACAAAATGATGAAGAGTAGTAACAAGCAAAACGCAGGATGATAAGGAGGTATGATCGCCAAACACTGACCTGGTTTCCACTGAAGTCAAACCCTGGCAATGGCATATGTTGAAACTTTCCCTTAGCAAGAATTGGGCTTATCTCTTCCATTGATAACGTATTCATGGACCTCCGGTTAGTTCTTGCATGCAGGGCAGCGTGCAGCTGTAAGAAATAGTTTACCCGTTCTCTCAGAAGCTTACAGTCATGGGGAATTGATAAATCAAATAAAAAAAGAAATCACTGCGAAGAACATCTTAAATGAATACAAATGAACAGAGTCCGGTTGGTACTTCAAAATTCAGCAACAGGACATGAAAAGTAGATTCTTTTTGCAACTAAAGAATCTCTCACCTGTTTCAATGGTTCCCAGTTCTTCTGTGGGTCGGAGGGGTCAATAGGCATTTTCAGCTTCTCAATGACCTTATGCACAGTATGACCAAAGCTTTTTTGGAAGCTTTCTTCGTGCTTGGTTTCCGGTTCTTGACTAGTGATTTTTTCAAGACGTTCCAGAGAGAAGACAAGCTAGTTAGAATAAACCAATAATTAAAAACAAAAAATGAAATGAGTCTTAACAAACAATTTCATTGTGATCAATAATAGATTCAACAGCCTGTATGGAAATATATTCATTCTGAGAATACCATATAATTTATATTTTAACATTTAACAATGCTAAACGTTAACAAAGAATGGAAAATAGCGTTATTGTCAAACGGCCGACGACATAATCAAACCACATAGAGATTTTCCGCTCTAACGACATTCTTCTGGCTGTTACAAATGACCCAAAATCTTAGCCAAAAAACAATGGAACCCTTGAGGACGACAAATTTCTTCCCGAGTCTCAAACCAACCCTCACCCGGGCTTGGTTAGAAGCATAGGAAAACAACAACAACATAAATGCAACAACAACTTACAGGTTTCATGAGGGCCGTGTACTTTTCTTTGATCAAAGCAGTCTTCTGTGGTGCAGACAACGTCTGGTTTTCATTAACACGATGGATTTCTTCTTTCAACTGCTGAATTCGCCTAGAATTTAATGAAATTATTCTCTTTATGGTACTCTCTCAATGATACAAACTTTACTTCGGCAAACTGATGCGAGCAGTCACTTTCGATGCTTTCGAAAATATTTGAAACAAGCGTCAGTGTTCACACAAGACTGTGTTCACTTCAAGCCATTGCACATCAACGTGGTATGTAGTACTATTGGCATCCCTTTAAATGTCACTGTGAGAAATGAAAACGAAGCTACCTTTATGAAACAGAACATCCAGACCCTAGCCGAAATGGATTCTTGTGCTCAAATATCAGCTCAAATATGATTCGATATGGTTTCATAACACATTCAAAGCGGAGTGACCTGACGCCATTAAAACGACAAAGAGCATATCAGCTCTAGGTGAAAGTATATCAACCGAACATCTATCCGATAACAAAATTGATCCGATACGAAAAGAATTTGGTAACGTATGGAAATGCTTTAGTGTTCACACACAAAGGCGTTTATGATATAAAGGTGCGTGAAACAAGAACTTCATTGCAGAATACCTTTGTGCTTCGTGATTGAGTTGCATTAATGAACCAATCCAAAGTTCGTCCCAAAGTAGAGTAATTCGCCTTAATTCCTTTACAACTGTTTTTACTTCACTGACGAGGCAAGGGTTATCGCTAGACAAAGAGTCCAATATTGTGTGTAATGAGCTCTGAAAGATTTTGTCGTTCACTCCTTCTTGCTGCATATCATCTTGGCTATTTCCTTCTTCATTTTCACCCTCAGCCGCGTCATCTTGAGGTTGATCACAGTACTCCGATGTGTCCATCAGCTTATAGCCTTTCAAAATTCCTGAAATTGGTTTTGTACAAAAATACTTTATGTTATAAACTGTTGTAACAGAATGGAAAATATAAACCCTGAAAACGTAGCTACTGCCCTTTGAGTTGTGGCCGACCTTAATTTGCATAGCACTAAAATCAGTGTTCTTACATTGATGAAATGAAAAGTCTACAACATAACTATTTATGGGGTTCTCTATTTGCAAGGAATACATTTTCAAGCAGTCGCCTCATTCTTATATCAGTTTCGAGTATCTAAAATGCAATTTTAGGGAAACGTTCCTAAAGTTAACACATAACACATGGCAAATAGAGATGAACGTTTGATGATAGAGATGAAGGTGAGAATACAAACCAGCGGCAGATGTTTTGCTTAGCTGAGCAGGGATGACGTCACTGCAACCAACCACGGTTGGGTAGACTATGAGATGAGGAAAGTCTTTTGCGATGCGACATAGCAAGCTTGCCACACTCGTTTGAACGTATATTTCAGGGTGGTTTAGACGAGCAAACAGTTGCGGAATGATCCCTGCAACAAAACAACACCAAAACAACATTAAAAATGAACAGATAAATTTGGGAACATGTTGTATTTTCCAGATTCTCAAGTAATCAGAATGTTACTTAGTTATTCACCAACAACAACAAAACTGAAAACTGAAATTTACGGATTTCAGGCCTTCAATAACAAAATCCGGCGCTTTATCAGTCGCTGAGTTTATTTACTGAAATGCAAGGACTCAGTGGTTTCGATCCGAGTAAATCTTAATTGCATTATAAAGTAGATCATGTGAACCAAGGTCTGACTACCTTTCCATGGTTTTGTTGGAGTCTGACCCAGCTGGGCTTCAAGCTCCTGTTTCAGCTCTCCTGAATATTTCACCAATAGTCTGAGAATCCTCAGAGTAGCCGTGATATGGCCATGCTCACTTCTATGTTCCTTGAGATTATCCAACTAAAAAAAGGCAATTCGAAAATAATAAATTAAACAGGAATTGATGATTCAAACTGCCATTGGAGAGTATTGATGGCTAAAGAGGTTTCGTAGAAAATTCATCTAATATGTCAATATCAATTGCAGTTTTGAAGTGAAGCTTTATGCAGATAATCAATACTCTTATTAACTATTGCAGAGAAAATAAAAAAAAAGTTTTCAATAAAATAAACATTTCTCATTTATTAATAAAAATCGCTGTATTTACCTGAGCATCTCCAAGTTTAAGATATGTGAAGTAGGCAGCGCTTGCTTGCTTATAATAAGAGAAAACGCGATCTACGATGCCACGCCAAATTGAGAGCAACGATGAAATCAGAGAAGGTTCTTGCATCAGGTTTGGACACGCCATTGTTAGTTGATACTTTGTCTTCTCCTCGTCATCTTCGGTTAGGTTCTGAAGCAAAGAAAATAAGCATCAATATCACAAAACAGCGGGAGATGGCACCATTCATGATGCTACAGAAAAGACTTGCTTTTGAATTCTGAATTCTTCCAAACTGGTAGGATGATCAGTTGCTGAAATATATGCTAAATGGTGTCCTGATAAGGGGAATTGGCGCATTATGTTTTGTACTTTAGAATTACCAACCTCATTCATGTATAAACGTAGCATAAACGTCTGATAATGTGCGAAGGTAAGCAGAAAGTAATATTAGCTAGAACTATAGCCAGATGAAAACTCTACATCTTTAAGCGACTATTTTGAAAAACCAAATGGCACCAGAAAAACGTAGAATGCCGAAAACAGGTTACTATGAGAAATATAGCGAAATGTAATGGAATGTCTAAGAAGCTGCTTTTATACAATTACAAATCAAATGGCTTGACGCAACTATCTATTGTGTGCCATAAAAGAACAAAGAAAATACAACATCGAAACTACGATGCAACATGATTTGTCTAATACCTCGGTGAGTTCTGTAGTTGATATATCCTCATCCGGAGAGATCAATTTACTTGAATGGGCTTTACTTAAGATTGACATTACTGATTCGATATCCTCGCGTTTCGTACCCTTTAAATAAAAACAGTTCATTCAAGCAGGAAAGTCAAACACACATTTTCAAAAAACTGCTTTTATACTTATCCACTGTGTGGTTTTTTATGAAAAATTTCATAAAAGAAAATCTGATAGATCACGAAGGCAATTCTATAATATTTCATTATTATTTCATTTCATTATATTTGCGATATCTATGATCACTATTATAATGTCTTATCATATTAATTTTATAAATCAATCTATTTTTTAATTTCATGTAAACAAATTTTTGTTTTTTATTTTTGCTATTAATGCCAAAGCCATTTATTGAATCATTTAGCGCTAATTTGGATACCATAATGATACATCACTGTTTGAATAAATCACATCTTGCGAGTTTAAAGCTCGCGGACAACAGATCCAAGGGTCCGTGGTTCGAGTCCCTGACATGACCAAACTTTCACCCAGAGTTGGGAGAGTCGTCAGCTCTCTGCAATTCCACGCGTAGGAATCACGAGGTGTGGTCACATCGAGAGGAAGGACCAGGACAGTGCTCGATAAGCATAGTTTCTCACTGTCCTTAAAACTACCTTCGGAGGCTAGGCTGGGTAGAAACAGATACAAAAAATGGTTCTAGAAATCAATAATGAGAAACTCCCAGCACCAAAACATTAGAAATTTTAAGAACCTTCTTAACAACAAAAACTATACATATTCGGTACCGTATTTATCCATATATGCCTTTGGTAATTAAAAGGGTGAATCTGTGATTTTATAAAGAGAACGAATCTATAAACAATACCTCCGGTAAAATTTTGGTGATTTTATCTTTCTCCTCCTCGAGCAATTCAATTTTTCCATTCCGGCTGGAAAAGGAAAAGAACAAATGAATTTGTGAATACGTTTCATGAAGCAGAAACTTTAATTTCTTAACCCATCTACACACTAAGTATCAATTTTCACACGATTATCTTACTTGGCTTACAAAAGCGTGTATATATTAAAAGCGTGTATATATCCAAAGCGTGTATCAAATCTACTTTTATAAAGCGTGTACCGAACTGTTGTTTGATGATCGAATTTAGCGTGAAACTCGGAGTAGCAACTTAGAACCGTCCTGTTCTATACACCAAAAGCGTGTACAGCTCTGCCTATACGGCATAGAGCACTTTCTGACAGACCGGTAAACAGACCGGTAAACAGACCGGTAAACAGACCGATAAATTTTATTATCTTCATACCGAGATAAATAAAGATAAGCATGTGTATGTGTGTTATTAAAAAAGGCTGTGCTTGCCTTGCTTGCTCCACTGCCTTCCTGCCCCACTTGTAGCACCACTCGGCGTACGCATACCATGTTTTGTCAAGAGATGGACAACGATGGGTAGAAAAATGCAGCAGCTGGCCACAAATCTTGTCACATTCTGGCAACGAAATAACAGAAAAGCTCACATTTTGCAGAAGTTTTACTGAAAGGCCACCAGTCTTCACAATAATCTTCAGTATCTCTTTGATTTTAGCCCCGATAAGCACAGGATCATCAACTTCATTTGGCAGTGAGTTAAGCAGTTTAGGTTCTGCAAGCAGCCAGCGGGAGAGCGTCAATAGCGAACTAGCTGAAACCTCTGATAATCTACAGGCGCCTGTCGTTTTCTGCACAGATAAATGATGCCTTTCAGCCAAAATTATACTTGAGCACAAGGTGTCAGCGGCATCAGAGCTTTGACCGAGAACTCGCTTCAGTTTAGCAGATTCCCTGAGAATCTCAACAGCTGACAAGGGGTCTGAGACTTTTCCTGAATGAGCAGAAGTTGAAAGTTGTCTCAACCTTATTTGTGCATTGCCGATGTTATGCAGCTTGCTATCAGAGTGACCTTTACCTTCAGACAACAACAGCTGTTTAGCAAGCAAGGCCTCTGCCAACTTCACATTTCCTTGCTTTCTAGCCAGCTTCGCAGAATAAACCTGCAACGACGATATTCCAGAAACCTCACTGAGTGCATTTGACGATTGAGCCACCCAACCTTTCTTGTTTGCAGAGTGATGGAACTGAAGATATGATGCAGACTGCAGAGCCTCGTTGAGAACACCGGCATCTGTCTTACTGTGGTCTAAACATCTCTGGATATTCGAAATCTTCACCGTAAAACTTTCATTGTCCTGCAGATTTTGGAGAAACATTTTGACGTCAATATGTTAAGCATCCCTTAAAAGATCTGCATTAGCATACATTACAACATCAGTGTTTTATTAATAATCAACGAAAGATCTTTCTGCACAGCTATTGACACACAAGATGAAAACGACTTGAAGCTAAAATGGTAAAACATAAAACATCATAACACCATTGCATGACTAGATCTTGCCAGATAAATGCCATGTACATATAAGTCAAACTCAATGCTAGCAAAGAAGTTGCCTCTGCATACTTGATCGTTTGACAATGCAAAGAATGTATCGTGGATCGTAGATAAAGTTCTCAATTGCATAGTGATCAGTGCAGATTCATTTGGAACACCGCAAAGGAATAAGTCGCGAACTAGCGTCATTAAAGTATCCTTGGCGCGTGTAAGAAGCTCTTCTAGTGTTTCCCTGCAAAACAGACAAACCAAGCTTTAAGAATACAAATCATAAACAAAGATTAAAGATGCACACTAAATAAGCGTCAAATTCAATTACGTCCAAAAAGCTTAAAAAGGGATGATGGTATTATGTTAGAAGTATTGCTTATGTCACAAGCCCAATACAAAAGAAGTATTGCTTATTTTGAGTACACATCACAAGCCCAATTTGACAAAAGAAAGAAAACAAAGGTGTTGTAAAATAAGTAGAAGATAGGATAAGCAAATTCATGTGAATATGATAAAAATGGGGTGAGATGTGAAACAGTAAAATAACAAATAAATTCTTTAATTGATCTAGACAACAAATTCAAAGTGGCTATATCAAAATTCATTTGGTACTTGCGCAAGCTAGGTTATTGAAATAAAACGCTGCTTTTCATTTCAGTTTTTGGCTATTCAGTTGTTTTAAACGGATATTGGAAGGAATTAATTTCAGAGCAAAATGCAATGCATTTATAAGAAAGTTAAGAATATCTCCCTATATTAAAGAGATTTTAAGAATTTTGCAAAGGAAGAGCATTGCAATACTAACCATGATGTGCTATGCAAACTATCGCTTCTTCTTCCTTTCAATGTGTTTAGTCCTGATGACCAATATAGTGTCAATGCTTGTAGAAGGTACAGTTTACTCTGCATCATCAGTTCACGGGCTTTCCATGAGCCTACCCCCAATCTTAACACGCTCTTGCTATCATTTTCCTTCTTGGAGGCAACACTGTGATCCTTCTCTTCGTGAACAGTCCCCAATACAGGAAATTGCTCCTGCAACACATTGGATATGGTTGCACCTGGTATCAGCTCAAGCTGCTCTCTAACGCCTGGGAAGTCATTATCATCAAACTTGGCCATGGCTCTAAAAAGAAGGTTTGTCATGCAGCAGCGATGCTGAGTTGATATCTAGGTTAAAACTATCACGTGTCACTAAGATTTACACGTCTTCCTGAAAAGCATTAGCATTAAATATTACATAATCTCAGGCAATTACAAGCAGTTTTAGATGATTCCAGGTATGACACTTACTTAACATAATTCAGATCGACTTTCGCTGACAAGCCCTGTACGTTGTGTAGCTTCTGATTCATTTCGTAGAGGTGTTGGCACCAATTTTGGACTGAGCTCCAATCGCCAAGCTTCATGTAGCAATCCAGGACCTGAAAACACGAATGATGACTTAGATTTAACTTTACAAAAAATGCAGCAGTCACCCTTCACAGTTTTGTTGATATCTAACTACTCAAATCGAAAAGATTGCTTCTGCCAACCAAACCTTTGTCACTAATATTCATGGCCATATATTTAGGAATGATCTAATCGAGTTTAAACTCTTTAAATTAAAGTTTGCGTCTGGCATGAGCATAAAGTGCGGGCCTACCTCATTTGAAAGGGAATTAGTGACTTGTGCATCTGAATGGATTACAGGCTCTTTAGTCAGTACCGTCAGTTTTTTCTTTTGCCTTTGGTCTTCAACGTGTTCAAGGAGTTGTCTATCGGGAGACAGATATTTCTCCAATCCACTCTTCAACTGTTCACTGGCATTCTCTAAACTATCAAACAAGAAGCGCGACAAATCGTTAGTTGGTTTTTAGAACCTAAAATTAGTCTTTTTCTTCTCATTTAACCAAAACAAAGAGCATGATAAGTTCCAACTGAATGTAGTTAAGTACAAATAAATTATACAGAGATAGTTCATAATCGCAACTACAATTTTTGGGAAATATTGTTCCTTACCATCCTTTCGATTTTGAGACAAAGCCTTGAAGCCAGAAGAAGTTTCGTCCAGCAACATTTTTACACCATTCAAGCAGACCACTTACAGATTCCCAAGACTGTGCTTGACAAAGGCAGCTCGCAACAACAACAACAGCTCTCTCAAATTCAGCCCCCTAGAACAGAAATTGTATATCGAATTATTTGTTTGAATTCAAAGCATCAAAAAGTGAGGCAGTAATTTCATCTTTGCCCAGTACCAAGTAAATCTGCCGGGTATTTTTCATTCTTAAAGACGTAACTTAATATGGGAATACGGGAATACAAAAGGCGCTATGACATTAAAGAAAGGGAAATTCGCCCAGACCGATGTAGAACTTACGTGCACACATCCGCTGTCTTTAAGCGATTTTAGCCATGAAAAGCCATATCTGATCGCAGTTGCTGGACAGCCAACCATTGCAGCCACGTGACATGCAGGTTCACGAATTCTCATCAACCACTCCTGACATGTTGTCTTATTCGTTCGAAAAAAAGTTCTAACAGCCTTAAGAAAAAGAAACATTTTGGTATTAGCAGTTAGAGAATTGAAAACATCTTCCAATGAATCGACTCTCGGGAGATTTTATCACGAATGATATACAAAGCTCTAAAGCAAATGAAATAAGCTTTGGGTACAACTAATTGAAAATAGCGAGAAACTTACACGCATGGGCTGGGGCAGCGATACCGCACATCCTTCAAATGCATTGTACATCTGTTTTTCCAAACTTTCTAAAAACTGGAGCAATAATAGCGACTGGCGCAGTTTCCGGTCATGCGTAGTGTTTGAAGCTGTAAAAAAATTAGAATGTGGCTTGGTTTTCTTGTCAGTAAAAAAGGTAAAAAATAAATCACGTTTTGCAAGAATAACATACATAAGTTGTATAAAATAAAAAGCTTTATTTGCACACATTATGTTTCTGCATCAAAAGAACTGAAAATTGATTATGACCGACACATACCTCGGTTTGAGCCTGCCATTTTCTCCCCGTTACTTGCAGACAGACGTGACATGTCACCCTGCAGACTTTGTTCCAAATCTTTCAGCACTCCTTGAGAAACAGGAAAATATGTAGCTACTAATAGCATTAATATATCACATACAAACTACAAATACTGTAGAATGTGTTATGCTCTTTTAAGACGAGATCTGTTGATTGTGACTCCGCTGCTAGAGTTGGTGATGATCAATGGTGATAACTCTCCATTAACGATAATCGAAAAATGTAAAAGTGGCACACTTTTTAAAAAATTCAAACAATTATGTACCACTTCTGGCAAAATGGAAAATCAATAGAGAAATAACGCTAACAATGAAAACCACTATAAAAGCAAAGGTAAATTATACCTTCAATGGCATTAAAGGTTTCCATTGCCTTTCCTAATGGGGTCTTTAGCCTTGCTAAAAGGCAAAACTGAGCCGCTTCCCAAGTGGCCCAAAACCAAAGCAATTCCCCGGAGCAATTCACCTGAAATTAGTAAAAACACTTTTAAGTGATGAGAAATGCTTGTTTTTGATTGATGAAGCCAGGGGCTGGAAAGTTGTGCACTGTCCGTGAAACTTATCTGAGAAAAACTTACGTTTAGTGGGAGACTGGAATCGTGTAACAAACAAAGCCTCTGCATGCAATTCATGTCACCCATTGCAGGCGGTGTTATCTTCCCGAGTCTTTGGCAGGCAAAGTAGATGTCTTGAATCCAGGTGGCCTCATTTCTGGACGAAAGAGATAAAACGTGAAAAAAGTCACAGGCTAAATAGGTAACGATCGCCAAACAAGGACGGGAGACCAGCCTCCAAAACAAAAATACTAGAAGTGCCTAGTAAAAGATGATGGTACGGAGGCGTACTTAATCAAAAAGGGGTTCTTGGCCATAAATCCTAGAGGATGATCATGAACAAGTGACACTTACTTTGAGTGGAGACCTTGCAAAATGTGGCCCATGATCACTTTGAAGTTGTGAGACCGCAGAGTGCCTGTGGCAGTCCTCATCATGTGACACTTCTTAGCCAACCAAATGTCTTCCCTGCACGTAACTTCCTTGAAGTGGCCTTCACTTGCATGTCTGATACAACTAAGCGATTGAGAAGCAGCCACCCTTTGAAAAGAGGATGAAAATTGAGGATAAAAAAGAGGCATCAAACATATTTACATTAATTACTCATTATTATGTTCGGATCGAAAGGGAAAATGTAGATAAACATCTAGTTTCATTTTCAATCCCAAACATCTAGTTTCATTTTCAATCCCGACTTTTAAAATGATCTCCAGCTCTTCTTATTGAACGAGAGGTTCCTTCCGACAGCCCAGCATGTTCTTTAAAATGTTTAAAAAATGCAGATTATTTCAAAGGCAGATGACCCGCTAACACAAGACGTCCCTACGATTTCTCTCTCCCAGCTATGACATGCGAATCGAACTATAATGCAGTATCGTTGGCTCCCTTTCGGGTGCTACAAGAGTTTGCCCAATTTACTCTCCCATAAACATAACCATATGAAGACAGCTAGCTTGTGGATACCATTGACCAATAACTATGGGGCGCCAAATGGGCCAAAATTTCAAGACGGGACAGAATCTTGTGAAGACCCTAAAATATCATCAAGAGTTGGATATAATCAAAATTAGAATATATCTCTCTTTACAACAAAAATTCTTCACAAGATAGCATATATTCATTTCTTCATGACATTTCTAGTATCTTTACCAGAATATTTGCACAACTTCTTGATGAGATTTTCGCTGATCGCTTGATGAGATTTTCAAACTGAATTTTGTCCCAATCGGCATGGTCCGCAAATTGTGAGCCCGCAACATGCAAACGAGGCCTTTACTCAAACGAAACCCAAATATGGCGTTGGTGTTGCCAGAGATCGTGGGTGCGATGCAATCTGGTGGGTTTTTGTTTGAAGACCTGAAAAGGTTTCGTTTCTGTAACCAGTGGCGGATTTAAGGGGGGGGCAACTAGGGGCAGTTGCCCCTCCCTCAATGAGTTGAAGCAAGTCTGGCGCCCTTTTTTTGGAAATTGTGCGCCCCTTTAGAAGAATGAGAATCAGATGAAAAAGGTTCTTGGACCGGTAGGTTCATTTGCTTCAAGGAGTGCCTCAAAGTCATGCTGTTTTTTCTGAAAAGGTATCTGAAATTGTTGTATACAGCGTACTCTCGTAACCAATTTTTGAAAATTTTTCAGCGCCTCCACTACCAACTGCCCCTCCTTCAAATTTGCTCTGGATCCGCCCCTGTCTGTAACGACGAATTAACGTATGATTTACTGCAAGCTAAAATGCACATGGCAAAAGTGGTACATGCTCTCTAATTTAGTTACAGACATCAATATTTTCAACTTATGACAAGCAGATGGTTCTAATACTGACAAACACAAGTTCGAGTTGTTTTATGAATAATAAAATCCCAATTCATCAGCATTTTAAACTTTCAAAGAAAATGTTGTTTAGATCAAGATAGGAAAGCAACATTTCATAAAGGGTGATCCTTAAAAATTTTCCAGTAGCCAGTAAGATGTCTGTGCAGCCCTATGTTTTTGTGTGCATTAGATAAGCCTCTGAAAAAATCTCGTGTGTGCATATGCTACACTCTGCAGACTGGTCTGGCACAAAGTTCCGCACCGTTTCCACATGGTTCATGCCTATAAAAATGCTACAGAGGATCACGATGAACTCTTCGACTTTAGCTTGCAGTAAATCATACGTTAAATCGTCGTTACAGAAACGAAACCTTTTCAGGTCTTCAAACAAAAACGCACCAGATTGCATCGCACCCACGATCTCTGGCAACACCAACGCCATCTTTGGGTGTCGTTTGAGTAAAGGCCTCGTTTGCATGTTGCGGGCTCACAATTTGCGGACCATTCTGTGAACATGCCGATTGGGACAAAATTCAGTTTGAAAATCTCATCAAGCAATTAGCGAAAATCTCATCAAGAAGTTGTGCAAATATTCTGGTAAAAATACTAGAAATGTCATGAAGAAATGAATATATGCTATCTTGTCAAGAATTTTTATTGTAAAGAGAGATATATCCAACTCTTGATGATATTTTGAAGTCTTCATAAGATTCTATCCCGTCTTAAAATTTTGGCCCATTTGGCACCCCATAAATAACCGATAATTTTGCAAATGTTCTGTGACTTTGTGAGAAAGCTTTTCTGTTTCGAATGCTTATCAAAACACCGAATGATATCTATATCAAAATACAAAATTTTGTCTTAAACCTCTCAGAAATAAATCATTTTGCTCCAAAATATTTGTTTGAAAATTAAATGTCATCAAAATATTTGCCTAAAATTTCTTTCACTCAAAAATGTTTGATTGTTAATTCAATTACATGCAACTCACAGCGCACTGAACATTACGTCAACAAATCAACTTCCCCACACTTGAATATTGTCCCAAAAAGAAATTCTAGTCACCTAACACATTCTAATGGAATACATTAGTATCATTTGAGTGTCTTTGTAATACGCTAAAGCAAACAGATGAAACTTTTACCCTGCAAGGACATCCACTGGAAACTTCAAAATGATCTTGAGAAACATGTCTTGTATTTCTGGCCTCGTGTCGTTGAGGTGAAAAAAGTTCTCGATCAACACCCTAGGCGCAAGAAGAGAAACAGATACCATGTCAAAGGGTTTTTACTAAAGAATTAATAAATAATAGCTGGAGGACACATCTTATACCATAAAAGGTTTCGCTAGATTATGTATCATGAGCAACCACATGATAAATCAATATTTTGATCTTCAAAAATTAAAGTAGACTTGCAGCGAATGACAACTTTGAAAATAGAATTACCACAACCTGAACTGATAAAAACAAGACACGGCAATAGGCCTACCTTGGCAAAGTGAATTCACACGTAGTTTCTCCACTGAGAAAGGCCTCAAGGCACATAGCAGACAGAAAAACCACTGACTTCTCCGCACTGAAAGCTACAAAACAAAGAAAAGAATCGCATATTCAGCGCTTAAAACTGTGCTTTTTCATGATACAAATTGACAAAGTTTTGAGATTTTTGCGTAACGATAAGGCCAAAATCGCCTGCCCGCTTCGAGCTAAGGTGAAGCAAAGAAATGGTCATATCCAACAGTAAACATCTTACAATAAAGAAGAAAGAAACGAAACATTGACGTAAATGCATTTTAAAATATTTTAATTTAGCACTTACAAGCATTTATCTGTGCATCAAACAAAGATGACAAATTTTCAAATGTCTTGAACTGATATGATGAAATCCCTTGAAGTGTTTTGACGATATCGGTTAGCCACAAGGTACATACTTCCCTGCAATGTCATCAATGAACAATCATATGGACATATATTATAACGTTGTTGATCGATAATATGAAAACAAAAATTGCCAAAATTATGACCAATTATGACTTTCTCATACTAGAGCGTTACTCGCTTCAAAGGATCACAACATTTATTCTCCTGGCAACCCGACTGTATTGAAAGGAAAAACCTGCAAATGCATTTATCTATTTGTTGGCCTACAGTTCTCTTTATCTTTGGCGAAAAGAGTCAATCTTTTTTCTCCCATGGAAGGCTGCAAAACTAGATCTACACGTCATAGAATTTAAATAGAGGTTCATTGTGAAAGAGCCTTCGTGACAGGAGAACGAAAATTATATACTGTTCTATGGCTTATGATACGCCTGTTCGAACCTAGGAACATTATTCAATCAGTCGCTATTAGGAACAAATTAAAAATATGCTGAAGCCAAACGGTGGTTCTGCATCTCAGCATCTTTAAAGGATGAAGCAGTCTTAAATAATACAGCCTAGTATTAAAACGACTGCTGCAAGCTTAAGCACCTTACTGAAACTGATCAATTCAGCTTCATTATAACAAAATCAAGCATTCAATAAGAACTGCGATTACCTCGAATCTGGTGAAGAGGAGAGGTCAGATACAATGTGGCAAATAATCTTAATTATTTGCGAAAACTCTTGTGACACAATGGTTTTCTTCGCATTTCCAATATGCAAGAAATGATTGGATCTACAACAAAAAGTACAGATTAGCAATGTTGAGAATGGCGTATAAAGGAGCTGCTAAGTACAGTTAGCAATATATCTATAGTCATAAAAATGTCATAGAAACAAGAAACGCACCTCTGTGAATGGGTATAGAGTGTCGATATTATGCTGAACTGCACTAAAGGATATCGTACTGCAACAACTTCATTTAGCGGTGAGATGGTGTTTGTTAGCAAATGAAATGTGTTTGGGTTGACATTCCAAGCCTAAAAACCAAACAAATGCGAACAGAAGATTAGAAACTACTAGCTAAATAAGCAGATAAAGTGAATATTATTAAACCCCAATTAGAATTCGAAGCAAGTTCTCTGCTAATGTCATATCTGGTAATGTAGCCAAAACTTCAAAAACAAGGATCGTTAACTGCTAAAACTAACCGTGTCCTGGTGCCTCCAAAAAACCACGAAAATATAGAATTTGGGATCAAGCATGAAAAAAGAATCATTTCTTTTCAATATTTTTGATAACGAAAGTCAGTTGTTTGTTTTTGTTTAAAGAAGTAGCAAGTTGAATAAATTTAATTGTGGCATATTTATTCAACTACTAACTTATCCACATTTGAGACAGAGTCTTGGCACAAGCTGTTTAATAAGAGACTAGAAATATTTACAAACAATTTTTCAGAAAATCTTATTCAACGTTTGTTTATTAGGGCAAACAAACGATCGAATGATTCAACATAGTCTAGCGTAATGTAGCCAAAACTTTGCAGAAACATAAAAATTGGTGCACCGGAATCTAGCAAAGAAAAAAAATTTTGTAGCCATTGTGAATCACTACCTTCATCTCATACTACAGATTTCTCACTATAGCTCTTTTGAACAAAAGCTCGGAAAAGCTTAGAGATAAAATAAAGGGTAAACCAACATGTAGGCTGCGACGAGCCCATAGTTTAGGAAATCCTGCTGTAATAATAGTAGCATTGTAATAATAATAGTAGCAAACCTTGATTTTGAAACACCCCTTTGTAGCACAGTCAATTGACAAGGAAAAAGAGTAACTAGCTGTGCTAAACAAGCCACACTTCTATCTTCGAAAAAATTCTGAATAAATACCAGAGGATAAAACCAGCACAGAAAATCACAGAATCAAAGCAGACGTATAAAGGACAAGCAAAACTGGGCAAAATGTGATAACTTTTATATCACTAAAAGAGCTTGACAAAGATTGACACGAGTAAAATAAAGCTTTGCTTACACCAACAATGGCTGATTTGTATGTCACTATTTCAGCAAGAACCGACAGATCAAATATGATATGGTCATGTATCTCTTCTGCCCTGCTTCCATTTTCACATTGCTTTGATTGTATCTCTGCCTCTTTAGTTGCTTCACTATTCGCCATTTCTCCTTCTGCATCTGTAATTTCCTCGCCAGTAACGTCATCCCAGTCAGCTGCAGTGAGAGCCTTGAGTGTATGAAAATTCTCTGCAACGTCATCAGCCAAGCATCTACGATAAAAACTCCAGCTCGTGAAAATCGAAGGAAACAAAAAAAATTCAAATTAAAATTAACTTGCATCAAGCAAATAAAACGATTAAGACTGAAACAAAAAAAAGAAAGTTTTCAAATTGAAAAATAATAATTACTTGTAAGCTGCTTGGACAATAGGAATGTTCTTTGTGCTTAATAGTGCTTCGAATGTTCGCAGTAACAAAGCGTAGACCTAAAACAGCACAAAAATGAAATAACAAACATGAAGGAATTAAGCAATTTCTGGTTAAAGGTATCTATTCTGAGCAGAGTAGAAAATTGTAGATTAGGACGATAACACCGAGGGATTACCTTTGCACTTCTGACACTGCGCAGTTTATAAAGCGCAGAATCGGCATGAAATAGAGTGTTGACGACTTTGACCGGAACTGACAAGCCTACCTTGAGAAACATCTGCGATAAGAAGTAAAATCATAGGCTTTAATAACGTGTGGGGTCCTAGATAACCACGGTATCATTAAAAACAGAGTAACCTTTCTTCAGAACACTTCAGAACTGAGGTTATAAAGGTTTCGAATGGTTGATGCATAATCAAAATAAAATATTTCAATTGCAAGTTAACACGTTGTATCGCCGTTTAAATTAATCAACAGTAAATGGCATAAAAATCAGCCCGAAATTTGTTCCTTTCTTCATATGAAGGAAAAGGGAGAAATAATCTTCAGGAAATCATTTAATATAAGGATATTCGCATTACGATAATTAAAATATTATTCAAATGACAAAAAATCATAACAAACTTCGATAAATTAAGAAACAAGCACACCAGTGCATTCTTTAGTTTAATTGTTAAGATCAGCAATCAATTGTTCATAAATCGAAGCATTACTTTCAAAAGCGCATTAAAAATCAATTTGAGTATTTTCTTGTGTTTAAATTTTACAGTATACTCTAGGCAAATTTACATTGAATACAATTAGTAAACAATTTCAGAAGCATTTTTAAAAAAAGGAATGCAGATTCTTACGGTTTCTAATAACGACAAAATGGATACTAAGTGACAATAAGAGAGAGTTTCTTCAGACGACAGCTGTCCTGTGACATAATCTGCAACTTGGTGACAGTTTGGTGCAAAGTGTGAGGTTAGATAGCCAATCATCACCTTCAAACAGTCGTTTGCTGTGAATCACAAGAAGATCACTTTACATCTAAATAACATCTGCCCCAAATCAATTAATACATCTTTATCGCCAATTTTTAATGCAGTATTCAAAGGAAATTGACTGATGGATTGAGAATTGCTTATTCAATATAACTTGTAAAACGTATTTATAACCCTATCGCCAGTTTATTGAGGGGTATTTGGTAATATTTGAGCTTTCCTACATAGAACAATAAATAAGGAAAAAGAACGTACCTGAAATTAGAAGCTTCTCGAACTGAATACCATACGATGTTATGTCTGTACACTGGATTATTCTTGTCACCGTCTATAAATTGATATAGGCAGAGGTAAATAGGCAGAGTGGTATAGACGGAGTGTGTGAAATTACTGTGGTTGCATTTTTAGGTATTCTTAAAAGACAGAAAAATTATCAAAAAAGTATTGTTAAAAATGACTAATTATGTACCAAATAAATATGTTTCACGTATTTATAACAGACCATAAGCCTAAAAATTTAAAATTATTCTAATACGCAATGCGAAAGTGTATAATGAAGTACAAAAGCCAGGTAGAAAATTGTGTGAAAAGAGATAACCATACTTCATTGACGTATGATGCGTTGACAAGGCAACCTCTGCCCGGAATGAAAAGGTCGCCAATTCCTGAGACAACTGTCGTAAAAACACTGGGCGGGAAATAAAAAAGAACATACTTTAATTACTGCAAAGAAACATCAAAAGTTGGAAATTAAAACTAGCAATTTAACTACGATAAGAAACTGTACAAAGATACAAGGTACAATATTTACTGCAAAATTAAACTGGAACACATGTTTATAACATCGTTTTCTAAAATGATATATGGATGTACTGAAAGAGATCCAACCGAGAACAGTAGCTCATAGTGACAAAAATTATCATTATGATGTTATTCTTTGATCAATTGAAATTATGATGAGTTAATTACTAGGAATTAATAATTAAAAGTAAGCAATTGAGAGTAGGCTTCAAAAACTGCTTTCGCAATTCGCATACCTGACAAGAGAGCTCAGCTTCGGCAATGCTTTAAAAGCTGAGCTTGTTTCTTCTTCGTTGTTGTCACTTTGGAATGCATTCTTGAGCACCTAATGAAGCAAGGCATTTTTCATGGAGTTCATGTTTTTCTTTCATTACTCTATTAAAAAACATTTAAGGATTTTACATTCTTATGTTTTGCTGTCCAGTTTAAAACAAAAAAATGCATGAGAAAGTGTTGGTAACTGAGATCAAGTCCACATAATACTAAATGGATAATGTCCCATTGCCACTGAGAAGAAATATAATGTTTTTTTGCCTTTAGGGCTTCTTCATAAGGCATTTAGTGGATCGGGTGTACCCCTACTCCATCTAATGATAATTCACCCAGTTACTGCCACACTGGAGGTAGAATGGTCGCAACTCCCTTGGCAACAGAGCTTATTCATGCAATCATTATCATAGTATAAGCTAGATAACCTTATTTACAAACCTCAGAGTAAGCTTCCATATCTTCCATAAACTGGCTCAGAAGCGTTAAGGAAAACCCCATATCAGCAACCCAGTAAGCATGAAATCTGATCAAACACTCTGAAAGGCAAATTGAAATATTGAGTTTATTGACAAGCAAAATTTTTGGTAAGATTTTTTCATCCTGGCAGCAAAAGAGAATGTATTCAAGAAACAAACAAAGCTATAGAAAGAAACCTGAGGTGCTTTTAACCAGCGCTTCACTTTGACTTGTATCAATGTGCCAGCCAACCAAGATATCAACAATGTCCTAGAAGATAAGGTTATATTACTGTCATAAAACAAGTTTCAATATTGTCTCAAAAAGATCTCTTTATGGTCTCGAAACAGGTCATTAAACCTTCTCAAAATAGATCCTAATACTGCCTTAAAACAGGTTGTAATGTTGTCTCAAAACAGATCTCGTCAAATCATCTTTAGCTAAACTACCGTAATGCCTAAAATAAGTGCCCGGGCGCTTATTCAATTTTTCGTTAATTTTTCGTATTAAATAATCGATAGGGCGCTTATCTAAAAAGTAGATTTGGGTACAAATTGTGTTTTTTATTAATCTTTTTTGTTGAAATGCCTTCTAATTATGTTTTCGTTGAAAATTCGAATAAGAGTCCGTTTCTGAAGGTTGAAGGATGGGCGCTTATTCGAGGGGTGGGCGCTTATTCAATAACTTTACCTCTAGAGTGAGCGCTTAATCAAGGGGGGCTCTAATTTGTGGAGGGCGCTTGTTCGAGGCATTACGGTACACATATTTAGGAATTAATCTGACAATATAAAATAATTTCAATCAGAAACAAACACATTTTAAGAACATTTTGCTTCATTTTCTTTCATATCTGTTAGGACTATTTTTTGCTGTGAAAATACAAATAACTGAAAAAACAAGCAAAGAGTTAGCAAAATTTGTTTAATAAAAATTTTTCAGAAAGTTTAGCAAATTACCTAAAGAATGTTGTATAACATAACGCAAATCACTTAGAAACATAATGTGTTATGATTACCTTAAAATACTCCTCAAAAATATCTGGATAATCAGCACTGATTATGCATATGATGTCCATATTGACCAATAACAAATCTATGAAAGCAAAAACATTTTGAACTTATGTTTTCTTTTATGCTGGGAAGTCTGAAAGCGTGATCAGGAAAGTTGTGACATGGGGGCATGACAGAAGGGAGGTTTTGAGTCATTACAAAGGCAAGCTGACAAAATATGACAAGGTTATCCCAATATTTGATCATATATTATTTATAAATTCTCTAAAGAAATTGATAAAATTTATAATAAATTCTAACTGAAAATGAAACATGTAGAAAACAAACCTGGTACATCAGCATTTTCCAGTATATCTTGCAAACTTGCCATAATCCTCTGCAAGAAATAGACTGATTTTAAAATTATTTTACATTGCATGTTTATAGACAACTAAAAAACTTGGTATTCTATTCATTTCATTTTCACAATTCACAACATATAACAACTTTCAACATCAACTATACTCAACTTGTAAAAACAGCAGACCTGGTTACGAGATATATAATTCACAATTTTACAAAGAGTGAGAATATATAAGAGAGCTGTATTAGGGACCGCATAAACTACAAATGAGCAAATACAACCACTTACCGGCATTGCACTATAAAAAGTTTGTTTTCCACCATCAAGTCTTACAGCCTGTTAAACAAATGATCATGCTTAGGGAAGTTGCTGAAACCCAATAATATTAAACATAGAGATATTTCACATCTATTTTAAATGCAAGACAGTAAACCTCTCAACAAGATATATAGACTCCTTCTAATAATACTTCTTCTCATAGTCTTACTTCTTCTTAAATCAATTGAACATGTTTTGTTATTCTCCAAAAGAATTTTCACCTCTTATTTAACGTAATCCACCCTGTATAAGTTGGTCCTTTTCCAGATTATTATTGGCTTAGTTGGAGGTTGTGTCTTATACAGTATAATCCGGTTATAACATACTTTAAGGGACCAGCGTATTTAGTATGTTATATCCGAAGTACCTTGAAACGACGGTAAGTAATAATTGATTAAAACCAAGCACACCTTTTGCCAGGACCAAGCACACCAGTACAAACATGGAATTAAAGGTTGCATCTTATACACAGTAAAATACGGAATAATTTCATATATACAGGCAATAGTTTCTATCCACAGACACATTGCAGAGTAGTTAAAAGTATAAAATGCAATAAACTTCTTCTTGACAATATGTCTAGTTGAACATTCCTTAAAGCAATTCACACAGCAAAAATTTAAAAACGCAGGTGAACTGAAATATCATCAACAACACTCAAAATGACTACCAAACACTAAACAAAGCAGTAAATAAAAGTTGAGTGAATAATTTACTGACATGTTTAGCAGTAAAGTAAACCTTTAAAGGAAGATCTACTGATGATCCAGCTTGACTATATGCTAAATTGTAGCCAAAATGGTCATAAAATGTATTTTGATTGCTCAGTATGACCATTGTTTTTCAAATAAAACATGATCATGATTTTGTTTAAACCAATAAATATGTAAAAGAAGCGTAAATATAAAAACTCCTCAATTGTTCTCTATACAGTCCTTCAATTTTAAGCTTAATGTGCCATTTTAAAAGTGGATAGTCTAATGTCTAGTATTATATGGAAATCGATTTATAATACATTGGTCTTATAAAAATGCATTGTGCATAACTGATAATATCTGATAATAACTGGTAAGGTGATGAAACTTACTTCTAAGACAGTGCGTAGGTACAAAACCCTTAAATGGTCGCTAGAAGCATTAGGAACTTTTGAGAACACCCATTTGAAGAACCTTGACAAAAGACAAAAACAATTGTCAAAATGCAAAGAGAACAAATCTTCAAAAAAAGCAAGAAAAATAGTGTAGTTCTTTTTTGGTTGGTTGGAGACTTTTGCATCTTTCTAAGATTAGATTGAAATGCGAAACTTTGGAATGCAAGGAAAAAAGGAAAATTTTAGATAAACTTGCACTAAATGATTAAATTGGCTTTATGAAAATTCAATTGGACAAACCAGAGTGCATTTGAACGTCTTGAGTAGATGGCAGCAAAAAATATATAGCTTCCTTATAAAAGACACTGTTAGCTGTGACAAACCTTTCAGAATCCATGTCTAGCAGCAATCCAATCAAGCCAATGCTAGATATTATCTGATCTTTAAGCTCATTTTGTCCTCTATATAAAAAAATTGTAAATATATCAACCTTTTTTTAGAAAGGTATAGGTAGCTCGGTAATATACACAAATTTCACATGAAGAATGTAAGAGCTGTAATTTTGCTCTTCAAACTGTATTACTTTTCAAACTTATTTCTGAAAAACTATTATGAATACATATTATTTGTATGTACTTGGTGTTTGATAATCCCTCAAAGTGTTACATATAATAAATACTTTACCCACATAGTATAAAATCAATAAATATATTGTATAGGTTACAAGTTGTTATTTTGGAACTCTACTGAGTTCAATTACAACAGACAAGAATATTTACCTAAAGATGACAAAAAGATATATACTTTACTTTGTTACCCTGGCAATATCAAAAAATCTACTCTCTAAAATGGCTGGTTATTTACCTCTCTTTTAAAACTTCTTCCAAAGCGGTGAAGATGTTACTGCTATTGTATCTGAGAAGCTAAAAAAAATAAACCATGAGATTTCACAATATGTTCTCACAAAATTTAGCTTTCCTTATATCCATGCATTTTGGTAATAATAATCATTTTGAAGAAGATCTTATCGCAGTCAAAAAACACACATCTTCAAAGAAGAATAAAAGACTGTCAAAGAAGGCTACTGTGCTGTTGTGGTTGAGGTGTTTGGCTCACAATCCTATGGTTGAAGGTTTGGGACCAGGACATGCCATTAATCATTGTATTGATTCTTGATTAAGTACTTCAGGGAATGCAAGACTATCAAATGTTACCTTCCCATTCTTTTAAGAAGGTTACTTAGACAAACACATGCAGGTAGAGCTTTGTATTACAATATGTTAAAGAAAATTAGTTATTTTGTAAAAATATTGAATCAAAAAATTGGCAATCTTAATGACATTGGAAACAGTAAAAATAATGCACTGGCAGACAGAAGTATTGGTAGACCTCAAGTATGGGTATAAGCCTATAATAGTTATATAAAATGGAGTACTGTTTCCATTATACATTATTGCAACATTATTTATGCCAAACAAATTATTGCTGGTTTAAGGAGTTACAATTGTGACCAAGATGCAGATCTAACTAAGAGTTAAAGTTAAAAACCTCACTAATCGATTTATTAACATCTTTACACACCTGCCTTGAAAAACTTACTCTCAGACTTGAAGTAGGGCCTCAAATTTTGGGTATGTACAATTACTGGTAGGTGGTTTTTGGTATGTAGTATAACTGCCTATAGTCTTTTCATCAGGCGAATATGAACATCAAAATACGAATATTTTTGTAATGAACCTTCCAGTGAAAAAAATTTGTTTTGCTAAGCCGAAGTGTTAAAAAGTTAAAAGAAAGGAAGAAGTTCATAAATTCTTGTTGACCACCAACCCTAATTGAAAACAATCAGTTCTGAATAAGCTAATAGCGAAAATAAGAGATAATAGTTTTTTATTGTTGTTTTTCCAGAATTTTCTACAAAACTAGATTCTCCTTTGAAGCATTTTATTATCCTTTTAGATCTAAATTTGTTTGATGTTTAGAGCAATAGAAACAAAATGGCAAGCATTCAAAGTGAATATCTTATTGCATTGAAACTTTTCTTTGCTTAATGCTTTAAAATCAGTCTTATAATAAATTGGATCCTAAGGACAGCTGGACGCAATAGCCAATCTCTCACAGATACTATAATATCACCAGTGTCAATAAAAAAGGAGTTAAGTCCCTGGTATTGCTATCAACAAGAAAAGCAGCAACCTTCTGAATTGTACTTTAAGAGAGTTTTAAATTTATGATACAATATCATTTTCTTTTCACCTGTTCATTTTGGCCAAAGTAGCAAAAAATATCATAAGAAACTTCTGCAAATGGCTGTAGATTAATATATCAAACCTCAATATTAGCTGGGTCTTGAATGTATTCTTTGAATTGCTTAGAAACCTGCAGCCTGTTGCCACTGTCACCATGCATATTTGTCAATTGACCAATCATTTGTGCAAGCTTTGAATTGTCTTGAAACAAAGCATGTCTATCTAAAATGCAATACAAATAAATACATTCAACTAACCCTATCCTTGGAGAAGCATAAATCCCCTTACAGGACAATTCAATAGAGTAAGTAGACTAAACTCTTCTTGACACTACAACAGCTTGAGGCTAGCCTAGGCTTCTGGAACTTAAGAACCAAAAACATTCTGATATTCTAAAGATTCAGGTTTAGAGTATAATACAAGGTCTGACTTCCTGTACAACACAATTTGTTTATTTCAATATAAATTGGTATATGTAGTAGAAGCAATGCGCAATTTTCTTGCAATTAAGAAAAATGTCAGAACCATATTTAGTGAGGATTAATCTGTGATACAAAAAGTCTAGTTCGATTTCATATCTATTAGAAATAACAATTAATTTTAAATTATTAATTTTATGGAACCAAAAATCATGAAGTAAAAATTGTTTTTTTTTTCAAATATATCATCACCATAGGTTTTTTCAAATGTACCTTGTTCCATTGACAAAGTGAATATTGTATTAAAACAACATACCATTGGATGCACTTTTATTTGCATCTCTCCCCTTTTCGTTTGTCAAAGCACTGCTTCTCTGTTTAATATCATCTTTCCTTCCAGACAATATTTTGGAATTCGATGGCTTCTCAGTGACAAATTGATTTTTGTTGCTTTCCCGTGTCTTGCGCGGGCTTCTACTTGTCCTTGTCCTGGACGTCTCTTTCTTTCTTCCCTCATCTTTCTGGCTTGTGCGTGCATTTGAAGATTCTTTCTCACTCCTGGTTGAGTCTTGAGAGTTGTCTCTTAGGCTAGAGACTTTTTTATCTCTAAGTTTTTTCGATCTACTAAGATTTGGCTGTCCCCTTCCACTCATCACATTTCATGCTGAAATGCTGTCACTTTAACCAGCTATCTTAGAACCAGGGTCACTGTTACCCTCAAAACCCGTTCGCCTCAAAATTCGTTTCAAAGTGAGTTGGTTTGGTGACAGGTGAACTAAACTGAGTGAACCTATTTACTGTATAGAAATAAACATCACTTGTCTTTCTTCCACTTTTGAAATGGTATCCTCAGTCCTTTACTTCTTTATGCAGACCTCCATGTAAAAAATCACAAATCCAACATGTTGCTGCCAAATTTGTTGAATTGAATTACTGTCTTCTCCAAAAGACCCTCCAAAAAGACACTGGGCCAAGACTCCGTCGATACGCTCAGCGGTGTCGCCACTACGTTGGGGCGTTGGGGGGTGTGAGACAAGGGTGTTTCGTCGGTAAATTTTCAGATTTGTCGTCAAATAAAAGATGGCTAACCCACTCACCCCTTGAGCACAATATTCAGTGATGACCCTGGATATGCTGCAACGTTTTTGCATTTACAAGATTTTATCAGGAAAAATTATCAGGAAAAATGATCTTACATTCTTACGAAAATGGATCTTACAACACAGGTGCAGGGGCAGCAAGGGTACAGCAAAGTGACCTTTCCGAAAATTGGTTTCCAAGAAATATCAATTCCCATCAGTATTTAAATGTTAGTATGATCTCGGTAAAAGTGTATCTTGATTCCGATAATCAAGAAGGAACTCAATATTTTGGTTTTTGATAACAACTTAAAATGGATTTGCAAAGCATTTGAACTAAAGAATTCTAGTTGATCATTTTTCTTCAACCTTCATCATCATGCTGAATAAGTTTAGTTTGCCACTAATGCCACCAACGTTGGCTCGCATATGTTCGACAATTCAGTCAAGGGGTTAAGGATGTCTTTAGTTCATGACCTTTTATTCAAGACGTTTTGAAATCAAGAAGTTTTCATGTAGCACGGTATTCATATTTGACATCTTGCAGGTCATTTTTAACATACTGACTAGTGGGATATTTGCCCCAGTGGACCCTTTGCTTGTCTCAGCAGTGAAGGAAAATTATTGCTTCAAATTACCCAGCGGTCTGTGTCAAATCGAGGTACTTTTCAGTTTTCTCTTGTGAACAGAGCCATTTTACAATTTACCTACTCAAAAAAAATTTGAGAAGATAATTTTTCACGTTTGCAAATCTCTGTTCTAAAGACATCATTCGTGTCGGTAATGATAGTGAATTTAACGGTAAGCTGCCAAAGCAAGTTACCTGTTAGACACATAGGCAAGGCAAGTAATAAAGCAGGGGCGTCGTGGGTAATGACTCTAAGGGGGGTTCAGCTTGCAAATTTTCTTATACTGTTTCCTTCTTATATTGATTAGTTCCTTTGAATTTTCTTGCTTTTCTATGAAGTGCAAATATTATTTTGCCGAACAGATACAAAATTCCCGACCAATTTCCGAATGGCCGATTTTAGGGGGCACGTTCCCCCTGCTCCCCTAAGAATTCGTTCAGATGTCAAAGATAGGCCAAGGTAGATCACTTACATATCAGTACACAAATAGGCAGCCCTACGTAAGGAAAATGACAGAGCATTGAGCTGCATGTCAATCCACCATCTTTAGGTTCTTGAATTAAGGAAGGGCAAATCTTTTATAATACCGTTTAATACCGATCGAGGGTTATAATACCGATCTACATACCCTAAATCCTCGAATTAGCCCCCTGGGGACTTATTTACTTTTGATATTTTTGGATGGGGGTTATTCGAGGGTACGTCTACAGTAGGAGGAGGATACGGCAATCAACATACGGATACGGCAATCAACATACGGAATCTCTTTCCCATCCCACGGAACATGATACCAATGGGCACATTGTTTTCTGGAATAAACATTCTCTGTAGAATACGTGTAATCTATAGATATGCTTATTGCGTTTCTAACCATAAAGATACTAGTGGTTTACAAATTTTTAGGCCGATGTGAAGCTCGTAGTGAGTGTCAGTTTTTCGGTGTTAAAATTTTTCCATGAAGTACTCTGATAAAAGGAACCTTCATGTTCGTAAAAAATTTTGTTGACCTGCAATAATAAAAAAATACATCGGATCCAAAACTATCCTAATTAAAACATTTCATCGAAGCTAAAACAAAGTCTCTTGGTGCTAACTTTCGCTAATAACTTTCCTTTCGCTTTCCACCAATCAGATCCAGACATTTTCTTAGCCTAACAAAGGGCAAGACTAAAACAAAAAGGTTACAAGCCTGTACTCGGAAAACTACTTTCGCCTCAAGCTATTCTTTACAGTGTGACTTGCTTTAGATATTTAGCTACCCTTCAGACCGTTTTTAAACATTTAATCAGCTGAGCAGATACAGAATATATGATTAACCAATCCGACCAAGAAGCATGTGATCTCCAGAAATGCTAAACGGCCGAACAAAATGGTTCACCAGGATATATGCTAAAAAGATAACGGGAAATTTCTGTAGTTCTTGGTTTATAAAGACTAAAAAAATGAGCTGGTTTTTCAAGCCTTATCACACTCTTAGTAGGTGTATAAATTTAGGCGCTTTTAAAACTGCTTGAATCGTTTCCTAGCAGGGATTTTTAGAAAGGTAGCAATCACATCCCAGTAGTATGTTCTTAGTCATTCTATTGTCGAAAACTGTTTCGTCATGCCCTGATTGGCGCTAAATTATAATAAGATCAAAGAAACTGCTCAAGTAGTCAACGGGAGTTACTTTCCAATTACAGAAAATATTATGCTTCACTGCTATCTTAGAAGGATAAACATCCATTGAATCGTAGATTTAATCAATATAAATGGAAACTAGGGAGCAAATAGAACAGCAGAATCGGCTTTTTCGCACAAAACGGATCAGTATTTGTACATGAGACACGAATGAAACTAAAGATAACCTCTAGTGGTCGTGGTACTTCTTTTCATGCCACCTTTTTGCACCAATAATTACATCAAGATCTTACCTTTGACTGAGCATTGAGAAATTGCTTAAAGAAAGAGTTGTCCTGGTATGAAAGTTAGAAACAATATTTTGATCACATCGGTTACCAAAACAGAACTGAATCTGCAGCCAAGCCTTGAAACTTACTTCAAGTCGACAATTACTGTACCTGAACTTAGGGCATTAAACAAATCAATAAATCTTTATAAGGCAATAAAAATATTTTATGATTTATTTTTTACTAGGGTTTTGCCTCAACACTGAAAAAATACTAGGGTTTTGCCTCAAAAAAGACATAAAATGAATAATCACAAATGACTACCATGTTCGGACTTCTGTTATATCTTAATATTTAAATAAAATATGGAAATTGATTACACAAATCTTTTGAGTCTACCAATGTTTGCTTTTTATAAACCAGGCATCGGAAACTTGCTGGCAAACTGTTCAACTTTCTCTCTAACCTCGTCAATTTTGGTTGCGAACTCTGGTTCTTGCAACTTTTTCTTAAATTCTGCAAAGGTTGACATTTTCCCTGATAAATTGAAAGACCTTTCAACTTGAACTGCAATTCGAATGGCGTCATGCATGAAATCACCGACAATTTGCATTTCAGCCTCCTTCATGTTCCGTGATGTCAGCGCAGGCGTCCCTATCCGCAAACCGCCTGCTCGCAGTGCACTTTTGTCACCAGGGACTGTGTTCTTATTTGCTGCCAAAAACAACAGTGTCAACTTGGCTATTATTCAGTTTAAATGAAATGAATATGCAAAATAATCAGTCGGTTTCGTGCATAAAATGAAGCAGTCATAACAATTTAAGTACCGAGATATACGTAGTCGACGGAATTTATTAATATATCAATGAAAAATTACAAAAAACAAAATCAATTATTTTCTAAAAGGGGCGTTCTCCGGTGTTCTAAAGGACGTAGCCTCAAAAAAATTTTGGTCTCACCCTTCTCAGCCCACCCACTTTTAGACTGATGTGCGGTGCCTGAGACATTTCACAAGACGATACCACAAGAGCTGTGATCAAGCACATCTCTCCTGCAGCCAACACGAAAACGACCAAAAACAAGCAGTGACTAACAATAACAACAAAAAATAACTTTTAGGAAGAATTTTGAGGATCAAAAATGGCACAAGCAAGTTTCATAAAACATGCTTTATTGAAGGTTTTTGAGACGGGGGGAGCTTTTTAATGGTATGCGGTATATATGCAAACAGTGGGATGGCTAAACTATTGCGCATCGTACACTGATTCTATATTGTTGCATCAAGAAGTCTATTTTACATACTCGGGTTTACTGCAGTACCTTGTCGCTATACCAATATCATAACAGGAACATGAAATAATCATTTTTGATGAAAAAGTGGCCTTAAAGGCTCGTACACAACCGGCATGCTTGGCAACCATATTTGCAAAACCGGGCTGGTATCGTACTGCATGAAATTTCTAAATTTAGTCCATTGCTCTCCGCATAAAAACAGCTACCGAAAAGCATGTCAGCTGCGCAAGAGCCTTAAATGAAATGCAAGAGCCTTAATGAAATATGGAATATATGATGATGAAAACATAGGAAAAATGAAAAAAATGATGAAATTTTGAGGTTCAGCTCTTATGGCAGGGTGCTTCCACTTTGGAATAATACTTGAATGAGTAAGAAACCGGAAAAAATACCTGTTACACTACAGAGCTCAAGTACTCTGTCTGCTTTGCTGCCATCGATTCCCTGTGGTTTCAAGTCTACTAAAAACATGTGCATATCAGTGCCACCAGTGATGACTGCGTAGCCCTTGTCCTTCAGGAAATCTGACAATACCCGTGCGTTTGTGATTATCTGCTGCACATACGCCCGAAACTCGTCAGTACCCGCCTGTTTCAAAGCTACAGCTATTGCTGCTATATTGTTATTATGGGGACCGCCTTGCAAGGCAGGAAACACCGCTTGGTTAATGCGGCTTTCATAGTCGTATTTGATAGGTTCTCCTTTACTGTTTACAGTTTTAACTCCCTTTCTGTAGAAAATCATCCCCGCGCGTGGTCCACGAAGACTCTTGTGTGTTGTTGTTGTGACAACGTCCGCATAGTCGAACGGCGACTTAAGAGCGTTGCCAGCTACTAACCCACTGATATGTGCCATATCAGCTAAAAGTACAGCGCCAACAGAGTCACAAATAGAGCGAAATTTAGCGTAATCGAATTCACGAGAATACGCACTGCTCCCGGCAACGATAAGCTTCGGCCGGAACAGTTTTGCTGAATTTTCAAGCTGGTCGTAGTCAATAAGACCAGTTTTTGGGTCCACTTTGTAAGGCATCGATTCAAAATAGATTGATGTCGCAGAAACCCTTCGTTTTTCCGTCATGAAGCCATGAGTAAGATGTCCACCGTCAGGAAGATCCAATCCCATAATTCGATCGTGTGGTTTTAACAAGCCAGTGTAGACTTCAAAATTAGCTGGAGACCCGGACAGGGGTTGGACGTTTACTCCCCATTTTTCTGGATCCAGCCTACAAAAAGCATTGGTAAAATTAATACCAAGTTCAAATATTATAAGAGAGTGCAGTAATCCATTTCTGAAAATAGCCTTAATTGGGTAAATATAATAATATAATATAATAGGCATAATAAGAGCGACACCACGTTAAGAGCAATACAAAGCCAACAAACTGCAACATTAAGTAATATGGCGACTACTATCTAATATTTGTATGTAAATAAAGGAAAGTGCATGGTAGCAGGCTGCTCGATGGAATCCAATGGGATGCTTGCGGCGAACAGTCGATAAAAATGTAGAAAATAAGAAACACCGCAACGCGCCGAGAAACAAACAACAATAAACACAGGCAAATAAATAGCAACTTAAATTTCGCCCTGGCATACGGGGCTCCACCAACGCAAAAGCGATATTTGTGTGTATCAGTGAAAAAAGTTATTGTAATATTCTTAGTGAGAGAGAGTTTACACACGAACTGAACTGTAGCTTGTTTACTAGTGAACTGATTATATTACAATAGGGACTACATACAAATAACAGCGTGACAATACAAAGTACAAATGTCAACACTAAACAAATACCACGACATTGCAGTTAGGGCAAAGCATCAGACATGAATACCGTAAACCCTCGAATTGCCCCCCCCCCCCTCGAAAAAGCCTCCCTCCTCGAAAAAGCCGCCCCCCCTCAAATACGCCCTTACCCTAGAACTACAAAATGCCAATTAGCCTCCCCCCCCCTCGAAAAAGCCCCCCCTCGAATACGCCCTCACCCTAGAGCTACAAATTGTCAATAAGCCCCTCCCCACTGTCACTGTAAATTATTGAATTGGACCCCTCCATTTGATGACTTTTGCCATCTGCGGATGCCTATGGCTTTTTATTGAATTACCACAACAAATTCATACTTCTGGTAGTAATTAATTAAATGCTCATAAAGAAATTCCTACCAGAATAAACGAGGTCTTTTAATAATGTCTTCTTAATGTCTACAATAATTTTATAAGCCCCCACCCCTTGTATAAGCCCCCCCTCGAATAAGCCCCCATCCGTTTGTAAAGTGAGATGCTACCTGTGATCTTATGGTCATACTGGTTTTTGCTGTTGCATGTGAGGTAGTGCTAGCAGTCACAATTTATGGAGTCTCTTTGAACCTTGGTGTCAGCCTATTTTGTTGGTCTATAACATACATATGATCTCCAATTTCTAAGTCACTTGTTTTTGCTCACCACTTTCCGTTACATAAGTTCATTGTATACCTGACATAGTTCACTTCTCTTTGCTTCATTGTGTCTGCCAAAAACTTATTTTGTGCTTTTTAGTGTCTGTAACATCCTTTGGATTGTTTTGTTGTACAACAGCTCCCCATGAGGTAAATATAGCGATCCGTTTCTTATCTTATAACTTTACACAATATTTGGTCAATAACAAAATATTTGAGGAATATGGAAGGTTCTAACGTGATATTATATTTATCTTTGTAGATTCTATCAATTTTTATTACATTTCATTGTTTACATTTCACATTTTACATTCAAATTAATTTGCTGCTTGAAAATATTATGAGGGTTTACGGTGCAGTTTTTCTAAATATATGTCACGTGCCCAAAGGTAAGAACTATTCTAAAATATCATGGGGGGTGACATTAGATGAACTGTTTGTGAATAAAACTTTGCAATTGATGGTGGTAGAATAACAAGCTTCAGCTGATTTCAACAAAAATAGACTACCTGTAGACAGAAAGTGCTCGTGACTTGCAAAGGTCTTCAATCTTGTCAATATGATCATTACCACTGTAATATCTCATCCCAACTTCTCCTTCTGAATACTTGTTAGTCAAACAAGATCCAAGGGCCTGCATAACAGCAGCGCTTGTAAAATTTTCTGATGCAATTAGCTCTAGGCATTTGATTTGCCGTTCCTTTTCCTTGCAGATCAAATCATAAATTTCAGCGTCATTCTTTTCCAATGATTCATTCAACCAATTGGGTGATGCCATATTGTTCATGTGCCTATGAAAAAGATGACTGAGACAGAGCACACTACATTATGATGTTGCTAAAACAACATAGTGTCCATTGATTCTAGTAATCTTTAAGATGGTTTGTAGCTATTCCAATACACTATAAGAGAATGTTGCAAGCACATGCATCAGTTCAATCTTAATTGTATTTTGTGGAATTTCAAATCAACTGAAACTGAACTGAAGTTAAAAGAAAACAAACACAAAGGGAAAATTAGCAGTTAGTAGTTAGAATTTCAGTTTGCAATTTTCACGACAGCTCTTCAAGAATGGCAACAGACTTTAGATTGAGCAACGAGGAATTGTTTGCAGCATGCTGTGGTGAAGCACTTACCCTACCAAGGGCGAACGGGAACTTCGAAAGTGGCGATGAAGATTTGCCTAGGCCCGATGAGATCCACTTTTGGTTTAAAAACTGGTTTATGTTGTGTACATATAAAGGTAGTATTAAATCTTACTGCAATTCAGATTTTTGGACTGATAATTCGAAAATGTCAGATATTTAATAGAATTGCAAAAAATATGCCTAAAATAGATTAATACCTAAAATTATATCCACCTTGCTAGGTATCTACAAACAGTGGTCAATCAATGGATGATTTGCTGGTTTTGGGTATTTGGGCTGGAATAACTGGACAACTGTCAGCATGCATTTATCAAAAATTTAAAGACAAGAACTTTAGTCAAGAAGACAAGGGTTTCAAAATTCTGCAGAAGGACAATGAAAATGCAAAAATCAACTACCTACTACATATACAGTGGAATACAAGGGTTATATTCAGGAGTTATTCAAAGGGACCAAAATTTTAGTTCATAGCAAGAAAATTAACAGCAAGATTATTTTCATAGCAATTAACAGCAAGAAAAGAAATTTGTTATAAGTTCGAACTAGTGGGGCCATGTTATAAGTTAGAAATTTGTTAAAACTAGTGGGACCATGGCCAAATCTTGTCAACCCTAGGCCATGTCACTAGATAAGTCACACCAAGAGGGGAAGGTTTGATATTTTTAGGATTCTTAAGGTGTATTTTTCAAGATATTTCAATCACATCAAAATGTGTAGAATAGTTTGGGTTTGATCAAGTTTTTCTCTTACAATAAAGCTCCTGTACCACCTGCTTGGTTACAATTTCTATGAATAATCAGAAGAAAATGTGTTACCTTTAGGGTACAATGTTCTTTTAATTAATGTATTCTGTTACTGCCTGTTGTTTAGATACACTGTTTTTAAATTTTTAGAATGAAGGTTTTTTTGGTGCCCAATTGTTTTTCCTTCTTTCCTTCTCCTGTTTTTGCTTCAACTCAACATATTCATAGAGAACAGTTATGAGATAAAATATCTGACATATCTTTTGATAAGATAAGGTCTTTTGATAACCTTGGAAACATACATCATTTAATGGTTGTGCTTTAAGTCCTCCCCTTTTATGTCCATCCTGGTATGAATTTCCTCTGAGACTTTGGTTGAGATGTTTTAACACAAAAACTGTGAATCTTACGCCAAGGTACTTTCTCTTTTGAACAACTTTAGTTAATTGTTTCATATATTCAGCTCTTGTAAGACTTCATTGCGATTTTCAAGACAATTATGTTTTGCTTGACATTAGAGAGCATTGACATTAATGTTTTGCTTGACATTAAGAAATCTTCATAACTCCCACTCCTATTTCCCCAAAATCTGAACCAACACTACACCATAAACATTACAAGCTTTACTAGTTGGCAATCCATTGAAGCAAACAAATTCAGAGTGGAGTGAAATCCCCAAAAAATTGTTGGTCAGATGTAAAAAGACGGCAAAGATGTTTTCAAAGAGCCTCCAGATGACTGGTAAAACTGTTATAGGGCATAGATAGATTTTCTGCCTGCCTCCATCTTTGAAAACTAGAAATGTTTGTGGTCTTAGCAGGAAAACTACGAAAGGCCTTCATTTATTCAGAAGCCCCGGAAGAAAAACTAGCAAAATTTGATGTTTTCTATCGATCGAATTTTTCTTAACGATAATTTTGATGAATCATAAAGGAGAAAAACACTCTGGGTGGTGGTTGACTAAAGTAGACTTGCGAAGTCTATGAGGAAAGAACAGATTTGGGTCAATCATTTGGCTCTTGCATAATCTTGAAATTGTCTGTTAAAATTTTGAGAACGACAAATGCAAAATACTCTAAATAACAAACTCTCATAGCATGCGCACACCAGTTTCTCGGTCGTCTAGAGCTTTTACCAGTAACTCTTTGGTAAACAAGTTTCTTATTGCAAGATACGGTAGGCCTACGTCACAAAGTAGGCCGTGAACCGAGGAGAAGTTCCAGTATCACAAGAAAAAATTGTTGCAAGATTCCTATCATGCTCTAGTATTAAAAAAACTCTTTGCCTAGTAATATGGCTAAATTTAGTTGTTTCATACCTCTCAGTAGACAAGCGACAAAGTAAAAGCAACTTGCCCAAATACCACTTTCTTTAGCAGATGAGACCGTCCTTGACCACACGGCAACGTGACCCACGCGAGCGAGGCGCCAAAACTTTGTTCGCGCTCTTTTTGTTTTTTGCCAACTTGGCATTGGTCCAGGGACGCCAGTGCAAACTTTGGCTTGGGGGGCTCCTGAGTTGGAATATTTGCCTCCATCGCCTTTGATGCAACAACCTTATCAAATCAAATCAAATCAAACTTTTTCATTCAGCAACAATCGTAAAAGCTTTAAAGGTATACAATTGCTAAGATTATAATAGATATGCAAAAAGTCACATAAATAATGCTAGGATAGTTAAATAAAAATTGCCAAGGACACTGAGGTCGACCTTCTTTTTAGACTGCCCCCCCCCTAAAAGATAAGCATGGATGTTCAGGCTTTCACAGGGCCGGCGAAACGTATTTGAAAATGGAGGGGCCAAAATATCAAAGTCTTGAAAGGACTTAGGAATAGCCGCCACTATGGTTGGTGGAAAAATTTCCGAATTATGGTGTCTTAGGGATGGCCAGAAACTGTATCTAAAATGAATTTTGACTGAAGATGTCACATAGTCGCGTCTATTGTGATGTTGACTTGAAATAGAAAAGTTTTGCAAAGTTTTAGAATAACCACTATCTTATGGCTCGTAATGAAACCTTTTTTTAGACTTTAAAAGTACCCGAAATAAGATGGGGGAGAAATATAAATGAAACACGGATTAATAAAAAAAATTAACGTTGAAATATCAGCAGAAGAAAACATCTTAACTTTTTGGGAAATTAAGTGCTTTAACAAAATTTTGCAAAATCCTTCAAACTGGGCTTGTCAAAATGAGTTTAAATAGAATTTATATTGCGTCGATATTTTCTCTTTCTTAGTAGGAATGGATTATCCAAACGATCAAACTCTGAAATTTTCTTGATGATACTTTTTAAGAACAAATCTGCACGTACTTTATTTTTCATATTCTTAAAAAGTTCTTTTCAGCTGTTTCTTTTTCTTCAACAGATGATTTCTCTCTTTTTGTAATGTTTCTGAGAAAGTTTTCGTTGAAAAATAGACCTTGTCTGCCAAGTTTAGGCAATGGAAAAACGAAACTCCGTCAATTTGTGCTGGCACCAAGTTGTTCTGGACTAGGTTTCTCGATCTATTTGCTAAGCCAAGCTGTTACTCGTTATAAAACTTAGACAATGACCGATTTCTTCGATCTAGTTCTCATCTTCAATTTTATGTATGTCTTCTATGGCAATGACATAGCAAACAAGGTAAGGCTAAGGACACATTTAAGAGAATACCAGGCAAAGTTACTTACAGAATTATATACTACATTTATTTCCACTTTTGCCCAAAAATGCTACTTTAGCTCTGCAGAAAAGTGGGGGGAAATGGCCCCCCTCGAACAAGCCCCCACTGATACCGTAAATCCTCGAATTGGACCCCTCGATTCAGACTTTTGGTAATAATTATTTTAATGTTTATATAAAAATTTATACTGAAATATACGAGGTATTTTATTAATGTCTTCTTAATGTCTACTATAATTTTATAAGCCCACCTCGTATAAGCCCCCACCCCTCCCTGAATAACTCCCCATCCAAAAATATAAAGAATAAATAAGCCCCCAGGAGGCTAATTCGAGGATTTTCGGTAGGTTTCCTTTAAATGCAGGTCTATGTCTGTAAGTCTGTTATATAATTTTGTATTTAGTTTATGAGGGTATCACATATGCTCAAAAACCTAATTGATTTTCTCAATGAAAGTTTCAAATTGTTTATTTATCTAGTCTACACAGTTTGTGAACAAATTATTACAGAATTTTACGGAAATTGCATTCATTACGTTTTATCATCTATGTCTTATAACATTCATCATTATTAATAAGGACTACATAAGGACAGAACTTTTAAAGTTATGTTGGCAGTTGTTGCAGAAGAGAAGAAAATTCATTTGAATTTTAAAATATTTATCAAAGTCTTACACCTTATCCACATTTGCGAGTTAAACAAGCTTAAGAAAAGTCGGTTTCGATCCAACTTTAATTGTTCCATAACTTTCGATTCATAATTTAATTGGTCGATTCGATCTAACAAATCGGATGCATTTGACTGATTGCCTAGTATACCATTAGAGCGCATAAAATAGTTTCATCATTAGAGGCGTTAAGTTACATATGTTGTTGTATGTTTTTTCTTTGGCCTTTTCAGAAAAAAAACCAAAGAGTATTAAGGCTTTAAAACTTGATTTAAATTTCATTAAGTATAGGGGCCCCAAAACACCACTTTCACCAACGGCCCCACACTGCTCCGTTACGCCACTAAAACGAAACAACAGTTTATGGAGCAAAAACCAGAATAATATATAATGATAATAAAAATTCGGCGGTATAATAGTTCGGCAACAGTTTGGCGATTAGTGATACAAACAAATATCGGCGGCGACAAGAATGTCGGCGGGTACACTTTACTCAATTTAACGGCCAACGGAAACTGACAACAAGTGATGGCAACTAATGAGAAATGGCATGGCAACAGATACCGGATTCATTTCATATCGGATTTACTGTCCCAATCAGGGCCTAAAATAAGCGTGGATCTGACACACTTTGTGGAGTTGTAAATTAAAATTGTGGATCTGTAATTGTAGAAAGTGTGGATTTGTAAATAATGCATGTTCTTAAAAGTGCAACATAAAATACCAATCGAAACGCCTAAGAAAGCAATGGGAACATTTTTCCAATTCGAAGTGAAAACCCAATCCCAGGCTGGGGCGAAACTTCACTATTTTCATTAGGGAGGTATGAAGCTTGGATGCTCGACGAAAGGGCGTGGCATGCTTGATGAAAGGGCGTGTCATACATGAACTTCATTTTTAGAGCACATCGCCTCAAGGGCTGAAATCATCGGGAAGCCCGAGAGAGGGTCTTTGGACTCAGGCTGTTTGTTTAAAGTCAAGAAATATGCCTCTAGTTTTTCTGGTGTTGGCTATAAACATTTGTTTCCGAAAAGCAAGCATTTGTAAGGCCTGTCTTTTCTATAAGATAGTCTTCAGTTTCTAAATCACCTAGATACTAAAAGAGCAATTCAAAAAAGAGGAATGAAGTAGGGTCTCAATTTTATCAAAGTGGAACACCAAAACAAAACACGGAATTTAGCAACAGCTACGCAGATTACATTGTTTCAACAAAAAAGAGCTTCAGTTGCATTTTTTAAATTTAATTTTCAATTTTCGGTTGCTCCAGAAGCAATTTCAACATTATTAGACGCCCAAGCACAAAGAACGTATCTCTAAATTCACCATAACAAAATCCCTCAAGCAAAGGAAAGTTTTTTATTGGAGGTTTTTCGTAATCATGGATAATGTTCAGAAATAGAATAAACACGAAAATTTTTTGCAATTTATATCTTAACTACATACAATTTCTTGATAAATTTTATATTATTTCCCGCTTGAACTGATTAAAACTTTCTGTTACTTGTTACGGTTATTCGAATTTTTTTATTTAAAATTCTTTGGCGTCTGTATGACCATTTTCTAGCGAAGGGTGCAATACTTTCCAACTGTAAGTGTAAAACTTTAAGAGAATTTTGGGGCATAACTCCTTATGGATGTATTGTTGTGAAGGAGCAGCACGCGGTTAATCCTTCACTCGTTCCTAGACCTCAAAGTTGCATTAGTCAGTTGTTCACGCCACGTTGTAATGAAAAGGTGTTCACGTTTGATCATGTTTATTGTAAATAGTTTTATTATGTTCCTGTTGATGTTATGAAATGTTTAAAAACCCAAATGATGTCTTCTTCAAATGTCCTGACCTAAATTTTTAAAACATGTTTGATTTCATGAATGAAAGTTTCATACATTTGGAAAAGAAAATATTGATTGATTTTCTCAACAACGTATTCCGAGATGGTATATTCTTCATGCTTTGATTCATAATGCTTCTAAAACTGTCAGTGTTCCATGGGCTCCGATGCCGGATGGAAAGTGGGGGTGGGGGTGGTTCAAGAGAAAATTTAGCAATCATAACAAAAGATTCTGAAAAAAGCTCTCTTGTTTTGCAAAAAGTAGGGGGGAGGGGTATACACAGTATTCATTTCCTTCTCGCATCAAACACACTTTACTTTCCGTCTATACTTTCGCTGTCAATCAATACTTCAGACTTCATCTCGAGGCGAAGATAAACATATGCGTGTCGAGCTAGAGACGAAAGCGCTGATCGGTGGACGAAAGACAGAAATGTATATATGTTGCTGTTCCTAGCCTCGTATCGTTTTGTTTTCCCAACTGGGAGGAGATTGAAAAAAAAGGTGGGGCAAAGGACCACAAATTCAAAAACCAAGCTAGGGCAAAAAGTAGCAATAAAAGTCCGACCTAAAGAAAATCTCCAGATTTGCCCGACAGATACACTGGCAGCCATAAATTTGCCCGACAAAATCTGCTTTTTTGAAGATTGGGGGGGTGCAGCACCCCCCATACCCCCCAGTAGTTTCGCCCCTGATCCCTGCCTTATGTATTGCACTCCTTTTTTATAAGAAAATTGCCATAAAAAATAAGCAATGGACAATTAAAAAGAATTAAGAAACTTCAAAACTCAAAGCTTCAGTACATGCGGAGAAAAATCAATTGCGCTTTATGATATTGTTGTGTGCTATTTTGAAGTGAGATAGACTCTGTATACAGCTTTGATTTCAAGACATCATCTCAATTTAGTTTAATTGTATGATTTTCTTCAAAAAAGACACTAAGCCTAAAGACCAAGACCGAGATTATGATCTCCTGCCCGTAATGTATGTTGGGGTTTATGTGATATCTTTCAGTAGATTTCAGAAAAAGCTATAAAGCAATTCAACTAAGGTGTTTTAAATTGGAGAAGCATTGGAAAAATTCCTCTCAAGGCTACAGCAGCTGAACGATGATAAGCCTCTCGGTGGTAGCTGGGAGAAACATTCAATTGGGAATGTTGTATGACAGGGACTATAGTCCTCCCCAACTTTTTTGCAATAATGGGTGAGAAAATGCTTTGAAAATTTACGCTAACGAACGCATTAGTAGCAGTTCTGCTGGGAACACGTTTTTGTTCTTTTTGAAGGTGCTTTATCTTTTGTGGCCAAAGGTAAATTTGTATTTTATCTAACTCGGTTTTGTATTTTTATGTTAATTGAAATCTTCTCTAAATCGTAATGTTTATGAATAAGGACAGATAGAAGCGAATATTTTCTGAAAGGAGTGTTTTTCGGGGTTTCGAAGGGCGTGGCCATAAAAAAAATTAGGGGCAAGTCCCGTTCCAGCCACTGCATTATGGGCTGGTGCCAGTGTGACCTGATTTAGCGTAATATTAGCATAATATTGGCTAAAAATCGTCATTAAGCATAAAATCTAGCATAATTTGGAATCTAGCATAACTCCGGCATAATTCTGATATTATTTAAAAGAATCATTGTTTCCATTGGAAACACTTTACACCAGCATCTGTGGATTCATTTAGGGGTAAATTGTGACTTTCCACCTTCAGGATTTTGTCAGTTGTTTTGAATGGTTGGCAGCCACATATTATCTGTGCAAAAATTTTTGTTTCCTTTGAACTTTCGTTGTTTTTTGAAACATGCGGCCAGAATTCAGCCAAATTTTTCTTCTTCGGCCAAATCAATTTGTGGCGGCCAAGGGGTTAGGACAAACTGCCAAAGTGGAGAAATTTGGCCATCAATCCATGAAACTAAATTGCCTTTTTGTTTATGAAGAATGAATACACTGGGTTATCGAAAAGGCCAAATTGCAACTCTGGCCACTTTTGATATTCTGAGCATGCATTAGCCTCTTTCTCGAGCAGGGTTGCCTTGATTTCCGGGTGAAAGAGTTTTCAGATAACGTCTTTGATACTTTTGCTGATTTCAGGCCAAACAAGACTTTTCAACGAGGATTTTATACATGCTTAGAAGAAATACTGGACTCATTCAAAGTTTGCTGTCTGCCATTATTGTCGTATAACCTGACAGTATGACCGTTGAAAGAAGTGTTTCATTATATATTCATAATTAAGAGAATCAACATTAAGAAATAAACTGTTCATTGCATGGAATGGCCTCCCAACATCAAAGTTTGACACATGGCCAGCCATACCAAGATTTTTTAATAAAAAAGATTGTCGTAAATCAAAGCCAACTATGGAAACTCACAAAAATAGAGAATTTATTCCTCAGTTTTTTTAATGGATTTACTGGGACTTTCATCAGACATACATTTTCACTTTTGGATAATATCTTGACTTCAAGTGTCAACACAAAGCTGTTTCATTTCATTTAAAATACGAAATGAATTTCTTTGAAGTATGGAATCATCAAAGCTTTCTAGAAAATACCCCTTATCTCCCGTTTTTGCTTGTTTATCCCGTCCCTTTTCAAAAATTGCCCCCCTACTTAAAATTTCTTTAAAAAGGCACTAATTCTAATTTTAGTCATTGAAAATGTACCCTTTTTGAGCAGCTGCCCCCGTCACTTCAAAATGCTTCCGGTGCCCCTGAAAAGGGCACAGAGATGTTATCGAGGCCCCTCGGGGAAAGAGGGAAAATCGGATCAAAAAATTCGGCAATTACGCCCCTTAGATTAGCTTAAAATTCCTTTTCAGAACGATTCCTTGGAGTAATTTCGACACGTTCAACGGTTGTCAATTATCCGACGAAAGCCTGAATTTTCCGATGGCATCGCTGATAAGGGGGCCTGAGCCCCCCCCCAAAAACCCCATAATTTCCGTGACGGAGTTGGTCAAGTTGAAGGTTTCCGCCACTTGTCTGCCTCTCCTACGCAAGGACTTAAGGTGGTAGCGTTTTTCTTGCCATTGAGTAATGTAGGGAAACCGGGAAACCGCACTCTTTCGGGGAGTTGTTTTCTAAAGATTCTACTGAAAGTAAGTAAAACCTTTTTTGGTACATACATTGATAAATTTTCATCATAATGATATATCGATGGAAACAATATTTCAGTTTTATCTTCTTATCATATCAATCCATCCTTCATACAATTTTAAACAATATGCAACACACATGGATATCTATGAACATATACAACATGGATATGTATCTAATGCTGCTATAGACACATTCTTTACAAAGGACTGTTTATGAGATTGGGAGTCCTATGATGACCAAGAATTGAGAAACCATATAGTAATAATGGTTTTCATGCATAAGTACAGCAAATCGAAAAATAACTTAGGCCAGATTGATCAGAGTCTTTTTCAAGATCATTTTCAAAATCTTTTGTTATGGGTGTTAAATTTTCACTTGGCCCCCCCCCCCCCCCCAACCTTTGTCGGAGCCCATGAATGAAATGACAATGGACATCGTTTTCAACAACCTTGTCCGCATTTAGGCATCTATCTCCTGTTCAATTGATAATAAAGATAGAGGAGCTCCATGCAAATTATAAGGCTTTATTTTTCATAGTGAGTTGTGTTAAATCTTTGTTTTTCTGAAAAGTAGCTCTCTAGCAATTGGCTACCAAGTTGGTATTTAAGAGATCTTTAAGAAATTTTCGATACTGAAATCAGCAAAGAACCAAGAAACACAGTATTAAATTTGAGCTTAGTTATATTTGAAGCCTGTATAATAACACAGATTGGTCAACTATACCAGTCTTGTGCTTGCGTTTTTCTGATTCGCCTATTTCGATCCACAACTGGGTATATTTTTCATTGTGTTCTTATGGTATGTTTTCTTTTGGACCCTTATTCTGACGTTTTATGCTCTGAGGAGTGTCAGATGAAAAAGCTGTATAATACCCTACCCATAGGTATTTCATGCAATGGTCAGTGTAGAAAAGAAAATCAAACTTGTTTCAGTGATAAACAAGAGTTGAAAACAGTTGTTTTTGTAATGTAATCCTAAAATTATCAAGGACCACAGAGGATACTACAGATTGAGAGAGCTAAAACCTTTTGAGGGGCAAAACAGGCTAAAAACCAAGAGCAGGCAATTTTCTATGGCCAATAGGTGCCTAAGTTGCTCAACTTTGGGGCTTGTAAAACAGGTGCAGATAAACTTTGTGTGTTTGAGAATCAGTTTTTTGCAAACTATGTGATAATTAATCCTTAAAACCCTTCGCAATGGACAACAAAAAAGGGAACTAAGTTGGAAACAAAACTGGGCCTCGGCATCACGTTTTTTAGAATGTCAGAACATACTTTGTGTTGAAGTTTTATTAACAATCGGCAGTGGCATGAAGAAACTCTCAGGCAATATGACTGTATTTCAGTATGATGTTTTTTAAAAAGTGTTTAAGATTTTTGGCTTCAGTTAGTCATAATTTCTATTTAGTTCAAAACTCCTGGTTTTAACGTTTCATATACAAAAAGCAAGATGCCTAAGAGTTATAAGTTGATTTGAAAAATAGAATAGCTTGTCAAAGAACGCTTAGAAAGTATTGTCCTCTATCATATCTTTAAGTAGTTTCCATTATTAAAAGATAGTTGTTGGCCCAAAGAAACAGGACTATTATTCAAGCTAGACAACACAGGAAATATGCATATATTATGCAATCAAAATGTATGCAAATTTGCAAAGATCCCCTCCCTGCTAAATTATCATTTAAACAATTTTTTACAATTGGCCATAATGACAGTAGCCGTTTGTATAACTCCCCTTCCCCCAACTTTGTTTATGTAATATTTAAATGTTTGCATACCCAATAGCCACATATCTATAATTTTATCCAGTTACAAACATTCTGACTCAAAAGAGCACAGGGTAGTGCTCAGTATAACTTTTCTAAAGTGCAAGCCCTCTCAGTTATTGGATATCAGGCACTAGAAATAATTTGCATTAGTCATAAGTCAAAGAACAAACATGGTTTGTCATAAATCTTGGGTTTCACACAAAATTATTAGTCATTAATCAGTTGGCAAAACAGTCTACTTGTTAGCTAGTAAAGACCCCTACTACACCCTCAACAGATAGTGAATCAATTAAAGTATTGCGCACTTGCTTGAATAAATTACAAGCTAACCAGGTTTGTAGCTGGAGTAGGCCTTCTGGCTGCTACATAGTAACTGCTGTCAATAAAACATTTTGCATAAGAAAAATGGAAAGCTTTTAGTAAGTTGCAAAATGTTTGCTTTTTCAATGCCATTTTTAAAAAAATATGTTCTTTTCAAGTTTTTCAATTTCAAGAATTTTTTTATCAAACTTTAGTCTTCGATGAATTTTAGGATTTGGAAAACTTTGCAATTAATTTTAATGTTGCTCAACATAAAGGTGAAGCTAAAATTTTTATGCAAACATGTTTTTGATAAAAGGTCAATTTTAGTTCAGTGCGAAGATTATTTGCCTTTTGAAAGTTTTCAAGTTTTTTGAAAAAAAATTTGAGGCAAAGGGCGCACCAGGGAATTCCCCGGTGTCCTGGTGGGCCAGTCCGCTTCTGTTCAAGCTGAATTTTAGAAATTTTGGAGGGTTGAAGCCTGGTTTTCACAGGTTTTAACAGGTTTTCAGAAAACAATATTACAGGAAAAAATGGCTAAAATACCTAGCAATTTCATTACACCTGACGTCAGTGCTAATTATCACCTGCAACACATATATGGAAATTCATCTTTTCAGTTTATATTAATGATATCTATAATACAATGGTAACTTCATGCAATGGGTCAATACTTGAGGACAACAAAAAGAAACTCAAAGACATGACATAGCCTTCACTGAGCTCCAGCCTCAACACAAAGCAGACACCTTTTGATGCCATTGGCAAGAGAAAAAAATGAAAGGCTGAAAAAAGTTGTACAAAAAATTCCTCCAACAAACCCAGGTAGATTCTAGATACCAGTTATAGACAGCATACTCCAAACCGTCACTTCAAATGGCAACTGATTTCCTCGATTTTGAATTTCTCTGATACTTTGGGATAAAAAAATGAATTAGGAAGCTGGGAACTTTGTCGGAAACTTGTGGGGGGGGATCAATTCAGTATGTAAACAGAAGAACTGTAGTCAGGCAGGGAGAAATGCAGCAGTTGTTGCAATTGAAATTTTAGATCAAAAATTCAAGATTTACAGAGAAACATAGCTTTTAAAAATTTGACCGGTTTTTCGAAACCTTTGCAACCGGTCTAGATCCGCACTTGATTCAAGCTGATAGTTTGATATGATCAACATGAATAGAACTTAGCAACATACACTACCAGGACAAAAGTATTGCAACACCTGTGAAGGAGATTAATGGGGGATTACATTAAAAGTTTTGTTGTTGTCTGATTAAGCTATTGTTTAATCAGCCAATGGCGCACAAATAAAACTGCAAATTCAATGAAGTGTTTATTCGAATATTCCATTTTCATTTTTAAAAATTTAAAATCAGCTATTCAAGTATTAATTAAACAAACATTTTGTGGAGGTGCTTCTGGCTCTCTGATAAGTGTGGGAAATTGCTTTGAAATTGATACACAAAATTTGTTAGTGAAATGCAGTGGGATACTCATTTATTCTCAAAAACATCTCTAAGTTAGTTCTTGTTTGAACCTTAGAGAACCTTGTGGATTTCAAATCAAGTCATTTTCATTGGCAACAAGAAATTCTTGCTTATTTTAAATTTAGGTCATTGTGATGGCCAAGGAAGGACTTAGAGTTTGCAGATTTTCAGGTAAATTTGAGTAAAAATGGCCTTGTAAGAGGGATGTATTCAGAGGTGGCGCTAGAAATCTTCCGACAGAGGGGCTGGAGCTTCCGATAGAGGGGGCTATAATGACGAAAATAAGCAGTTTTCGTACGTTATTTTGTCAAATTTGCTCCGACAATAACCTAAAATTTCCTCCGATGGGGGGGGGGGGGGGGGTAGATGCTACCGACAGAGGGGCTGTAGCCCCCCCTAGCCCTCCCCTGGCGCCACCACTGGATGTATTGCTGCAAAACTTCAATTTTTTGGATGCCATTTTCATTTGGGTGTTACAATAGTTTTGTCCTGGCAGTGTATATGAATGGAAATAGGATTCTAAAATATAAAACTAAATTATTTAATTGTTGTATGTCCATAATGTGTTGTACTTTTCAAGAAAATAAATTTTTCACATAGAGTGGCTGTTCCTGGTCTCTAGGCATAAGAACTGAGATTGAAATTCTAGATATATTGTGGCGAGAGTTTATTAACCGATTTAAAGGTATATGTTAGTTGAAGGTATGATCCCAGATAATAATGTCATTATTGAGAAAAGATAAAAAAAATATAGAGAGAGAGAGACAAGTGCTGACATGTATAATAATTCTTACTTTGAAGGAAAGTCTAAGTACCATAAATCCCCTAATAGGCCCCCATGCTCGAATTAGCCCCCACGCTCGAATTAGCCCCCGCACTCGAATAAGCCCCACGCTCGAATAAGCCCCCCTCTCTCAAATAAGCCTCTACCTAAAAAATCATTATTGCAAATAAGCCCCCCCCTTGAATAAACCCCCATGGGTGCTTATTCAAATAAGCCCCTACATAAAAATCCATTTTTGCAAATAAGCCCCCAGGGGCTTATTTGAGGATTTACGGTATTCTAAAAAGTTTTTGCAAGTTCATTTTAGTGGTATTTCGAAAGATTTAATGCAAGTTTGTTGCAATTCAATCCAATAACTCAAAACTTTCTGTGGATAGTTGGTAGAGCCAAGTCATTGTTCCATTTAGCATTTCTAGAATTCACCAACATAAAAATTAAAAAACTGCTGTTCTTCGACTTCATTTGTAACCTAGTGTATTTTCAATAGAGACTGATTAGGCAACCGTAACAGTTGTGTGCTTGCATTTCTTACTGCCCTTTTTTGATTCATCTGGTTTACATATTTCCTAGCTAGCTTAGAGCAATAATTGTAATGCATATTTTTCTGGAGCCGTCTCAGATAAGAAATCAACAGGAGAAGAAAATAATCAAAAGCCCATAACCAAATTTTAAGAAAAGAAGGAATTTCAGTAAAGATCTAAGGGTTGGGTTAGACCTAATGTCATTGTCATCTTGTTCTTTGGGGGTTTTCACTCAACACCCCATGTTATGTTGCCATGTTCCAAAACATCCTTTCCAAAAGTGCCAGAAAAATTTATGGTTGTATAAACTAGCCTTTTTAATCAAGACAATTCTCCATGTCGCACAACTTCTCAAAGTCCAGATGCAAAAGTAATTGAAAATGCTATGGTTTCTTTGGTTTTTTATGAAAGATTAAGCGAATCGCGATCCTTGGAAAGCCAAGCAATAATGAGTTGATAAAACCTTTGAGCTTTGTCAAGTATTCTTATCACTTATTTTGAAAATGTACACAGATAATTTCTTCACAGGCCCTGTGCTGTTCTTTTGACTCTTGAGTACCTCACCAAATATTTAAGTTATTCCATGAATAAAATGAATTAAATTTAATTTTAAAAGTGATGTAATTTACACTTTGGTTTATGATTAGCTGAAATTTTGAAGTGATTCCTATTGTCATTGTATAAATATAAGCAATAAACATTTCTTTTTGTTTTCATTAACTTGAATCAGCACTGCACAACATTTGCTTTTGTTTGATTTCTTTTGGGAGGTGAGTGCATATATAATAGCTTAAAAGTTTGGCTGGGAAGCAATCTATCAAAATCCAAACTGCTTTAAATCTTGCTCTTCTAATAATTATATGCTTTTCATGTCCTAAAGCTGATTCCTACAATCTTTAACATATGATTGAATTTTTTTTTAAATTTTTTGATACTAACCTCTAGTCAAGTGCTGATGATCACATAGCATATTAGATGGCTAGTCCTCTTGAAGCCTGAATCACATTGCCAGAAGGTGCAACATATAATGTTCTATATTAAGAATAATCATTGTTTATAATCTAATCAGTCAAATAATGACTAAAACTATAATTCCTTTCAGACTGTAAACTTCTTTGTTTTGTGAAATTTACACATCCAACTTGTGAAATACTACTGAGTAACTACTAAACACTCATCCCTGTTATTTCTTTTTGTGCTGCAGCTTTTCTCTGGCCCCTTTCTCTTGTATAAAACCCTATTTAGTGTAGGAGACTGAAATACTTTGTTAGATTTCCATTTAAAGGGATCTCTCTTCTTTATTTTTCATGACAAGGCTTGACTGCTAACATTGTTTACATAATTTCAGGATGGAAGAAGTAGTGAGCAATGCAGCACTTCAAGGAGATGGACAACCAGAAAATGTTGTAGTTAACTTGAGAAGAATTTTTGTTGATGAGTCACGTGATTTGAATTGTCCAAAAGATTGTGAAATGTCAACAGAACAGGCTACTGTTGACCTAAGTGATAAAACTAAAACAGAAAATGGTGTGAATCTTCCTAAAACCCAACATGGAGGTCTTGTTAAATGCGATAATACAGAAACCGTGAGTGCAGAAAGGAATCAAATGTTGAGAGATGAACCAATCAGTGAATCAGAGTTTCAACTGCTGTTTGTGAATCTAGATAATCTTGAAAACAAGAATCCGTATGTGAACCAGCATAATTTGGAAACGACTTTTGGTCCTGGTAATGGATTCCCTAAGACTCAAATAAATAGTGATGTGCCAGAGAGCAATAATCCTTCACTAAAAAGAGGTCGTGGAAGACCGAAAGGATCCACCAATAAAAGCACTGCAAAGAAGTTGAAAAAGAAAGAATCAAAGACAAAGCAGAAGCGATTTGTTTATCAACAAACCGAAATATTGCCGGACAGGTTGAAGAAGAAAGTGAAAGTCGAGTCGGATGTTGTCATTAACTTGACAAAGAGGATAATTGCACCCGTAATGGAGAAAACCTTCGAACTAAAGGAGAATGTTGACAAAAGCACCTGGAAGCTCCTAGATAAAAAGTCGATTGTCTGTGCTCTTTGTAATAAGCCAGGAAACTTTGCTGTTCTTGGCCCTCTCTTTGGTCCTTATAGACTGAGTGTGAATAGTGACCCGGGAAGACAAAAACAGCCACACAAAGATGAAAAGACCCTTTTTATTCGATTGCACAGAGACTGCAGTATATGGACCCCTGGAATCTGCATCATAGAATCAGAGCTGCGTGGCATAGCGGGTGCCATTTCGGAAGCTGCTAGAAAGGTCAGCCATTAAATTTGGAATGTTTTGCATAAAATTGCTATCTACCTGGATGATTAAGTTCAGTGAAAAGTGAATTTTGAATGTGCCTGTGAATTTTGATAACGACTCGATCCAAACCTATAACGTATTATATGTCACGTTTATCGTTCAGTTCTTTTTTATCAGTAACTTAGATATCTACATCAACTAATTGTTTTTTAGTATTTAAGTTTTGTTTCTAACAATGCTTATGTTTTTGTCTTTAAGTGCTTTTGAATAACCTTGATTCAATGTTTAATGGTAAATTCAAATGTTTGTTAATCATATCTTCAGTTTCCTGCTACGTGCTTGATTTACTTCTAACTAGACATTCTGCTAGTCTTATAATTCATTTCTAGATTAAATTAATTAGTAGCTTCTGTACTATTTAACTGTGAATGAACTTCATTTGGCTTTCAACAAAATTTCCCATGTAGACATTGTTCTGAGTCAAAAAAAATTGTTAGATATTATCTTTAGCTGAAGATTACTTCTCTTTATAATATCAGTAGTCTGCTTGCATTTTAAATTTAATTGCAACTACCAGGTGCATTTTAGTAATTTGACTGCTTTAGGAATGGCTTCATACGGAGTTTTATTCGTCTTTAGTAAATGTTTAATAAACATTCTTTTTCAGAAATGCAACATCTGTTCTGAAATTGGTGCATCTCTTGTCTGTCTCAATGGTGCTTGCACGAGATCATTTCATTACGTCTGTGCCAAGCAAACTGGTAAGCCGTCATTTTCAAATTTTGTATCGGAAAGATTAAGATAAAATCATCAGTCCGCTTATCAATTGGTCAATAGAAAAATAAATATAGACAGATGCAGTAGTATAGGATACTGAACTAAGAATTGTTGTTTATAAGATTCTTATTTAAAAAAATGACAAGAAACTTTCATTACCTTTGACATTGAATCTTCTAAGTACAAGATGTAGAATAATGATGTATAATGAGCATCTTCAGTAACAAACCGGTATCATTTCAGGATGCGCCTTCAATTCAGAAGATTTAACAATACGCTGTCCTAGCCATAAGTGATGCAACAACTTCACCTGGATAGCCTGAAATGTGCGTTTCAAGTACTGACTGCGAGAGGTTCCGTAGATGTATTATTGTCTCAAAGTTAACTGTGTACACCAAATTGAACTTTAAGCAATTTAGACAGAAGGTGTCTTTTCATAACGTCTTTCTCATAACTTGGAAGCTTTCAGTTTGCTGGTTAAGCGTGCCCATCATGTATATGCAAATTTATTGATCTAGCTATGTGTCACAAAAATGAAAGCTTTGTGTCCATTTTTGTAGTGGCACTGCAACTATGATGTTTCTGGATGAAGGTTTAACATGTGCTTAGTTTTAAAATACGAAGGAAAGATGAGAAAGATGGTTCTTGAATAGTATGCAACAATTGATCACCAGTCACTGGTCCAAATTAAATGTAGCGAACTTCTTTATTCTTGAAGCACGCTGGTCTTCCCATGTACCAGCACCATTTAACCCTAATGCATGATGCCTTTCAGGATGCCACTACCTTAAAATTGGGTATTAAAGCTTGAAAGTAGGATTTTGTTTGTCTTCCATCTTTTTCAAGGCTTTAAATTGGTCGTGTCTGCTTCTGCCGTGCCGTGTCTAATGAAAGCACTGACTGTCATTAAGCGAGGACACCACTTGAAATAGTACAGAATATGCATGTTTATTCAGAAGTGTCTATGCCTTAATCAAATCAAAGGGATTTTTTAGACAAGTGATGTCAGAATTGACTGGATACCTTTCAATGAGCATTGCTATGGAGATGTTGTCTCTGTACGAAGAAGAGTGAATATTGACGAAATTTATTCAACAGTTTTCCAAAATGCCGTTTGTTTGAGTTCAAGCGCCAGTGAGTCGAGTATTTTCCAGCAGTAAAGTGAACTATGATTACACATCTCTACTGAAAGTATGGTTAGTAAGAAGCGCATAGCTTCGTTTCAAGTAAGGCTGTCATTTACAACAGTATGTAAGCGAATGTGAATGTTCAAGCATGGTGTGGGCTCTATGAATGCAATCATTTTTGACAGCAATTAACCTACTGAATCAATTCAATAATAGGGTGGGAATGATTGCCGTTAAATGCTATAAATGCAAGCGTTTCTTTCTAATTTATAATTTGATCGATTAAATGCAAGCACCTGTTCTCATTTTCAAGTTGCTCCATCCAGGTCTTGGCTTGGAGACGGGGGGCTTCATTGGAATCTTTTCCTATATCCTGGATATACCTGTTTATAAGCTGCTTCTTGCTGGTTTTAATAACCATGAACAATTTTTATTTCTAGCCTTTATAGACTTCTGTACAGCCGCCTCGAGAAGCCATTGGGGGTGTCTATTTGCTCACAGAGCATTTTCTCATTAGTAGCAAAAGATGCATTGGTTCTTGCTTCATCTGGTCAGGTTTAGTGAAGAAATGTGTGGTCATTATAAGCCTTTTTTCTGACAGTTTTTTTTTAAATGATTGCACTTCATAGGTCTGCTTTACCCCCGTGACACCTGCTTCGCGTTCTATGAATAATTTTATGGCTCAGACAATTCAAATCTTTAACCATACCCTAAAGCTTTTAGAATTATGGCTGAGATGTCATGAAAATTTGGAAACATTAACCTTACGCTCAAGCTTAGTGCTAATTTAGCCTACTAAGCGAGCAGGTATCAAGCGAAAGTCAGCCTGTCCGATCATATCATTTTGTCAACATTTTGCTTTTTATATCCATGGAAACGTGCATTCGCAATATGGTCATACGATGAGTTACGACGATGGAAGAATGCTGCATTCCTCGTAATTCTGTGCTATTTAGTGAGAGTATTGGCAAATGGCATCCAAAAGGACTATCGTCATCAAGTTATGCCTTTTCCTTCACATCTTGGAAGTTCTCTTGGGAATTGTCTTGACAGTATTTTCATTTTTGTTGGAAAATGCTGCTGACGTGAGTTTGGCTGAAACAGCCAGCTGGCTCGGTATACCAGTGAGTTTCTTAAATGCTTAAATGAGTTCGATTACTTATTCTCAGTTGAAATGGAGTTTTCGTTTATACTGGCCGGAAATGCAAAACTTAAACTGTTTTGTTTTCATTATCCTTAATCAGTGATTAGCAAATGAGCATCTGTTGTGCATCTTCTATTGTACTAGCTAATAGTTTCAAATTTCTTAATATATGGAGTTTCTAAATGCCAGTTTATGTTCTTAAATTTACTGTTATTAGCTTGTATAGTCCCATTCCTTTGCCGTACGTGGAGGAATTTGATGCCGACTGCACCTTTTAAAGACATCTACAATTTTTTTTGATCACATCTAAAGTCATGAAAATATTTGAAAAATACGGTCATCATCGCAGGATGCAAAGAAAATTCAAGTATCAAGTTCTAAAAATATATGTTTTCAATTCGAATTTGAGTTATGCAGAAATATTACTGCGCATAAAAAATGACAATGTGAAAGAACATGAAAGATGTGGAAGATGTGAAAGGAGTGTCAATTGAATCTAAATGATTCATCATTCGACAGTCATGATCATGATTTATCTACTAGGATAAGTTGCTAAATCCAGGAACGAAAGGAATAAGTGGGCGCCTATAGTGTCAAGTCTTGTTTCTATCCATCAAAAGGGCACCTGATGGTGCTTTATTGCATATTATTCAAGTAGTGGATTGGGACCCAAGTGCATCTGAAGTAGCCATTGCATAAACTCTACTATAATTCGCCGTTGATTTCATCACCAGATTTGATTAATCTTTGCTATTGATCAGCAGCAGCCTTTTATCAAACGCTGTATTTGATTACTAACTGATTTTGTTTTACCGCTACTGCCTAGCAATAGAATTAATTTTCATGCCGCTGTTGCAAACAGAAATGTGCAAATCTTCTTTATTGTTTAGAAATGCAGTCATTTTAAAAGCGATGTCTGCAAGTTTTACTGATGTTGTTTTCTTCAAAATTTGTACATTCCTATTACCAAAACCTATGTGGATATTCGAGCCAATAATGTCAATCATGTAATTTGATTTTCTTGAACCTAAAAACATATGTCAACACCTCCCACCAAAGCACATTTAAACGTTCCTTTTTCATTTTATGATATTAAGTTTTGATGAACACAAATTCGAATTCCTCCTTCTTTGGTATGAACATATATCTTCTGAGACTATTACAAGAAAAGTGGTAATAACACCAACACAGATGGGTTCACTCTCAACCCAACTAGAATAGGATCATAATTTGAAGAATACAGAGCAGGAAATTTTCAGGAAAAAAGCTGCTAATCAAATAGGTACCATCGACAGAATATGTCGAATAATTATTGATAAGACATAAAGTTAGCACGATATTGTCACCTTTACTGGATGTTATTTCAAAACACAACAGCGTGAATGAATTTCAAAGGTGTCTTATGCTCAGGGTGCAATGGCTACTGATTGAGATTCTTATAATTGACAGAATATGTAATATCTATTGGTAAAACATGAAGAGAGCAAGATGATATTGTAGCACTTTCTTGAGATGATTTAGAAGGAAATATAGCGACGTGGATAAATTCTTTAAGTGGCTTTTTCTCAGGTGCAATGGCTACTGATTGAGACCTAAAAATTCACAATTACGTTGCATTTTCATTTAAAAGACACGAAGAGAGCAAGATATTGTAACATCTTCTTGAGATGATTTAGGAAGAAGCATAGCGTCGTGAATGGATTCTTTAAGTGGCTTTTGCTCAGGATGCAATGGCTACTGACTGAAATCTTACAATACGAACATTGCATATTTAATTGTAACTATTGTAACTTTTACTTGAGACGATTTCAGGAGATGAATCTTAAAATTTCTAGTAGTTTGAACACCTGTAATTGATTAATTAATTTTGCTTCAACAGCTGTGATTCAGATTTGAGTTGCGTCATAATTTCGGTTTTGCGAATGCGATTTATGTTTAGTAAAATTTATGACTTGTGCAAAATTGTAGTGGCTGGAGTATTAATGGTTTTAGAAATGCAACCACTGTGAGTTAAGTGTCGTGCATAAGGATAATTCGATGAGTAACTGAACATTGCCGCTCACAGTAAAATGCTAAGATTCTTTGCGTAAAGTAATTTCAGCTTAAAATTGAACGAAAACTGCACCTGTTACAGATGTATTCATTGCACCGCAAGGTCAAAAATTAACCATGATTTTGACATCTCTTAATGGACTTTGATAAAATTTTTACGTGGAATGCATTTTGAAGTCTATTTGAGGCTCTATAAAATCGATCTCGTACTTGACTTGGTGATCATCGCGAAAAGAGAGTACACAATAAACCGGTTGTCGTAAACTCACGGTTTTCCAATAGTTTGGTGCTAGGAATGTTTCTACATCATACTGTTGCTAAATCAATACTTCTTACGTGAAATATATACTTTGCCAAACCCGTTTTTAACATAATGTTTCTATCCAAGCTATTTCAACTCTTAAGGGATGTGTCATAAAGCATCTACTACAGGGTGATGGAGGATATAGGTCGGGGCCACCAAAACTTTTCACAATAGGCCACAAAAAATGTTTGCAAAATTTTGATTGGTCACAAAAACGTTTTGAGCAACTCGAACAAAAATGTTTAGAATTATATGATGCTGTCATTGACTGCAAAAGAAATGTTCAAATTGTTGTAAACAGTCAGAATCTGAAGTTGAACTTTAACAACTACTTGAACTTTCCTGGATTGCCTTTCTCTGAAGACATGAAAATAATGTTCTCTGTTTACTTTTGTCCTTCTCCTCTTTTGCCTTCTTCCTCTCCATATGCAAAACTGATCCACTTGCTTTCAGAACTCCTTGGTTGTCCAATAGCCTTTTCACAAACCCTTCTGCTCTCTTGTGGAAATGGTTACTTTCCAACGAATGCTTAACTGCATTAAGGTGAAACCATTTCTGAGAGTCTTCTTTTTCCTTGTTTCACTCTTCTTCTTGTTTTCTGCTTGCCTAGTCTTTCTGCGCTTTGTTTCTGAGCTCTTTGCAATCGATTCAGGGAAGTTCCTTTTCAAGGTAAGGGCATTGTGATTCGTGCAACAGTCAGTAACGATGATGACAGTGAATAGGGAGATGATGACAGTGATGGTAAAAGCATCTTCATAAAAACAAAAGTGGTCGTGTCTACAACAGAGTACCACAAAAAGTTCGTTTCATTAAGATACATATTTAGTTACAATAGACCAGCGTAAATTAGTGTAAATATTGGTTTTCAAAATATTTATGGCAACAATTTTAATGTCATGATGAAAACATGCAAACAAAATGATAACTAAATCTACCACGCTGAAAAATAAAACACGAAGTTTTGACATTGGCTACGAAAAACATTTGCCTTTTCACAATAGGCCATGGATTTTTCTCTCCCTTTTTATAGGGGCTGTGAAAATTTTTGGATAAAGCCACATACCCTCAGCCCTCCTGTCATAGATACTTTATGACACGTCCCAAATGTAACTGAAAAACTAACCCAAGTTATCCAGTTCAAACACTAGATGTTTTCTTCCCTTCTGATTTAGAGCCTGCAGAATTTTCTCTTTTAAATATTAAATGTATATTTATTGTATATAATTTGTAACGCAATTACTTTATTCTACAGTGTGCACTATTTGGCCTCGTTGGAATAGTCATCATTGTTTTAAACAAATTAAAGGAAGAGGTGGGATTATTGTTTTTTCATTTCACAATTGCGGTTGCTTGTAAATAACCCGCAGACAGGGCATTTTTTAACATATTCAGTGTCGGGGGAATTGCCCCACCAGGCCCGACGATTCCCCTACCACTGACGAGCAAAATGCTACTTTTACCCTCAAATGTCAAAGCAACTGTGAGGCCTTTTAAAAAGAGCTAACATGAAAATATGTTCTGGCAAAAAGAAACATAATATTCTCTTTTTTATCATCATAAAACAACCAATCTAGCCCTTCAAACAAGCCAGGATGTGTAGCGTAAGCGAGGTATTTATACCCCACAAACTTTCTGGTGGTAAGCTTGAGTTTTTTTGAAAAATGCCCCACCACTAAAAAATTCTTAAAAAATGTCCTGCCATCAGACATCGATTGATGCTCAAGTGTCGAAGTGTCTTTTGCTTTGGCATGAAGCATTTGTTATCTTGTTTGAAGTTTTTTAATGTTATATCTAAATCTTTAATTTTATTAGATAAATTAAATAAAATTAGATAGCAATGTTGTTGTTTTTATTTTGAGCGGTGTTATGTATGTTAAACAATTTCACCCTTTACTTTGCAGCTCGTTTTTGTATTAGTCTTTCATGGACTTGTCATTACCCTTTCCATCATATGTTTGATTCTTGTTGCTCCGAAAGTCGTCAGATGGGAACCAGTTTCAAGCTATCAAACATCGGGCAAATGTCATCAGTTAAAAGGAAGCTGCAATTGTACTGTGCCCTTACCAACTACAGGTTAGTTGAATTGCGTTGCTTCATATTTGAATGCAATTTCAAAATTTACGGAGCAGCCCAAAAAAAATGTTTCATTTTTTTTATTCAAACTTTATCATATTGATGGAGTTGAATTTTTTGCAGTGTATAAGTGCGTTGATTTAGCCGGCATTTACGATTTGGCCCTGATCATTGCTGTCATTGTTGGACTGTGCTTAGCGATTGGTGTCTTGGCCGCATACTTTGACTTTCTTATCATCAGCAAATACGTTCCAAAGGTAGGAGTTACTTTCCAGTTTTAGCGTAATAAAACATATATAAAAAAGAAACACAATGTATGACATGAAATTTAAGTCTGAGCTGAAATATAAGAAAAATTCGTAAAATGAAAGTAAAAATAGTTGGTCTAAGCTACATAACGATATAAGAGCTTATGTATAAGAGTTGCCAAGCAGTTATGACCAATGAATTGCCAAGTAGCTTTAGATTTTCGAAGTAGATGTAGCGGTATAAATGACATAAAATGCTCAGCGATGAAGCAATAGTCTTCTGTGATATATAGCTACACAAAAAGTTTTTGTTAGCTCTGCTCTTTGCCTTATAAAAATTCTTCTTGTTACTACTTAATAAAGAACCATGTATAACTTCCACATTCATTACAGTGCTTGGCTCTGTCTTATTATCTTTTAGGATAATCATATGCAAAATTCGAATCAGACAAAGAAAGGAGTTTACGACCAAGAACACCTTGTAGATTTATCTGAAGATATTGGACGTGAGTGTTATCTTAACATATTATTCATGCTAATGTCTCCATGACGAGACAGTGGATATGTTTTGACAAACAAGGTGTCTGGTAAATTGCACCTAGAAATTGAAATCGAAAGTGAAATCAGGTTTATTGCTTTTTCTTCAGATATCCATAGCGTTCTGCACGTCAGTGCTTTCCTTGTTAAAGAAGTTTAGATGGTAGAGCGAAAAAAAATTGGCTAATATGCAAAATCATATGCACAGGGCTCCCGGAGCTGGGGGGGGGGGGGGCACGGGGACACAAGCCCCTCTGATTAAAAAAAAATCTAAAAATGCCCTTCTTAAAAAATATTTGTTGTGTATTATTTTCACAACAACGTGTTTTGTCTGTGATTCTCAAATTCTCAAAAGCGCAAACGTCTGTGATTCTCAATTTCAAACAACATCTACTGCGAAGGAGACTGTCTCTTTGGCGGGAAAATTTCTTCAGTATAGGTCGACCAGCGTACACAGTGTCTTCAGTATATACACAGTGTCTTAGCTGTTTTGTTTTTGTCTTGCTAACTTTAAAAAAAATCCCCTTGTAGAAAATGCTTGCTTATTTCCACTAATTATTTACAAACAGTCTTTTTCAAAGAAGATATTAATTACTATAAAGATAGATATGATTAGCATTAAGATAATAAAAAACCAAGCTAACCATGTCAGAAATACCAAATATCATTACAGAAAATAAAATACTAAGAAAATTAACAAAAAAGGGTTCCCATTCAAGAAGAACTGCTACTACGTAAGATCCGTATGGATAAACTATCCAAATATTTTCTAACCTACTATTGCAAGAAAGTGGGGGGGGGGGACTATAGCCCTTGCTAGCCCAATGGCTGCGCGGTGCCTGAAAGAGATAGTAACTGAAACTTCACCTTAAAAGAGAAGAGACTGAATGTTCGCTTTGGAAAGGATAGAGACTGAAAGTTCGCTTTGAAAAAGATAGATTGAAAATACGAGAATTCCATTCATTTCTGAACATTATATTTTCGGTTCAACTTGTAAGTTTTATTACTATAGTATGTATGATTGCATTAACGTGAATTCATTTTTTTTCTTTAGTATGTTATAATTGATCTGATTATTTGTCGAATATAATGCACCTTTCACAAAAATCGGGGAAGGGTGTGTGCCTGCCGCTCAATCGGAGCTACCCCAAGTTACAATAAAAATTAAAAAGAAAATTAAGTACAACGTATTTTAAAGAAAAGATGTATCAAAAAAGAGGAAAGACTCTTCATACCACCTTAATGAAAATAGTGAAGTTTCGCCCCTGCTTTCGACATTAGTTGTCTTTTCACAAATTTCCCTTTGAGTGAGACCATCAAAATATGTGCCGATGCTTTGTACCGGAGCGAACTTAATAGCCCACCATTCCCAGAGGAAGTATTCCTTGAACTGATGGAAACTGCAACACGTCCAGTTGAATTCAGTTTTAACAATAAAATGTACCAACAAAAAGATGGTGTCGCTATGGGTAGCCCTCTGGGACCTGCCTTGGCTAATATCTTTGTTGGCTTTCACGAAGAGCGTTTGTTCGACTACAACCAAAAGCCAGGTGTCAGTTTTCGGTATGTGAATGACACATATGCCATTTTCAAAACAGAGGCTGAGTGTGACATTTTTCTCAAAACACCTTAATAGCCTAAAAGGGAGAAAATGATTCCTTGCCATTTTTAGATGTTTTGGTCGAAAAGTCTATCGCTGGATTTCTTACCAATGTATATCGCAAGCCTACTTTTACCGGTCAGTACATACGCTGGAATTCATTTTGCCCAAAACAACGCAAAGCCAACCCAGACCTACCAAGTCACACGCATTTTGCGTGAGACACACGCATTTTGGTCATTTCTCACGCTCACATGCATCGAAGCAAGATTCTCACGCATTTTGCAACAAACTTCTTGGCTGATTTAATTTATTCAATTTTTATTCCAAATCCTAGCAAAATCTCTCCTTTTAACAAGGCATGTTGGCACGATAACAGCAACTAGATAATAAGATGACTAGATAACAGCGAATTTGTCCAGGTTAAGTGATGTTACATTCATTGGCAAGCCTACACGAATAGCAGGTTAGCTGCGACTATTTGGGATATCAGTTACACTGTCGCGCTCCGCTTGCTCGCACGTAAATTCCTTCCCCTGCATTCCAGGTCCACAGTACTGTGTACTTTTGCAATTATTTGCGCAGCGCAGTGCACCAGATTAATTTAATTCATGATTATGTACTGTTATACATTCTTTCTCAATAAAAACAGAATAAAATGGCGAAAAACAAAGCCCCCTCGATCCCCCTGCCACTTCTGCGGTCCCTGCTAAAAAAGGTGTGTCGGAAGAACTAGAGGGCGTGGCAAAGGAAAAGTTTTTGGGGCTACGCCCTGTGACCCTGCTTTGCTTTGCTTGTGTGGTGGACAGGAATCGTTCTACAAGACCCCACCCATGACGATCCTTCCTTTTCAAAAAACTCACTTTCATTTTCAAAACTGAAACTTGACAGGTCTGCCAACCTTGTCAAAACTTTAGTACATAGGGCACTGATGATCTGCTCGAAATCTAAACTGCACGCTGAACTGGAAAAACGTAAAACAATCTTTTTGGACAACGGTTATCCAGAAGATGTCATTTTATCTTATACTAAAGAAAAGATCGCAAGTTATACGAACAAAAAAGCTGCG